AGATGATGTGTTCTTTTTGGCTGAGGGGGCTGCCCAGTTAGCATTGTAGGCTCTCGAGTTTTGTATGGATAAAACAATTGTACACCACATAGATGCGATGAGTACGGCATATGGTTTATCCAACTTCAAAGGGAATGATTCAATTCGAAGTTTTTTTTAGATGAGAAGCGGTTTGTTGATAGGGGGCCAAATATATGGTATTTAGAGGAGATTTGAATAATGTGGGTGTATCTTTTTTACAAAAATTTGGGGCATATAGTATGAGATTGTTTGGTATAATTTTCTCGTAACTATTATAGCCTTGAGAAGCGGTTATGTAGATGTTTGGCAAACATCTCAGCAGTTACGGCACTTCCAAAGGTTGCAATGATCTTCACGGCACATCTTTCAGCTATAGTAATACCAAACGGGCTCTTTGTGTAACTAATATTTACTAGTTGTGAACCCGTATATCACGCTTTAGTATTGATCTCCATTTTTCATAAGCACGATGCTATTCATGTTATCTTAATTTTCGTTACAACATATTATTTGAAGAAACCGTCATAGATTACATTTCTTCAGTTTTTAGAAAAATAAAGTCAATACTCAATTTAGATTTTATACATGCTAATGCACTTCATCATCTAGAAAACAAACTTCACCATAAATCCTAATCCATTTATACGCTATCCAATCAAATCTTAAATAAGATCAGATCCTAAAATCTTAAAAGTATAGAAAAGCGTAATCGTGTCCAACCCTTCAATGAATGCAATTAATAAATCCAAAATCTTTATTAAAAAATGCCGTCACATATTATCCTATATTGACAAATGTGATTTAAGTTAAACAGATTTAAGATTCGATTTCACTTCGTATAAATCTTATAACAGTTTTAAAGATTGTTAGTAAAGATGATTTATTGGCCTAGTTTTTGTCAATCTAGTGCCAGCCTCCGAGGGAGAAAAAGACATTCGAAAGTGGGCTCAACCAAGGAGTTGCTTCATGATCACTCTTACTAGGAAAGACCCAACTTTTTCCCCTCTGATTTTTGTAATGACGACAAAAATGGTCTCTGTCCTCCTGCGTGCCAAAAGGAAGCCGGAAGCTTCATAAGATGACCGTAGTTTCCAATTGTCCGATGTCTTTTGTCGCTTGACAGCAAAAAGGTGACTTGCCTTCTCCAACCGGACTTCCCAAAACGAGAAGATTGGTGCGTCATCTGCAAAATAATGTAAAACAAAATCATCGGAACCATTGATCACATGGACCCCGCATAGTTAACGGTTCGGATGGATTTTGCATAGCTAAAAAAATGTTATTTCTCACCGTAAATCGGTTCACTAGACTCTTAGCCTACTGAGAACTTGTTTTATCCTGCCTTTGATTACTCATCCCATGAATGAAGACTCGTGTAATGATATTTATGAAAATGCCGTACAGATATTGATTCACAAAATTCATCTATCAAATGAATCGATAAATTCTAAGCGCATGTGGAAAAAAACCCACATAATGCTTTATCGAATCATTTTATAAGAAATTTGCAAATCATCGGATGCTCTAGCATTACTCTTTAAAGTTTGAAGTACCCATTAAAGTTGTGTCCTTGTATGTCAAAAAGTGGAAGCCCGAAGCTTCTCAACATGGAGATAACAGTCAATGTCTTCAAGTGGCTTCTGCTACCTCGGACTGCTCCATGGCTATAGAATTCCTCCAGTGGCTATCATATATTCATACTCATCTCGAGTTCAGAATTCGTAAATATATGCTTAAACCGGTTAAAAGAATAAACCAAGCAACTAGCTATCATACTGATCAACATTTAACATCTGATAAGGTCTTTTAGGAGTTTCATTGAGAGGAGAAAACACGGATTGACCCCAACCACTGTCCTCGTCTCCTACTAGTTATTGTATATCACAAATTCATTGAAAATAACAACTTAAATCACAGTGAGAACATTTATCTGTCATGAGTCAGCAGTGACGGGAAAGATGCTTTATGATAATATTTCCCCCATCCACTTGGCCAGAAGGTAGGTGGTGGATTCTTTATGGCTCCTCCCTGTCATTGGCAGGCATTGAACTTCATGGGAGGACTCCTGGATTTCTATAGTTTTTCGTGCGACAGATATAAAGGTGTGCAAAATGGACCGCCCAAATCGAAAACTGTCCGGATCGGATCGAACCAACCGATTTGGTCCGGTTTCCGAAAGTGTCGGTCCGATTTCCAGTTCCTAAAAGTGAAATTAGTATCCGGATGGTCCGGTTCCCGGTTCGAAAGGGAACCGGACCGATTACATATACTTTTTTTTTAATTTCTTCAAAAAAATTAGTAAAATGTGAACTAAACCCTAAGTGAAGCACGTTTTTTGATTCGTCTTTTCAATTTAAGAATCATTACATACATATAACTCAATTCAACATGAAAAGATGGCATCAAGTAGTGGGAAAAAAAAAAGTTACTGATTCCATTGGACCGAACCGGTCCGGTTTCCGATTCTAGGACCAACCGGTCGAGTCCTTGGTTCTCAATTTTGGGAACCGATCCTCCTGGTCTGATTCCCGATTCCATCTTGAAATCGAACCGGATCGAGAACCAATCACCCCTAGTTAGAAGCAGCTATATAGAGCTGAATTCTTGCCTGTATTCGAGTCCATTATATCGGATCTATAGCAACTCTCCATTTCGTGGAGACGACGGGTGGGGATCACGGGCGACCCACATAATGAAGAGTTGTAATGGACCCGAATACAAGCAAGCAATTCGCAACTAATAGAGGTTATCTTGTAAGTAATCTCTTTTTACTTTTGTGCGGAAAAAATAATAATACCAAGTACTTAAGAAATCATGATGTGACAGGCTATTATAAGACGCTAAATATCACCCACTCTCCGCTCTCGGAATATCATTTTTGTAACTCGGTTTTAGTATACCTGGTATGACTTGATATGTAAAAATTGATGTAGCTAGCAAGGATCACCTAGAGGGGGGTGAATAGGTGATCTTAAACAATTTTGATAATTTATGCGGAAACAAAATAAATCACAAGAGAGTCGAATAAAATTGATTCAAGACAGATTATAAAGATGGTGCTCTTGATGTGCAGAATGTAAAGTAAGTGATAAGGGATAGAGAATCGCACACAAGTTTATAGTGGTTCTGACTTATAGCAAGCCTACGTCCACTCTCCCACGCTTACAGCCACATTGGATTTCACTATGTAATCAAGAGGAATTACAACTTCTCGAAGTGTTTAACACTCTTGTGTATGATAGGACTCTCTATCTCACATAATCACTCTTACAAAGTGTCCCTCAAGATCTTAATATTTTGCTCAGAACGACAAGAGAAATGATTGGAGTATGCTCAGACTTTGGACTTGTTGATTCTTGATTCTGTTCTTCCTTCTGCTGCTCGTTGATCTCCTTAAATACTCCTCGACTTCCAAAACTAGCCGTTGGACAAAGATTCGAGAGGATCATCTTCCAATCTTCACCTTGGACAGATTTGTATAGAAAGGATTGAGTAGCCGTTGGATAATGTATCTCGAATCCCGCCGATTCCTGGTCGCCCATACAATCGAATCTTGGTTTCCATAAGTAGAGCTTTGTCCGTTGTAATGCATTCCCTGTCGTGATGTTTGATTGTCAATCAATTTGATTGAGATTGAGACAATCGAACATTCCTTCGTGAAATCCATGCCGGATCACTATGTTGTGTTATGTTACGAATTCCGCGTCCGAAGAAATTCTGCGTCGCATCTCGAAGAACTTCGTCTGCGTCTCAAGAATTTCTGCATCTGATTAATTTCTTCGTCTGCATCTGCATCTGAATAACTTCTGCGTCTGAATCTCAGAACTTAGATTATGTGGGTCTTCAAAAACGTACTTGACAGTTTGTAAAGTCTGAATAACTTTCTTCTGAGTTTTCAGAATATACAGACCTGGAATAGATTAGTTCAGAATAAGTATCAAATTTACAATAACATAGAAGGTTTTGTCAACTTCAAAATCAATAGGAGTTTTCCTCAACAAAAATTGCTTGCACGCTATCTTTTTCCCCTTTTCAGAGAGCAAATGTCTCGATCTTCTGGAGGAGAACATCAAGTGGCCCATCTGATCCTACCCAGCTATGCGAACAACACAAATGAGAGGAGGGAGGACTTAGGCTTTTGAGCTGCTTCAATGGCCACACTAAATTCAATCACTTGTTCTGACCAAAAAAAAAAAATACTCAATCACGTGCCAATAGTATTGCAGCAAATTTTTCAACCTGATAGGTAGTAGCAACCTTGTCATTTACATGTCACACCGGCATCTAGTTTCGCTGCTTTGCGCGATAAATTTTTAGTTGGTGGAATGAGTAGGTATACGACTCAAATTGCAAACGAAACTCCCGGGACATGCGTAAGTGCAAGACTCGACTGGACCATGGGGTAAATCATGGCTGAGGTTTCAAATTATGATAACAGATCGGCGAATGCAACGAATCATAATGTATGAATCATGTAGAGTCCATGTGATTGTTTGCAAGATTTCAACTATCTCAAGCCATTTGCAAAATGTAATTTAATAGGTCACAACCATGCAAGTGTCTGGGATGCGTCTTAATGTCCTCTATCCCATCTATTACCAGCACCAGATGAATATTTTGGGCTATTTTCATTGCGAATTTGAAGAAACTAAAAGAGTGCCATTGCATGTTCCTGAGCACACCAAGTTACCAACTTTAAAGTTCAAGAAATTCACCTTCATCCCAACATCTTTACCTTAAAAGTACCTTTCGAATGGAATCTTCACCAGCTGATGTGGTCAACGCAACCATATTCTTGTTGCAAGATGCATATAAAAGGAAAAAAATGGTATGCCATATAAGTTCATGCCAGCATTCTAAAATTTATGGTGAGTAACGCCCAAAATGCCATATACGTACATCAAGAGCATGGGCAATTGTTTATGTCACAAACAACATCGTCCAGAAAAAGAAGAAAAAACCATTTCAGGGTGTTTCAATTAATTCATATCACATAGCTGGAGTAGAAATAATAGCTCGTTAATTGCGATATCCTCTAAAACAAGCTCACTTGCTTATGGATGGGATTATCCCAGCGACACAGGCTACAAAGCAACACACAGATTAGCAGTAGCAAGCGATGCTATGCACCTAAATGTCCGCTGGATGCGAGACTATTAAACTGAACAAGACAGGTCCAGCTTAGCACTTTGCTTATTCAACTCCATTGAGTCAAAGAACAGTCCTAGTGAAAGCTTGAACTTCTGCTCAGTAAGCTAAAATTTGGCCCACTAAGCTTGTGAGATAATGCTTCTTCTTCAGTTTTCTTCTCCTTGCATTGGTTGCCCTGCATTACCACGAATCAGCAGCATGTTGAACATGTTTACACTCAAAGATAGCATACGGCATGTGCAAGATGTTATAGTGACATTAAGCAGTGAAAAGTCCGTGTCCGTCTCACAAACTGCTTTCTACAATTCTACCAATTAAGTTAAGCAGTTTCCAACTAAACGTCCTAAAAAGTTTGAGAAACCACGGGAGATCTAATTCTGTAGGATCTGTTTATCATTTCAAATGTGACAATAAAATTACCAGTTCCAAATCATGAATACTAGTTTCAGGTGACAACTGGTCAGACTCAAGAGCATTCCTCACCCCGAACCAAGAAACAAGTGGATTCTATACTATTGTAGTTCCCATTCTTGAAATGTGTTTTTAGAATAAGATTTAGAGGTCACTCCTATTAACCGAATGCATCATTTAGTCTACGGCTAACAAATGGGGCAGAGAGACAATAAAACTTACCAATATTGATTATGGAGTACAAAGGAGTCTGTTGCCACCTTTTTGCCATCATCATTTCGGTTCCAGTGGTAGAGTGCATGAGTTCTATTCTTTATTTCCAGTGTTGAATGACCATAACTGGCTTCTCGAAATGCAGAATAATCTGGTTGTGGATCTCTAAACCTGCAAATACAATGAGATGGTACTCCGGATTAATCTTCTTTTCTGGATGAGATCTAGACAAGAAACACAACTTAACATCACTTTTTGAGCACCACAGTACAAAAATGATGGCTGTAAGCCTGTTAGTCTCACTCACCTTCCAGCAAGGCCTTCCTGATTGCCTCCATCTCCAACAGTAATGTAGACAGGAGCTGACTCATCCGGGACAGGGTAACGATCACCGGTTGACACATTGTAATGTATATTTGAGATCCGATACTAAGTATGAAAAGAAGAAGATTTATCAGATCTTTGCAGATCTTATGAGCTATTATGGTAGTTGAAAAGTGATTATTTCATTAGTCGAGTTCAATAGTCCGTTAATATGCTGCATCCTTTCTCTCACTTAGAAGTAAATGGAAACCGCGGGGGGGGGGAGGGGGTTGTGGGGTGGTGGTGTGTGGGGGTTGGTGGTGCGTTTAAACGTGCATTCAGGAACTGAAAACTTCTATATGCTCATCAGGCTAGCAGTTGTAAAAAAAAAGCTCTTTGGTCTCATTCCCATATCTAAAAAAACACATCTGGTATTTCTTCACTGTTTCTTCCCAATGTAGGATGCGGTTCACCTTTGGTTGCTCACAATTCTCCAATTATTGTCTGCTTAAACTATACTTTTCATCCCTGAGATAAGAGCCAAGTTTCATTTGTTCCTAAACTTTAGAATTTGACAATTGCACTCTTCAACTATCCTGGTAAAGAAATCAAGTTTAAACGTGCATTCAGGAACTGAAAACTTCTATATGCTCATCAGGGCTAGCAGTTGTAAAAAAAAAAAAGCTCTTTGGTCTCATTCCCATATTTACAAAAACATGTCTGGTATTTCTTCACTGTTTCTTCCCAATGTAGGATGCGTTCACCTTTGGTTGCTCACAATTCTCCCAATTATCGTCTGCTTAAACTATGCTTTTCATCCCTGAGATAAGAGCCAAGTTTCATTTGTTCCTAAACTTTAGAATTTAACAATCGCACTCTTCAACTACCCTGGTAAAGAGAAAGAGAGAGAGAGAGAGACCAAATTTCTATCGATTTTATTAACATCATCTACTGTCTATGATGTGCACTCGCTCAAGCCACTCCAGTCACCAAAATCTTCCACCGGTTTAATTAGGCTATAGATTATGAAATTTTGCGTCTGTTGTAAAATAGGGGATTTTCAATTCCTAGAACTGAATTTTGTCAGTAGGTGATTATCGAGCACAAATCTACCACCAAGTGAGAAGTCACCAGATTGCAAGCATCACCCACTCAACAGCCCACGGATTTGATAAACTGAAAATATCTAGCTTCACGGACAAACAAAATCCTAGCAGCCTGGGTTGATTACAAAATATCCTAACTACAGGGAGGAAAAGATACTCGATCCTACAAGTACAAAGTTGATCTGACTTAATTATCACCCAATATGAAATCTGGGTCGAAGAAGTGATAATCTCTAATTTTCCTAGCCCTACAAAACACTAAGGCTTGAAAAAGAGACTGCTAAGTTAAAAACGTGTCAGTTGGCAGAGATGGTTTAAGGGAGTGACATGACAGATTGCCGATAAGAAAAATTGATAGTTCAAGGGGATTTTAACTAAGTTTTGTCTTTTTTCAAAAGTATGGACACTTCAAGAGTGTGATTGTCAAATTTAGAAGTTCAAAGACCAGAGTGAAACTCGGTTCAAAGTTCTGGGACCAGAAGTAAAGTTTGACCGTTTCTTTAACTTAGACTAAAAGTGGGCAGAAAGCAAATTCGTGGGCTCCATTGTTTTCAAAATTCAAAATTTCAGAAACTTGGAAGAATTTTGGAAAGTTGGAAAATAAATAGATCTCAACGTTTCCCAACTCAAATCGAAAAAAAAGTGAAATTTGGTAAGCAATATACCGCATCACATTTTGTCAGTTTTCAAACAAAATGGAAGCAAAGTTCTAGAGAAACCTGATATATTAAAGTCAAGAAGTTATCAGATACATTTCTCGAAAAGTGAAAGCTGAAACCTTACAGTATTCCAGAATATAACTTTAAATAGAAAAGAGAATGTTTCTCCAAAAAGAGGGCACCTTAGTACTGTTGAGATCTTTATCCCTCATTAATTGGCTTCAACCACACTATTCTACTCTAAGTAATAAATTGTAGTTGCAGTCAATGCCAAGTATCCACCTAGAATGTTCCATAAATTATCTTGACATGTCCCTAGAATGTGTCTCGATTATGAAGCAACTATGAGTGCATCCACGCCTATGTGCACTACCTTCATAGAAGATGCTACTATGCAAAAGTCATTAAGTAGATTGAGTATAAGAATCATACCGATCTTTCATAAGCATGGACGTGGCCAGCGAAAATAACATCAACTTTGTTTAGGACAAACCACCTCTCGAATACTGATCTCATACTTTCACCCTCCATGAAGTGAGCATCATTGCTATTGTAGATTGGGACATGCATCAGTACAATGAGCCAAGGGGTCTTCTCCCTATCCACCCTTTTGAATTCTTCTCTTAGCCACCTCCATTGTGGTGTGTATTTCACTGTCACGGAGCTTCCATTGATCAGCAATAAATACAGAGAAAACAGGGCAAAATAATGTTCATGTCTATAATCAATAACTTCGCAGTTTATTTGCCGGAAAACAGTTGCAAATGTCATCACCACCAAAGTATAACCTCTGACATTCAATATACCGAGGGTAGAAAGACTGTAAGTTGTTGAGTCAAATATGCCGAAGACAGTTTCCTTTAAAGCAGCTTCTGTAGCAAATTTATTGTACAAGATGATATTTTTATTTCAAGTTGCTGTTTAGTATATGGTAGGATGAGGACCACAGACTAAAGGTGGGGCACATGAAAAGGGTTCCATTTAGCACTCTCAATATTGCCACAAGTAAATGTGCTCTATCAACTTATCTGATCAGCAGAAAGTTGTTCGTGACTGAACGTATAACGAGATGGAAATTACCAAAGGGGGAATAGCTTGACAGCACAATAATATGGGCAGATGCACGTCTGATGGCATACCAAAGAGGACTGCTGCTCCTGGATGCCAAATAAGGGGTAGCATACCGATAAAGGTATGACTTGAAAGGAATAACTTCCCCCTGCATGTGTTCAAGAAAAATTGGAGAAGAAAAGAAGTTTATTGAAACATAAATAGTCCATGGAGATTACTTGAACAAGAAATTATACTAACATGTTCACATATTGATCCATGTCACATATGAGGAGAAATATTAGTAAAATATCAGAAAATATCATTTCAGTCTGATCAAATAGTGTAGCAGAATAGGACTGCAAACGATCGAAAATGTCTTCTGGAAAAAATAAAAATAAAAAAAACTAAAAAATGCCATTCAGCTACACCTTGAATATATCGGCAGGCATATGATTCTCTAATGTCTACACAAACTCGTTCACTTATTAAGTACATCCCTTTTCTTCCAATAAATTGACTTTAGTGCAAAAGAATTGCCACACGATAAATCTACATGATTGAATAAGCTGAAAGGTTGATACAAATATAAAAGTACAAAACCAATGATAAATTTTTCATTGTGAAGTGCATAAACCATTCAACTGAAAAGCCATCCAGCAACTAAAAAGAAGAAACAACCTGTGAACCTCAACTTTAATGTTTATGTTCTTCTAATTTAGAACTCTGAGAAATCCCTGGGAAGTTATTTTTCTAGGTAATCATGTTTATTAATTGTTGTGGGAAAAAGAGTCTGACTTTGTTATAGAAACTTAAAAAAGTGCTTAGTTCTGTTCACCAACTCTACCACAACTCTACACAAGTCTAGCTGCAATGTACCTATTCCAAAACAAGTGGGAAGATTGTCGGAATAATTCAAGATCAAATTTCGCCCAGCTGCTCAAGAAAATCAATTACCTGAAAAATGTTTATCCTCTTTTCCTACAGGATGCTGGAGTAAGCCATTGCCGCTGACATTGTAGGACTTCTTTTCTCACAAACCCTCCTCCTAACTCTCACATGTCTTACCAAAGCCTACGAAAAGCTAATCCAGAAAAGCTAGTCGGAGGACCCCAGTACTAAAACTAGTCTGCCCTCAAGCTTCAAATATAAGGGCGAGTGAGCACAAGTTGATGATCCAACATCGTATTACAATGTAGTCCTCAGACAATTTCCTTTTTCCCATTTGGTCCTCAAACTCAGTCTCAACTGGACTAATTCATGCATCCTCAGTTTGACCTTTTAGGCCAACTTGGTCACTAGGTTCATTGGATCAGCATAACAAACTGAACAACCTATGAGCCTAATAGAAGAAAATGCCCCAAGTTTCAGGAAAATAAAAAACCTATTCAACCAACCCCATTCTAAGTCTGATATTGCGATTACTTTTGTATATAATAAGTGGACCTGAATGCATGTAGGGAAATCCCCTATATTTTCTAGAAGAAATAAAATAATCAAAGGCTACTGAAGCGTGCATTGGTTGTATAGAACTAGCCCGTAGATGCATTGGCCAATATGCACATAGAGTCCTACAGAAACATCTAAGAAGGTGAAGGAAGTATGGGACGTTAAAAGGTGTCTAAAGCTGGATGGACCTGTGTAGAAGGTAAACGAGCTGTAGAACGAGGGGTTTGCTGAGGCTTGGATGGACCAGTTAAAGGCAACAGCCATGTAGAATCAGAAGATGAGAAGTACCAGAGTGTAGAAGGTCAACATTAAGTTTATCGTGAAGCATGAATAGACTAAAAGGATCGTGTGCAGAAGCAGCTCTTGCTTCAGATGGAGTAGAATACGTATTGGGTGCTTCTACATTCCTGGTGAAGAGTGCCCAAAGCTCTTTCCAATTTGATTTAAATTCAAATTGGGGTCTAGTAACCAATTTCAAGGTCTGGAGTCCGCATAAAACAACCTAGAGAAAATCATAAGAGGTTTTTCCTCTTTCGTGCAAGCAGTCAGACAGTCAGACAGCCTGCAAAAGCAGAAGCCTCTACTTCTGGAAATCTTCTGCAGCAAACTGGCGTGCAGTTTGTAGGTCTCCTGCGTAGAGAAGTGAGTCCAACAGATGCTTTGACACAGAGATGGCTTCCCACGGTTGGTTTGAAGATTGGAAAGCTATTTAAAGTGATCAAGGATTACTAAAGACTTTGGTGGAAATCAGTCTATTCTCACTGTCTTTGAATATTCTCATGCTTACACTTGTAGAAAACTCCTTTTGTACTCACCACGAGGTTTGTGCTTTCTTAGTATATAGGAAAAGAGAGTGTTTTATAAAGTTAGAGGTGCTTGCATTTGTAGAGCTATCTACTAAACTTCTTGTAGAAGCAGCACTATCTACAGACCGTAACATCTCTGAGATTACTGGTGGATCTCAGCCTTGTTTGTGACCGTTAATCTGGGAGAGTAAATGTAAGCCAAGTGGAAGGCGAAACCACTATACATCAGTTCGCAATATCTTCTATCTCTTCAACTATCTTATTAACTATTAGATAGAAGCATCTGCATTTGCACAACTATATTTCATTCTATAAAAGACTTTTTGCAACGCTTCCACAAAAAAGATTATAATTTAAAACAACCAATTCATCCCCTCTTGGTTGTGTTACCCTTATCAAAAAAGTTTGAGGTGCGATGCTTTCAATAGCTGGCTTATGTCTAAGAGTGGCAATTTATGTTGTGTCATGACAATTTGAACTAGTATTTCATGGAATTACTAAAATAAACAAAAATCTATCACTATTTTGACAAATTGATCCTTCTAAAAACCTGGTCAATACTACTTCAGCTGTGTGGATTTTGAGTTAATTGTGCTCATCTTTTGTAACATTTTCTCAAGAACTTTCTAGTATCTAAGTCCTATTGTGTCCTCTTACCATATTATCTCCCATATTTTTGTCAATGCTTTACTCCTGCGAGCGTTTATTAAGATCCAATATGAAGAGGAAAAGGTGATTGACAATCAATATCCAAGAAGAAACATTAGATGACAGAATTATAACTATACTTAAGGTTGGACTTAATAGAAAATAGGAAATAGGAAAAACAATCTATAAACTTGCATATTGCCTTTAGGAAATCAATCATATTCCAGTAGATGTTCAACTATATGCATCATTTTAGTGTGCTTGTGCAGGAGTAATTTTGTATGTCTGCGGTATTGGTTGAAAGGCAATGCTTTACCATGTATGGCATGTACTCAATCTCATGATTCCCAGCAGACCAGATCCAGGGTTGATACGCAGCACTTTTTTCAACAAAACGGCCCCAAGTATCCCACCTTAAGCCAACATCATCGTACTGATACCTATCAGCGTAAGATAGATCCCCAACAAATAACACAGCTTGAGCTCCACTGTGCATGTAATGCTCAAGAGTGGATAGAGAATTGTAAGTCTGGCCCATATCACCTGCAATATACAGTGATATCCAATAATAAACAGATTATAATCAGAACTTAGTGAGTGATGTGTTCATTAGAAATTATAGATAGCACTGAACCACGATAGGAATGAATTCTGAATATCCCACATTACTCTTAGGGAGGCCTTCCAAGAAAATAAAATTATGTTAGGGCTATCCACTAATAAATGTTCCCAAAGGCTCAGCAGGATGACTGCTTGAGACCCTGTCATTCCTTTGCCCGCTTTTTGTTGTGGAAAGTACAAAAGACTGAATAAATATATTGCTTTATGCAACATGACTCTATGTTAAAAAACAAAATTGCCAGATAAAACTGGTTTAGGACCAAAGGAAACAATTTCAAGCACTGATTATTGACATAAAAATATGGTGCTTATAATGTAACAGGACGAGTTCTGGAAATTTCAATTGATTCTTCAGCTTCTTGCAACAAGAGTTTACTTGTCAATCAGGCACAATTTGCATCCTCCCAGAGCTCTGCATTTCCATGGATAATACCTTGCTTATCTAGGAAAAGGTGTTTGTTCAAACTAGTGAAATCACAACACTTCTACTATTCCTTCAATAAAAGGTGGTATGCATGAGCACGTACTCTCATGCTCTACAGATCCACATATGGGCATGCTCATGTGTTTATACATGGTGAAACAACTTACCAATGATCCCAAATTTGTATGGAGCATCCGGACCAATCTTTGGAGGTGTTTGAAACCAAAATTCTCGGGAAGAATCACCCTCTCCAATCTTGTAATAGTACTTGGTGTCATACTGAGAGAGAGAAAATATTAACAAGAATCTTATTCAAAACATTCTTTGTGAAGTGAACTTAGAGTCTCAAATATGCAGCTACTACCTGCTGTAAGGCCATAGGCTACCAAAGGAAATATTGGAAATTCTATTCATATGAAATTCACAATAGAACAAGAACATTGTAAAAGTTTAACAATCTAGAGAACGGCAATAAGTGACCTTGAGGCTCTCAAGTAGACAGTGATGTATGTAACCAGACTTGTAATTGTGGAAGGTGTAGTTGGTCACGGTCCCTTCAGCAGAAAGAGTGTATCTTTCCGGAGATGTTCCAAAGTGAACTATACTCAAACCAGGTGCATCAGTAGTCACCCATGATACAATGACAGCCTTCCCATCGTAATCACCTTGTGTGACATGCACCTGCAATAGGATGTTTCAAAAGAAAACGATATCATCAGGGCTTTTACCAGAATATATAAAGGCGAGAAAAAGAACAGCAGCACGGGAAAAGATAAAGCATCCCTTATCAGTTATCACTGAAAAGTGAACTTCAAGCATCTCAAAACTCTAAACATCATTATGCAAGATACAGTAATTTAGTCGAGAGACGGATGATAAGATATTAGCTGACAATCCGTATGTCTCATTGTCGTCTCCTTCATGAGTAGTTCCAACGTAAATTTTACCCTATATGAATAAGCTTCACAAGTATCAATGTTATGCAACACCATCTGCCTATGAGAAATATAATCAAAAGGTGGAGGTACAGCACTCAAGATCTGAAATTGCTTCTTTATTTATTCCACCATTTTTTTACAAAATACTGCCACTTATGAGTTCAAAGGAAAATGTACAGAGGGGAGCGAAAGAAAACCGACATCTCTTCCGCAACAGATCACTATTGCTTACTTGTTGTGGTGCATTGTGACCCTTGGGCACTGCAAAGGCTTCATTATCGAAAGGAATGTCAACAGAAGGCCACTCTGATCTGATAAATGCACTCGTGATCCCACCATATACTCTGCCCCCATAGCTCAGGAAGGTGATTGCCGCGAAAATAACTTGGATAAACCAGGAAGGCCTGCTATTAACATCGCCTTTCATGGTTCAAAATTGACACGATTACAATATACAATCACCTACCAAAGAATTAATGCAAGAATCCGTTAATCATTGGATCAACTCCCTGAAAATGAATGATTTGAGTTGAAAATGAAATAGCACTTTAAGCATCCGAACATCTAATCCAAGAATTACCACCAAATGGACCCACAACAACAATCGACTCGTTTAGCAAATTCACGAAAAATTTCCATTTTAATTCCCCCTTTTTCTATGCATCTTCCGCGGACAAAATCATACTGTAGAAAACGATCAGAATTCTTGATGGACAGAGTCGTCACTCATCGCAAGTCACTACACACCCATTCCCATTCCCATTCCCTACTAACGAGCAAGAATCATGCCAGATTACCCTTCGAGAACCATGCTTTAACAACACAAGCAGCTCAGTCGCCACAGGAACATTAGAAACGAAACAACGTTGTGCAGGGAGAAGGCCGAAAATTCGAGCAAATCCAAATCGCTGGAACAAACCCAATTCAGCCAAACGCAGATGGGTCGTGTAAAGAGCGAGAGGAAACGAGTACCTTCAAGAATCACGCGCCAGAGAGAGGGGAGGGGTTGTGAGTTTAAAGGTCGTTGCTTTAAAGGGTTGTTGTTGAGGAGCATGAAGAGCGAAAGGGAAGCTATAAGGTGGCGTGGCGTGGCTTGGAGGTGGAGAGAGCTTTTGGAAACTCACATCTTTGTCGCGTAGTCCATTGTTTTGGAATGCCTTCGAGAATCAAGAACGGAATTTTAAGCCTGTGTTGTGGAGATCAAGAACTGTTGGCAATGATCATCCATCAATGCCCTGCGACATTTGTCTGAACATGGATGGAATCGGGATCGAGGGTGGCCATTCTCAGTGCACGTGACTGTTCGGAGAAAACGACAGTTTCGTGATGTCTTTGTAATGGAATGGCCGATTTTTGTCTAAGAGTTGAAGCATATCTCTCTCTCTCTCTCTCTCTCTCTCTCTCTCTCAGTGGTGCTTTGTCGCTACTCCAATCAATTTTCGGTTCCTGGTCTACGTACACTTGTCAATTATTTCTGATTTTTGTTTGAGCAATTTTCTCCGAATTTGAAAAGTAAAGATATCATATGGTATAAGTTATGAACTTATGAGAGATTAATTAGTATTACTAATGAAGGTTTGTGGAGCATTAAGTATGGCGATTAAATAAATACATCGTCGACCCTCGTGGTTGGTGTAATTGGTTGATGGGTTTGGGGATTTTCGCGTTATTCCTTCGCGTCCCACCAATTGCGTGTAAATTATTTTGAGTTGGAATAATCTAATTTCGATTAAAAAAAACTATTTTTGCTTAGTAATCACATACTATAAAACATCCTCGCATTAATAAACCAATTGCGAAGGTAATATGCTAAAGCACTAGTAGCAACTAGGGATGAACATGGGTTCAAAGTAGAACTGGGAATCAGACCAAACCGGTCATAGAAACTAGTTTGGTTCCAGGTTCCCGCGGTTACCGATCTAATTGATAGTTCCAACAAAAGTGAAATTGGTACTATGCAGTTTGATTCCCAATTCCTAGGTAAGAACCAATCCGGGAACTGATGAACCAGAGATTATATATTGTAAGTGATGTATATATATTTTTATATTGTGATTCTTTTGTATATCTAATGAATGGATATTTTATTTAATCTCTTCTTTTTTTTATATAGATATGGATTGTTTTCACTTTGCTTAAACAAAAAAAATGAAACAAAAAACAGAAGAAGAAATTGGCAGTACCCATATAGACCTTGGAATCAATTCTGGAATGATTGACAAGATAGATTATAGATTCAAAAAAACAAGGGAATCGGTTCTAACAAGTAAAGATATGCAGCTGGATTGAGTTTACCCAGAACTAGATTGGACCGCCTTGAAAACCGATTTGGTTCCCGGTTCTGAGCGAAGAACCACTTGAGAATCAGACCCATTGGACCGAATTTGGAATCAGTTTCATAAAGCCTAAAAACTTTAATTTTTCTCTTGGTGTCTCTTTATTTATCTCTCTATTTTTTTCTGTTTTCTCCGACCTCACTCAGATTATGAGTGTAAATGATTCGGTTTAGTTTGGTTTTCTTGAAAAATCGAACCGAACCGAACCATTAGGGGTGCACCCTTGAACCGAACCAAATCTCGCTCGAACCGAATATGAACCGAACTGAAAAAACCAATTTGGTTCGGTTCGGTTTTCGGTTTTTTCTTCTTCTTTTTTATTTTTTATTTTTGCTTCTCATTCGGAGCATGGTTTTCGGTTTTGGGTTCCTCTTCTTCCTCCTCCTCGTCTCCTTCGTCCTCTTCTCCCCTGTTCTTCCCCCCGACTACCATCTTCTTCCTCATCGTCATCTTCGTCGAAACCCTCATCGCCGTCGCTGTCGCGGGTGGATCCGGAGCGACCGGGGGGGCAGCACCGTCGGTGGGGTAAATCTTGGGATCGTGAACGAGCAAGGCGCGGAGCCCATTGTGGAGACGGATAAGTTTATGGAGCCGTCGGTCATCGGGCGACTTGATGACGACGTCCTCCGACGAGAATGAAGGAGGGAGCCCCATGGTTCAGCACAGTCAAGGCCTGGTCTAGTCTTCTCTCTTGCTTTGCGTGGGGAGAGGAAGAGAACCAAATTTTTTTTCTTATTATCCGAACTAAAACCGAAACCGAACTGAAAATGCATGAATTTTCTTTTCGGTTTGATTTTCGGTTCGGCTTTTGACACCCCTAACTTAGACACTTCACTACTCTCTCTCTCTCTCTCATGGCTGACTTCCTCCTTGCTAGCTAGCGGTTAGCCCTCACTCGTTCGAGCCTCGCAACCCTCGATCGTTTTTTTGCTTGCCTTGCTCACTCGCTCTCATTTATCTTTTACTTTGAACCATTTTGCTACTCACATTATTTTGCTGTAAAAGATGAAATAAAAAAAAAAGGAACAAAAGAAAAACGGATTCCCAAGTAGACGTTGGTTCCAAGATAAATAGAGTCGATTCTAAGTTCCAAAGACCGGGAACTGTTCTAATAAGGTAGGCTGAAAACCTATTCATCCTAGAATCAATCACCCTTTATTATATGTTTCGAGTTTCAGATGAAACCCGTACCGATCCTAAAACCGCTCGTCCGCGAGTTGCAACTTGCCCGTTTGGACAAAAGCAGTTTATCCAATTTTCACTTGATCCGGGTTCCCCTATTTCGGGCTTAACCATTCATCCCGGGCCGGGCCGGGCCGGCCCATTTACCCACCACCGCGCTTTTCTTCCCAGATCGCCGATCGAACCAAAAATTCGTCGCCGTCGCGATCCCCATTTTCCTCCAATCGGATCGACCGATTTAGGGTTCCCAGCTCCCTTCGATCGCTCGATCTCGACCCAATTTCCAATCTCCCACTCCCCCCTCGTTCGATCTCGCGGCTCCTCCGGTCCAATCGCCGTCGCCGCCGCCTCCGCCGCCGCCGCCGGAACCCTAGGAAGATGGGGAAGAACGAGTTCCTCACGCCCAAGGCCATCGCCAACAGGATCAAGGCCAAGGGCCTCCAGAAGCTCCGGTGGTACTGCCAGATGTGCCAGAAGCAGTGCCGCGACGAGAACGGCTTCAAGTGCCACTGCATGAGCGAGAGCCACCAGCGCCAGATGCAGGTCTTCGGCCAGAACCCCCACCGCATCGTCGACGGCTACTCCGAGGAGTTCGAGACTTCCTTCCTCGAGCACATGAAGCGCAGCCACCGCTTCAGCCGCGTCGCCGCCACCGTCGTCTACAACGAGTACATCCACGACCGCCACCACGTCCACATGAACTCCACGCAGTGGGCCACCCTCACCGAGTTCGTCAAGTATCTCGGCAAGACCGGCAAGTGTAAGGTGGACGAGACGCCCAAGGGTTGGTTCATGACGTACATTGATCGGGATAGCGAGGCGCTGTTCAAGGAGAGGCAAAAGAACAAGAGGATTAAGGCGGATATGGTGGATGAGGAGAAGCAGGAGAAGGAGATATTGAAGCAGATCGAGCGGGCCGGGCAGTCGCTGCCGGCTGCCGCGGCGCCGGCCGATGGGCCGGGGCCCGAACCCGCGAGGGAGGTGAATTTAGAGAACGGCGCGAAGATAGGATTCTCGCTCGCGAAACAGGAGGTTAAAGAAAGAGGGGAGAGTTCCAAGTTGGTTTTCGAGGAGGCGGAGAACGGTAGGGGCGAGAAAAGGAAGGGCGGTCCGGGCGGCGAGCCGAAGAAGAGCACGGCGAAGTCCGCGCTCGAGGAGTTGATGAAAGAAGAGGAGAAGAAGAAGGAGCGGTTTAACAGGAAGGACTATTGGTTGTGTGAAGGGATTGTTGTGAAGGTGATGAGCAAGGCACTGGCTGATAAAGGCTATTATAAGCAGAAAGGGGTTGTTCGAAAGGTGATCGATAAGTATGTGGGCGAGATCGAGATGCTCGAGAACAAGCACGTGTTGAGGGTGGACCAGGAGGAGTTGGAGACCGTGATTCCGCAAATCGGGGGCTTTGTGAGGATTATAAATGGGGCATATCGAGGCTCGACTGCGAGGTTGCTGGGGATTAATACGGAGAAATTCTGCGCTAAAGTACAGATAGAGAAAGGGGTCTATGATGGAAGGGTGATTCCTGCTGTTGAGTATGAAGATATATGTAAAGTTGCACAATGAGGTTGGTGCTTAGTGCTTAGATATGATTGTTGAGATAACTCTGAATTTCTATGAGTCATCCATCAAAATCAGCTCCGTGCAAGGAAAATGTCTGTGATGATAATAAGCCCAAGATTCTTGTGGATTTGTATATGCCGGCTAACTTGTGATTTATGCATCTTTGAATCTTCGGCTGGAAAGCTGTCTTACTTCTGCTTTGCTATGCTATGCTCCTTTGTATGTTTGGCTGTTTTTGCGATTATGCATGATGATGTTGAGTGAAGTGGTAAGTAAATCGGGACATTGGTCACCTAACTGTCTTGTGTTCATTAAATGCTATCTGGTTTTTGGTTACGAAGATGTTCGGGGTTGTGTACTGTTTTCCTACATGCAGACTCTGAGCATCCAGATTACCATACGTGTACCGAGTTATGTATTGTTTTCCAATATGCTTTTCGTGTTACTCATGATTGCTTTTGTTAGCCACCGGCAGCTTATTTAGTCAATAATCTTTTCATCTTGTGTGGACTCCTGACTCTATATCGACTATGGAGTGTGTTGTTTAGCTGGTATAACTTTTGTTTGTAATAGAGAACGTCTTGGACCTTGGTGCACTGAATGGAGAATAGAAGTTTTGAAAGACGGAAAAGAAAGATTTGGGGGGAGACAGAGAGAGAGATCAGTGACATAATCTATTGCAGTAATTTACATGATATGATTGAATGATGTTATCTGATTAGTTACGAAGATGTTCCGGATTTATACCGGTACTCCGAGCATCGAGATTACCATATGTGTACCGAGTTATTATGTACTGGGTTTCCTATACGCTTTACATGTTACTCATAAGTCCATTCGTTAGCCACCGGCAGCTTATTTAGTCGAAATTCTTTTTATCTTAGTGTGGACTTCTGGCTCTGTATCGACTATGCAGTGTGTTGATTAGCTGGTGCAACTTGTGTTTGTAAGAGAGGTCTTGGACCTTCGTGCACTGAATGGAGAAGAGGCGTTTTAAAAGAACGCAGAAAAGAAAGATTTGGGGGAAGAGAGCCCAGTGACAATCTCTCGCAGTAATTTACATGATATGATTGAAAGATGTTGTCTGATTGGTGCCACGCAAATTTTGAGGATTTTGACTTACTGAACATGGTGAATGTGCAAGTGAATGAACAAGAGGAGTTTGAACATAAGTAGTTTCTTCTGTTTGCTCAAAAGAGGGAAGCGTGTGCTTTCTCGATGACCGATTTTCGAAGAAGAGCCCGGATGTGGCGGCTCCAGGGTTAATGGGCGAGTCAGGGGAGGTCGAATCAGCTTTCGAGAATCTCTATTTTTACTAAGAATCCTGCACAACCTGAAAGAATTCACGTGATAGGTCATGGATTTGGACTGAATAAGGTAGTTGCATCCATTACTTTATTGTGAATGATTAGATTAACTCGTTTAGCCACAAGCAACCCCATATTCTGCTGAGTGAACATAGCTAGTTTCTTCCGTTTAATTAGGAATGCTATGTTCTTCATAGTTTCAAAAATTGAACCGTCATTTTCCTGTAATCTTAATGGCGAGTCTAAAGTTGACGCCATCTTTCCACTCATTTTGTTTCCAACTGGAATTTGTGCTTGCCTCATTCAAATCAATACCATGTGCTCAGCGAACTGGAATTTGAGTTAGCCCCATGTTCCTTTTTCTATGCGTTATCCTTAAAAGGCAATCCTTAAACGAAGAGCTTGATATTACATAAACGTATTTCTCAAGTTAGCAACTTATGACAGACAGATACAAATTGGGGCCTCTACCAGCAGCAACCCTTGACCCAGCCAAATCTGCCATATACATTCATGGGGAGAAATTCCCAACTCAGGAAGAACTGCTCCAATATGAAACACGTCGATGCCACGTACAATTCAAGCATTGAAATGAAGAACCACCGAGAAACAACGAAAAGCTAAACGTATTGTGGAATTTGACCGGTTTATTTGTTCTTGAGAACACTACTATCCGAGCAAACGTTGTCACAGATCAAGGTACGATGATGTTCATGAATTTCCTCTTTGCAAATGCTAACCACCACTTGTTTGGAGTCCCATTAGGTCTATATGCAACGCTCAGCAGCCTTCCGCTTGTTTCTTCTCTTATCTGCTTCAGATAATTCCTGAACAGCTCTGCATGCAGAGAGAGGGTATTAGTGGCGGAACAGATTATAAATATGGAATACGGCAATTGTGATGAGATTGCCAAACAGACACCATCGAATTCAAGCATAGGAATTAACAGGGTAGCATTCAATTTGTCTGATTCTAATAACAAGTCCGACCCAGTTGTTTGTGAAAGTGAACAATGAACCGGCATTTCAGACCATTTCTTTTGAAAATATATTTCTCCAGTCAGTTTCATATCAGCCAGCTCAAGATCTTTTTCTGCTGTTCCCAAAGAAGCTTCAAATCACAATGTTCTCCAAAGTTGTTTATCATTTACCCTTTGGCCAAGCTCTTTTTTAAAGTAATATTAAATGCCACAATGTTTAAATCTAGAGCAGGCAATTTTCTCCTAGGAGAGTCAAATGCACAACTCAACCAACTTTGCACCATCAGAGACAAGCTATTGCAACAGAGAAGTTTCGATAGAAAATCCAGCCTTCTAAGGCCGTTGATCACAGACAGAGAAATACTATGCGAAGCCTCACTCAACCAGGCTGCAACCTAGGACTGACATCACAAAGATACAATGGGGGCACAACGCGAAGTATACTCTCCCACACATTTTTGTTCAGCAGGCTGGACAGCTGAAAGATAGATGTCAAACATCTTCTACAGAACCCCCAAAATATAGGCTTTAATTACTGTAAACCCATTCAGCACAGGACATGGTTGACAAAACAGAGTCAAGTACTTCATAAGACCACCGGCACATGGAAGCACTTCAGTGAGTGCATATGTACCCAGGACAACTTTATATGCCATCCGTCCAACGTTTGCAATCCTAGGTCGATTGCTTGCATTGGCAAAAGGTTATTTTGAAATTCCTAGATGGATAAGGAAAACTGAACCGTACATCTAAAGAGCTAAATTGTTACTATGTAGAGGCACTAGTAGGAAACTAATGCAACTTCCCAACTTTAAGTTGAAGTTAGTAATTTGCACACCAAGATTAAATTCATACAGGAACGAACATGTTTGCCTCCGTTAACGTTTTCATCCAAAGCAATAGCTCTCTAAATTGAACACCCAATCGGATACCAGTTACCACCAGAATATGCTGCAGATGCCAGTATTGCACATTTAGAATAGTCGAATCAAATCAAACCACTTCCAAACCAATTAACTGAGGGAGGCAAAAACAGAGAAAAGCACAAATGAACGACGACTAATTGAGATGCTTAACATGTTCCAATCAATCAATCAAGTGGAAGGACAAGTATAAGATGAATATGCATATTGACGATAACTCATGAACGCAAGATATTATCAACTTTATATGACAAGAGCTCTTGCCTGCTTCCTGTGGAGACTGAGGCAAGGGAAAAAGGCCTGGAAAGGGGAACCCAGATTCTCCAGGCACGGGGACCTTCTCCAGACCCAAGTTAATGATAGCTTTGGTCCCTTCAGCCAAAGTTCTGCAGCCCTCTAGCCTCTTTAGTGCCACGTTGATGTAGAATGTCAAATAAATAAGGAGCTTATCCGCAGCACTCTTTATATCGAAGTTCCTAAAGAAGACATTGGCCCGGAAGAATGTGATTGCTTCATCAACAATATCGGTTCTATCTGCAGAAAGCATGCATCAGAAACCAAGCACACAGAATAAAAAATGTTTCAACTGATGAAATCAACTATTACGTTGCTCAGAAGTTGGAGCTGGACCCTTTATATGGCTTTTTAAGGGAAGCAAAGGACACCCACATGCCTTAGTAATCCCTTCCTCGTCCAAAAAACTTGAATGGTAAACCTGCCCTGACAGCAATTTCCAAGCATAATCAGAAAAGGACACTATATATCCTGGAATTGCAGGAGACACAACCGAAGCAATGTAAAAAGCAATCTAAATGGACGATTAAGTCGCAACTTTGCTCATCTTAGCAAAATTACACAAACAGCACATTGGTTCAAAGAACCTGCACTCCAATTTCATATTTTAGAATGCAGATTCATTACATTTAGTTAATTGCGAGCGTCACATCTCATTCTGGTCATATCTAGATTGATCTGCACTGTCTAGTTCTTTCCTTGTTCTTTACATGGCATCTCTAAATTATACTCAGGGTGAAGGAAGCTACAAGGCCCTTTCTTTTGCAAGACTTAGGCCTCATCACCTTTCACCGGAGATGAAGACCAGAATTGACGCCAATTTCGGTCCAGTCTAGATATCATTTCCAACTACATACGGAGAACATGAGCAGCTACCCAATTCTAGTCTCAGAATCATCTGTTCTTCCCCTACATTGTTTTGGTGCTTGCTGCTCAAAACATGGAGACGGATCTCATACCCCCATCAGGTTTATCTTGACACAATGCATTTCTCTTCTTGCCTCCTCCTCTTAGAGCTCGTTCTCTATCTCCACTAAATTTCCTAAAACCAATCTCCACATCTTTGACGAGCGCAATTACTGAAAAGCAAATCGCGATAAACGCCCCCGACAGAAAGATTGTCGACTGGAAACATAAGTTAAACGAGGTTCACATCACCGTACCATGCTGCTTCTCTGTCGATGCGATGCTCAAACTGCGACTGCCCAGAACGTCGAGTTCGTCGAATTCTCTGCACAAGCCGCAACACAAACAATCCATCAAAACAACCATCGCGTTGGAAGCAGCGACAGGACCCATCTCGCTACGCTCGCGGTCCGTCCGCAGCAAAAATTTTGCTTTACCTGAGATGGGGACCGAGCGATGGCGAGCGGATCCCGGGGATCGATGTCGGCTCTCGGAGAGCCGATCGGAGGCGGTGGACAGATCGGCGTTGCTCCGGCGAGCGTGGCTTCCGTCGATTTGCTCCGCGATTCAACGGACGAGAATGAACGTATGATGACGACGACGACGACGACGATGATGATGGGAAGACGATGTAAAGATTGAAGGAATTCGGGGCGGTGTTTTGGCCCGAATCGGTGATGCGAAATGCGAGTCTTGGTCGGTACCCATTTAGCCCCGGGGCGGATCCCGATATGGACCGGGTCGGGGCTCCGTATCCACGGTTTTGGACAAAGATGAGATTTTTAGAAGATCAATTCCGTAACTTCGAATTATGTGATATGTGTGTGTGTGTGTATATATAGAGAGAAACATGATATTGCAGTTTCTAATGCTAACTTGACAATTGACATTGACCCTCTAATTAGATTTCGGAAGAGTAATAAATTAGGCATATAAAAAGATTACTCATATTTTCGAAAACGCAATCACGACATCAAGTTATTATCTTTCTTTATCCCTTTTCTCCTCGTACTCTAGAAGTAATAGGCAAAGGCAATAAAAGTTATTGACACTTTCCTTTTCGACGCTTATTCTTTTCTTGCACTCTTCAATAATTTTTTGAAATTAGATGATTGGGTCTACTATAAAATTTATCCCCATGCAACATGTCGTCCCAAACCCTTACCATACCATCTTCCTTAAAAAGCATGATGAGGTTTTGAAGAGGTACGAATGATTTCCATGTTTTATTGCGATGCAACGTTTTGTTTTCGTTTTTGTGTTTTTGCCGTTGACCAAAGAGCTACAGGTTGAGTTAACGTTAAGGTGTCTTTTTTTTTTTTTTTGCTCTAGATCAAGTTTGCGATACTATGTATCGCATCTCTTTTTTCTACAAAGATGAGGATATGCGGCGTGATTAAAAATATCACATGACGTTACTTCTTTACAAGTGATAAAATTATGTACAAATCTCAGACAATCGATGAGGCTGGCTCGTAGATTTAAGGAATGGAGATGAAACGTATGTAGAGGATTGAGGCAAGTCAAAATATGAAGTATAGACGAACTATCCAAGATTGCACTTTTCTTTGATAGGCTAAAAAACAAAACATGCGAAATACTTAATCATGGTAACTATCCTAACAAAACCGAGGCAGTTTTATTTTTTTTTTAGTGTAAACTGAGGTGAATTTAGTAGCTTTGGGGATGGGAATAGGGCCGCCCTAAATAAAAAAAAAATAGAATTTTATCCCAAAGAGTTATGGAAGCACAAGAAAATACATAGTATAAAACTTGCCCCTATTGTTTGGCCTTCTCTATGAAGATTCTGTACTTGCATTGAAGTGAGAAAGTAGAAAACATATGTCAATCTACGTGTCAATATAGTCAGAGGGTACGCCGATTGCAGCCGGGCCGCCGTCCCCGTCGCCGCCGTTCCCTCGTCGCCGGCTCCGCCGCTAGCGGCGGCGACCGCTTCAACGTCTCCTTCGATCGCATGCTCCCGAACCTCCTCGCCTCCGGTGAACTTCCGGGTATCTGATTCTTCCTCCCCCTCCGTACTAGTATCTCGCTTCAACCCTCTCCGTCCCCCCCTCGCCAAGAAGACGCGTGCGGGTCACATGCCCGGCTTGGTGCGACCAACTTGTCATATCTGTCGGCTGAAATTCCGTTAAAGTTCGTGTTTTTATTGGCTTGTCACGCCTCGTGTCTCTGTCACGATCGCCTGTACCGTCCCAAGCTTCTCTTCCCATGTTTTTGGGAAGCGTCGAGGTTGGCGGGTGAAGATAGTTTTTGCAATATGCTAGCTGGGGGACCATGAATTTTGAAACTTAGTGTGCATTTGCTGGAAAGGAAAGGAAAGGAAAGGAAAGGAAAGGTGTATTGTAGATTCAATGAGAAGGGGCCTAAGCGCAGTGGCTTCCGCTTCTGGAAAAGAAAAGACGGAAAGTTGTTGATCATTCCTTTGTTCTGATTGCTATGTGAAAGGCTTTTGGCACTAGTTTCACATATGAAGCGATGGGCTTTTGGGTGCTTCTTAGTTGCTTCAGAAATGATGCCGTGATTGTGATTGACGGTATTTGAGTATGAAAATGAGTATTTGACTTGTTTACAAGGCAACAAGCGTTTTCAAGCTCATATTTTTATGTTTGAGAGTCAAGAGATAATATTCTAATGTCATTTTCTGGTACTATGATGCTTTTCTTAATGCATTTCTAGTAGTCACTCCTCCTCATCTTTCTTTGCTTTGACACTGCAATTCAATAGGAGGGGGTGTGATTAGCTTTAAGAAACTACGTTGAGAAAGAAGCTCAAGGGCCTAGCAGTGAAGCTTTTGGCTGTCTAATGGATCAGTTAGCTGATCGGATATCAGCTCTTGTAGAAAGCAATGATCCTTACAAGAACCCGGGTGCTCTGAGAGTCATTGATGAGCTTATAGATGTGGCTATTAGAGAAAATGCTTCCATGGTTTTGAGATTCTCAAATTACCTGAGAATTGTGTTAGAGGTGAACCGTGATGAGAGAATTTTGGTCCTCGCTAGTAATGTTCTAGGCCATCTAGCCAGGGCTGGTGGAGTGATGATGAACGATGAGATTGAACGCCAGGTGTGTCACTTTTCTATCAGTTAGTCGTATGCTTTTTAAAAAAAAAAAAATTGTAACATGGTTCTCTTTATTTCTGCAGTTAGAAATAGCTCTGGATTGGCTGCATGGCGAGAGAGTGGAGCATCATCGTCTTGCTGCTGTTCTTATCTTGAAAGTAAGCATTTCTTACTAAGTTATTTTTCAAATGGACGTTGTTGCCATAATAATTTCAAATAGAGGATAGAGAATTAGATTTGTCAAGATTTCATCGTGGAGGGATCGTTATTGTTGAGGGATTGTCTGCTTTTCTGTTGCACTTTATTGCTGGCTTCCATTCATTGGCTTTAACGATGTATATTTTTGTTCTCTGGTCTGATTTAGGAAATGGCTGAAAATGCGTCAACTGTCTTCTATGTCTCTGTACCTAAATTTGTCAAATCCATCTGGTTTGCTTTGAGGGATCCAGAGGAGAAAGTACGAGAGCATGCTGTCGAGGCATTACGTGCTTGCCTTCGTGTTATTGAGTTGCGGGAAACACGTTGGCGTGGGCAATGGTTAGTTCCGTCATTTGATATTATGCCCGTTCCCTTTAGTGCGCAAACGCACGTGATGTGGTTTTTGTCATATATGGAATTTCAGTTAGCACAGAGCATTTTGGAATTTTTTTTTTCCGAAAGCGGTTGAGCATTTCCAAGGTGAAAGGCATAAAGTTCACATATTTGCTAACTTTTTCCGTTTTTTCTTATCTTTCTTCTGAGAAACTAACTGAGTTGTCTGCCTTTGACATCCAGTGTCATTTGCTGCTGTTGATATTGTTATTGCACTCATTATTGTAATTATGATAATTGTTGTTGACCTCTCTCTTTTTTCTGTAGATAAGGAGTAGGTTTTGTTCATTTGTTGCTGTCGAGATCACTTGCCTGTATTAAAGGAAGATTTCTGAACTTTAATGAGTCTAGTAGCCTTGCATTCCAACTTGGCTACCTAACCAACATTTTCTCTGTTCCAGCAGAGTGAAGTCTTGTTGATATTGAAGGTCTAACTTAGGGAATCATATTGACCAACAAATCAAAACCATTTAGGATGCAATAGAAGCTTAATGCTCCATTGATGAAGCACTCATCTAGCAATTAAGCTGATATTCCGATGCTTTGCAGCAGTCCAAGCCCAATAATAGATGATTTGTGATTCCTTAGCTTGGAAAAATCATGCACTGTATGCTCATATTCATTTAGTTCTTTCCTAAAATTTCAAATCATTTGATACTATATTCTGTGTTCTCCATTAGCTTCAACCCGTATATATCTTCTGTAGCTGTCATCTTTGACAGGTACTATATTATGTTTGAGGCCACACAAGATGGCTTGGGTAGAAATGCTCCTGTTCATAGCATACATGGTTCATTGCTTGCCATTGGAGAACTTTTGAGGTTTGTATTATATACAGGACAAAAATGTCATTTGGGGCATCCATTAGTTTTGTCTAGTGGAAAAAGTCACGGTTTACAATTACCTCTTAATGCAGGAACACAGGTGAATTCATGATGTCGAGGAATAGAGAAGTTACTGAAATTGTTCTTAGATATCTAGAGTACAAGGATCTTCTTGTTCGCCACAGCATAACATTATTATTACCTCGGATTGCTCATTTCCTTCGCGATCGATTTGTTGCACAGTATTTAACGGTTTGTACTTTGTGAGCATCTCTTTTTGTGTGTTTTATGCCAGTCAGTGGGAATATTTAAATGGACTTTTCTCTATGTGGGCTTTTTTCTAGCTTTAATATCGCTGTGCAAACAAATTTCCTACAGATATGCATGAAGCATATATTTGCAGTTCTACAGTCACCAGCTGAACGAGCCAGTGGGTTCATAGCCCTTGGGGAGATGGCAGGTGCTTTAGACGGGAAACTTATCGAATATTTGCCAACTATCATGTCTTACATATGTGATGCAGTATGTACCTCTGCCACTTACTTTTATTCCAGTTGCTTATAAATTGAAGATTCCAGCTGCAGTAATTTTGTTTAGTCTAGCGACTTTGATTGTGCCATGATAGACGTTCATAGATGATTTAAGGTGCTCCCTGTCTATCAACATGGACGGTTCAGTGGATGTTGTCTTCAAAGTCGGAGTCATTGATGTTTTAACGTGACTTTCCTTTTTGTTGGCTCCGACAACTGTGTTCCAAGTGAGGGAGCTTCATGTAACTTTTCCTCTGGATAGTATCCTAATATCTGGTGTTGTTCTGATCCATAGATTGCTCCACGTAAAGGTAGACCTTCACTCGAGGCTTTGGCTTGTGTTGGAAGCATTGCTAAAGCCATGGGGCCAGTGATGGAACCTCACATTCGAGGAATTTTGGATGTTATGTTTTCAGCTGGAATTTCTCCAACACTTGTAGATGCTCTTGAGAAAATAACAACTAGGTACGATATGGTATTAATTCTCTCTTCCTGGATAATCGTAATGGATAGATGATTAATGATAAAGAATTTGATTTTTTATTGAACGTGTTTTCAGTATTCCATCTCTGCTACCTCCGATACAAAGTTGGTTGCTCAGTTGCTTTTCAAGTGTTCTTTCCAAGACCCATCCTCCTCCAGAAAAGTGGGCTATTGCCTTGGTTCGAGGGAGTATGGTGAATACTTCAAAGCAAATCTCGGAGATTAGTGGTTCAGCTCTTGTGCAACTTGCTCTGCAAACTCTGGCTCGTTTCAATTTTAAGGTACTAAATTGACTGAGGTATTTGAAGGATTTGTATTGTACATATCATTGCATGGTGCTGATTAATTACTTTTTAGGGCAAAGAACTCCTTGAGTTTGCCAAAGAATCAGTCATCATTTACTTGGACGATGGAGATAGAGAAACACGAAAAGCAGCTGCCCTTTGCTATTTCAAAATGGTTATGAGTTCTCTCTGCAATGTGACATCGACACAATTTGGTTCTGCTAAATCAAGTCAAACTGGAAGAAAACAAAGGCGAATAATTGAGGAGGTGAGTTTTGTCATTGCTGTTTGTTGCTCTTCTTTTGTCAGTTAAATGCAAAGTGTACAAATGCAGCTTATGTACATTGGGGGTGAAAACAGAGTACATCTTTCCCAAAGTTGCAGAACAGATTCCTCAGCTGTGAATTTGCTTCTTTATTCGACCAAAAAAAAAAATATGCTTCGTTTAAAATTTTATACGCATGACTTCGGCACCTACATTTCTCATAGTAGCATCTTCAAAAAAGCAAATGATAAAGGTAAACATCGATATTTTACAGTAAACACTGCCTTAGGTTAAAAGTGGGCACCAACACATTTGTCAAAAAAAAGAGGAACCGAGTGTATGGACAACCAAATTTCCATAAATTCCAAGCTACCTCCATTCTTTAGTATTGAGATTACTACTTGTAACCTGAATGTTAGCAATTAGGTGCAGTGATTTCGGGCTGTGAAAGTTTATCTAACTGTTCCCAAGTAAAAGCTCATTGCACTGATGGCTTTCCCAGTGATGAAAACAAGGAGTGGCTTAGGGTTACCAAAGTTTTTCTGCAGTTGTTTTTGATGTCTGGTACTATTATTAGACAGAATATCAAAGCCTTTTCCCTTCCTCTTGTCTTAATAACCATTATTTGGGACATGGATACTGAGTAATCTCAAGATGGCTGATGGAACTTGTGGTGCATTGACCTACTAAAGTGACTACTTTGCTTGTTGCAGCTTGTTGAGAAACTCCTCGTAGCTGCTGTTACGGATGCTGATGTAACTGTTCGGAGGTCCATCTTTTGCATCTTGATGGATAGACGACTTGATGAGTTTTTAGCACAGGCAGATAGTCTAAGTGCACTTTTTGCTGCTTTAAATGACGAGGTACTTTCTCTTATTCCTTGAAGTTTTATTTTCGTTCTGAAAACCCTTGAGAATGTGGAAAAAGGTGATGTGTTGCACAAAGCATGTACGTATGCGCACACTCGTCAGACATGCATTCACGCATATACCCGTGCGGACACACATGATCACCCAAATTCTGTGGGTGCAAAAAACTAATTGTTTTTAGCGACTCTGAATCCATGATCATTGTCCTATCCTCAACCCCTTGCCAGGCTTTGAATACTTCTATTGAGAACATGAGAAAGATGTTCTTTAAGGTCCAAATTTTGAATCTTCATGGACGGGGAAAGGTGATAAACCTCAAGATCTCATGTACGTAGTATGGTTTATGATCCATATGGGGGGGAATATCATCGGAGGTTGTCAAATCAATACAGTTTACGTGGCTCTGATGCAGAACGTGAATGATACAGGTGTCTTCACATTATTGTTATGTTGCAGCACCTAAATTTTCTCTGATAAATACAGCTGCTTCATTGTATGTACAACTCAAGTCTATGCTGCTCTTCCCAACTAAAGAAATTACTGGTTGATGATGTAGATCTTACTTTACTCTTTCAATCTTGATTGGAAATTCTAGGGTTATACTTGGAAGGGTTTCACGAGTTCTTCTCGCCGACTCCTCTGGGCCATTCTTCTTAGCTTATGTTTCGTTTTGAGCCCCTTTTGTTGTTGTCAAATTGTACTCATTACCTTTTACTGTTATATTGAACACCTTTTGAAAGGATTTGGATGTTCGTGAATACGCTATCACAGTGGTGGGGAGGTTATCGGAGAAAAGCCCTGCATATGTTCTTCCGGCTTTTCGTCGCTTACTCATAAATTTGCTGACATATATAGAGCAAAGGTGATTTCTAACGGTCTTTTAATTTTTGTATTTTAATAGTCAACATGCATAGCATGAGTAATATATAGAACTAGTCAGTCTGTAGGTTGTGGAATCTACACTTTTCATCACTAGTTCTCTATGGAGTTAAAATTAGAAGTTTGGTGCTTTAAGCCAAGCTATTGGCTAAGATGCCCTTTCTCTGTCAGCAGTGCAGATAGCAAATGCAGAGAAGAAAGTGTGCAGTTACTTGGTTGCTTAATTCAAAATTGTGAACGGCTCATCCGCCTATATATGGCTCCAATTCAGAAGGTTAACTGATAATGTCAGCGTTGTAGCTATATTCAACATTTGTTTGCCTCTTTAATTTAGACAATTCCGACATTTCCAGGCACTTGTTGCAAGTCTTGTGGAGGTCTCTAAGGGCAATGCTAATACAGCCATTTTAAGCAGAGTTCTTATAACTGTAGGGGATCTTGCTAGAGTGGTGAGTTGAATTTTTCTTTCTTTATTTAGACTTTTGTAATTTATTCTTAAGATTCTTTGAATTTTTAGTTAAGTCTATTTTTATGTAATCTAAGATTTCAACTCAAAACTAATATAAGTTTACATCAAAATATAATTGTCAAGATTGATGTTTGTACTCATATGAAGATTTTGTCATATGTGATTGAAATCCTACAGAAAATCTATCAAATCGAGACCCTGATTAAGGTCATTTGATGCTAAGATACTAGCATTGGGTACGACCATTCGTTATTATCATTAGCTGGATATGCATCTCTAGTGTTTCTTTTGTACTCTACCATTCCTATCTGGCAGATCCGAAGATGGAATAATTTTTGTCTCGGTTGAATGAAATCTCTTGCTAGACGCTTTTAAGGTGTCCTTTTTTGGTCTAGGTAGTAGTATTGTTTCCTCGGTTTCCTAAAAGACTTTTCCTTTTATGATTGGATTTCTCAACTATGAGGTCGGTCTCTCCCAAGTTTGTTGGGTCCATATGCAAAAAATTGTGATGATACATTATGGAGGTATTTTAATTTTAATTTTCTTTGAACCTCCTTTTTTTTCTGTGAGAAATTACAATTATTTTTTGAAAGAGAACCTGTTCCGAGTACATCAGAAATTTACAATAACAGAGAGAAAGAAACAACAAACTAAATCAAACAACTGCAGCAATAATTGAGATGAGGTATGGATCTCAAAAACACGCTTAAAAATAGCAAAACCCAAGAAATATGGATCATTGGATCCCTCGGACAATCTTCTATTGCGTTTCTCCGAATGCACCAACTAAGTCCCAGGGGTGCAACAGTCCCAAGATTTTTTAGGAAGATGAGATCCAAACAATGAGCTCCAGCTTTGAGGCAGATGAAAACTTTTCTTGGCATAATCTGGCACACACTAGAGGCGTTTAAAATGAAGCTCTAAATGGATGAACAAAATCACAGCCTGACCCAGAGTTCTTTTATGTTTTTATCTTTATATTGTGGAAGCACGTTATCATTACGACCTTTTTTTGCCACTATCACCACTATTGCTAGCAATTATGTTTTCTTCAAGAAAATGAAAAATTGTGGTCGTGTTGTTTGTCAGGGTGGTTTTGCAATGCGGCAATATCTCCCCGATCTGATGCCTTTGATTGTAAATGCTATATTGGACGGAGCTGCAGTCATGAAAAGGGAAGTGGCAGTGTCAACTCTTGGTCAGGTTGTGCAGAGCACTGGGTATGTCAGATGTTTCTTATGTTCTGCAGTTTCTATTTTTCTTTAACCTTTTGTGCATGATTCCTTTTGTTGCTCACCATATATCAAAAAGAAATGATGAATGACGGATGCATTTTGATTCTGTTTTCTTTTGTGACTGCAGGCTGTGAAAGTTGGATTTAAATTTCTTGTATTGTTAATATATTTTTAGAACGTTGTCATTCAGTGTTTTTCGAAAGCAATAGGAAAATTTTTATATGAGAACGTTATGATGGGTGCCAACCCTATAATAAGATAAAAAGAGGGAGACAATCTATGAAGCCTGACAAACAATCAACATTGAAAAGTTGTTTTAGTAACCAAAAATATCATGACCTATAGTTATCTATACTGTAAATCAAATAAGTTTGATTCTACACTCTCAAAAACCCTCAAGTTTCTCTCTAAGCTGACTTTGTTGACATTCTTAATTTTGATACTTCATCCCTATTCCCCTTTTGCCCCCAATAAAACGATGATGGATAAAAATCCTTACATATGCTAATTACATATAGGGAGATAACATCAAGCAATGAGGAAAGTCATGTGATTGTCAAATTAAGGTTTGAATCGTGACTTAGAGGGCCCTGTGATGAAAGTTGTTTGTGAAAATAGGGACTCTTGGTTTTTTGCCTTGGTAATTTGTTTAGACATTGTACTTATGCAGGCCTTTTCAATGGTGTAGAGTTGTTAGAAAACCGTCCTAGTGAGGTGCAATGCTTAAACTGTGATCAGTAAACAAACCCTACAGAAGTCGAAATGGGATACTTCACTAAGGAAGTAGCATTGGTGGTTAACTATACTAATCATAGCCATTCTGAGCTGCGTTTGGGTATGGAATGGATAGGCCCCAAGTGGTTGCCTCTCCTACTACCAATGTGTGTGGGTGTATCATCGCCCCCTCATTCTGGTTTTACTTCATTCGCTATTAACAAATGCACATAGAATTCTGACCAAAAAAAAAAACAACAAATGCACACAGAACTAAAGAATGGGGATTCACATGAAATCAACTTAAATGGGTACGAAGGATGTGGAACCTTGCTCTAATATAAAAAAAGTCCAGTCCAAAAGCTTAAGCCATTAAGTTGAAGAAGACTTACATGTATATAAGCCCATTGAAACCCTGTACTTGACCGATGGGGAATAGCACTATTAGAAAGTCCAACCCAAAAGCTTAAGCTATTAGGTGGAGGAAGACCACATGAATATAAAGAGCATTTAGGACCCCATTGTCAATCGATGTGGGATAATACTTCACCAGCCTCACTCACGTGCAAGCCGGATTATGAGCAGCACGTGAAATTTTGACATTGCACATTCACATGGAATTTTTACCACGCACATTCGCGAAAGGGATAGCATTGGCTCTGATACCATGTTAGAAAGTCCAACCCAAAAGCTTAAGCTATTAGGTAGAGGAAGACCACGTGAATATAAAGAGCATTTAGGATCCGTTGTCAATCGATGGGATAATACTTCAACAAGCAATAACAGGTTTATAATACTAATCTGTGGATCGTGACCATATCTTGGTTTGAATATAATTATATGAATTCTTGCTCAGTTTCATTCATTTCTTGAAGTGGAATAGTTGTGTATTTCTGGCAAATTGAATCAAAGACCTTACATAATAGCAAAGTTAAAATTGGTGAACTTTGATCATTATAGTAATGTTTTCATTTAATCTGGCAACTTCTGATTGGCATGAGTTGAGCTGTAATTGATTTTTGGATTGTAAAATTATACGCTTTAGAATCTCAATTTCACAACCATAGTTGGTAAGGTAGAATCTTTTGCAACTTCCTTGTGCTAATGTACATCATGCTTCATTGATTTACAGCTCCTCCTTTCATTCAGTTATTTCCATATGAGAATTTAGTGGCTGCTTCTGAAGAGATTGAGTTTCTATTTCAAGAATCGGATAGAATGAATGTAAGATATCAAGAATATTGTGCTATTTGATTTTGCAGGTATGTGATAATGCCTTACAATGAGTATCCTTCACTACTTGGCTCTCTCCTTAAGTTGATGCATGGTGAGTTGGCGTGGTCTACCAGGCGCAAAGTACTGAAGGTAGCTATTTATTAACTTGAGCTACTGGTGCAATTTTGGCTGACTATATCACTGTGTTTGATAAGTATCGAAGCGCTTGCTTTTTTTATATGCTTTTATCAGGCTCTTGGAATAATGGGTGCTTTGGATCCTCTTATGCATAAGCGGAATCAACTAATTTTGCCTGGTTCTCATGGACAAGCGGCTCCTGCAGCTGGTTATTCAGGCCACCATATTCAGCATCTGGATGAAGTAATGATGGATAATTGTCCATCTTTTGCTACATGCGAGACCTATTGTTCCTTGGTAGGATATAGACCTGAGAAAAAGTCACGTTTTTATTGTGTTGAGTATCAAAATTTTTGTTTATGCGGATTAGAAATTTTGGTGATGTTTAATCCTGATGCAAACTTTATGTACCCATCTTGTGCATTTTATTGTTTATAGAATGGACTGTACCAACCATTTCAATGGATAGTGGTTGGTCATCTAGTTCGGTTCAGTACTATGTGCAAGCCGGCTTTGCCCTTGTTCAACTGGTGCAAATTGTGAACCCATTTGACCGGTCTTGGCCCTTTGTAAATTATAGGAGGGCTGACAGATGAGGAGGTTAATCCATACCCCCCTTGATTAGACATTTATGCTGAACTAGCCGGGCTAAGCTTTCCTTCTTAATTTAATAGCAAAAAATTGATTCAAGGAAACTAAAGCTTTACCTTTTGAAAAGCATTTACTATTTACACAGTTAGCAAGACTTGAACAATCCCTCTAAGGAAATATTGAATGCCTCTACCAACTTGACTTGTGAACTATTTTGCTTAATGAACTTGCTTAATGTTGCATTTGGTGCTTTCATCGTTCAGCTGGTTAAACAGCATACCATTCAGCTATCTGGTATGATGTCCAATGCGGTTTTAAAACATTGGTGCATTTACAATTTTCTTTTTTGTCTTCTTTTATCAATGAACCCAGGTAGTCATAAATTCTCTCATGCGAATTCTCAAGGATCCTTCTCTTGATAGCTACCACCATAAAGCGGTTGGTTCACTAATTTTCCTTTTTAAGGTATGTAACTTCTACAAGATATTGGTTGACCTTCAATTGATTCATATACTTATTCTTATCTCTTTAAAAGTCATTAGCTTCTTTTTCTTGCAAGATCAGTCAATTGGACTTCGCTGCATTCCATTCTTGCCAAAGGTAAGTTAACCAGGGGGACTGATGATGGAGATGGACAAAGTGAATTTCACTATACTTTAAATGGTTGATTTTGAGTGACCTTTGTGACTGTAGGTTTTACCTGATCTCTTTCTTATTGTCGGTATATGTGACGATACACTGAAGGACTTCATAGCTTGGAAGCTTGGAACTCTTGTATCCATAGTTCGTCAGGTGCGGTGTAAGCAAAAAGATTTGATGCGTGGTCATTTTATTGAGTTCACATGGAGGTTTTATGGGGACTTTTATGTGGCTTATGCAGCACATTAATAAATATCGGCAAGAATTGCTTTCATTAATTTCTGAACTGTGGTCATCTCTGAGCTTGCCAGCTGTGAGTCATCCACCACGTGGCTTTCCAGTGAGCTTCTCTCTCTGTGTGTTGCCCCCGCCGCCCCCCCCCCCCCCCTCCCCCTTCCCCGCACACATGCACTTGCTCTCTCTATCTCACGCACAGGCACATCATTTGTGGGAACTAATTTCCAGTCAATATATTCTTAGGTTCTGCACCTGGTTGAACAGCTTTGCTTGGCTCTTGGTGATGAATTCAGAACATATATTCCTGATATACTGCCGCATTGTATTCAATTTCTTAGCGATGTGGTTCGGTGCAACGACTACACATATGTGCTTGATATCCTTCATACGCTTGAGACCTTTGGTGGTTCGTATTTTAATTTTCTCTTCTGATGTTTAAGTTTAGGTAAAATGAAGATTACTGAATAGGAGTCTTTGCAGTGCATTCTTTTTTATCATTTATCTTGTCTTTTTCTGTTTCGTTTTCCCTAACTGATGTATAATCGGATTATCTGGAAAATTCATCTTGTCATTGAACAAGGATGTGTAAGAGAAAAGGAAGCATGGACGAACGATTGCTTGCATAATGAAGAGGGAATGATCTATACTAGAACTTATAGGGAGCAAGTGAATTGCATTATATTGCGTTGATATAATTTAAAAATTGAAGTCCTCTACTAATTGCAACTCCAGGATAGTAGGATTGCTCCTGCAAGAACTTAAAAGCAATAAGCAAGTATCTACTTAAATGACTCCAGAGTGAAGAGTCTTTCTACATTGCAATCTCTCTCATACAGGGACACTCGTTTCTGTTAAACAAATGCAGGGACCTTATGTGAGCACATGCATCTTCTTCTTCCAGCACTCATCCAATTGTTCAAAGAAAATGCTCCCGTGGACAAAAGAAGTGCTGCCATAAAAACTTTAACCAGATTAATCCCTCGAGTCCAGGTAGTCCAGCTCAGTTTCTTAGAGTTAAGCTTGTAAAAGGGTGTGAGCTTGTGTTTTGCACAGGTTGTATTGGGAATACTAGAATATATTCGTACAAAGAGTGGTAAAAGGGGAGCTTTTTGGACAAAGTATTATCTTCATTTTTCTTGTTATTGCTTTTAGTGATATGTTTTTTTTTTTTGGTAAGGTTGCTTTTAGTGATATGTTCGTTCTCTATAGTTTTCATAAATGTGTTGCTTGAGTTAATTAATGTGTTGGACTCTTATCTGCACCTTTTTTCTGTCATTATCAGGTTACTGGCCACGTATCTTTGCTAGTCCAACACTTGAAGCTAGTTTTGGATGGGTTAGTTTGTCCTTTGTTTTAGACTTCCGTTCAATAGAAGTAGAACAGCATTTTACTCCATGGTACCTCCAAGTTGTATGTCTTCTGGTAGCATGTGTTCTTTGGATCTTATGATTGAATTGTATTCCAGTCACGCTTTCTCCACATCATTGCCTTGGTTTGAATTGAACTGGTTTATAGTGTAGAGGAACCTCCACTGCAAAATGACGCGCTTTGCACATGGAAAGTGAAGGTTATATCGTTGACTCTCGTCATTTAGCTGAAAATGCCCCTCCACTGCTATATAATCTAGTTTGCCTGTTGAGGACTGCAGGTAGGTAGTTAGATTTGTAATGAATCTAGCATGAGAAACCTCAAAACTTGAAAGAGGAAAATAACAGAGTAATGGTATATTATTCTAGCCTCTCCATATTCAAGTTGCTATAGACTATTCTATAACTCAAGAAAGTAAGAGAGAGAAAGTTCTTTTACTAAAGCGGCTTGTACCATTCTTAAGTTTCTTTAGCTTCTTCTCCGTTTCCTTTATTTTGTGTTTGCCTTATCTTTTGTATACTTCTTGTAGTCTCGGATCCCATTGCACCTGTTTGTCTTTGATAAAGTAACATTACTTGTAAAAAAAAAGCCACAAGAGAAACGAAATGGAGCTACTGCCATTCTTAATACTGGTAGAGGGGAACACTACTTATTGTTCAGATCTGGTTCATTTGTTCCGGATTCGGTGAATAGCAATTAAGATGAGAAATGTTAATACTTGAGGTCACAGTTTAACCACCAAAGGATCTAATATCTACTTAATGGCCAAACCTGGTACTGTTCCAGTTTGGACACTAGTTCTACCACCCAGCATTCATGTTAATAATTCACATTTAATTATATACTGCTACCTTGACACTAAATGCAAAATTATACCCTTCTAGATTATTAATAAATGGATGGACTATCTTAAGGGGTGGTCTTGTCTACACAATAGTAAATAGCATGTGGAATTGCATTCATATCTTAGAATAAACTAAATTGGTGTATCAAGAGAGAAGCTCTTGAGCATCTACCACGATGCACCACATGTCTTTTCATGGTTGGCCCGTCCAGTCTTATGGATTGTTTATATATAAATAGCTTTCAAAAAGTAGTTTCTAACGTGGAATTGGCAGGTTTGAATCTTGCGCCTCCAGGTCAACTTTTATTTTTTTATTTTTTGTTACCAGAGTTTGCTGGACTCTTTCGTTTCTTTTTTTAATTTTGTTCTTATTTCTTTTTCCAATTCTTTGTAAAGTCGCTTCTTTTCTTCTTTTCTCGATTATCATAAGATTTCCTACCATTTTATTTCCTTATTTTGTTTGCCTTTTTATTTTTTTAATCCAATTAAATACAAAATGATCTTGTGTTTTTTATTTCGTTGTCCAACCTATCTTTTAGTGCAGAATTGTATTTCTTTTCTTATATGTTTCCAAATCAATCCGCTCATTTATCTTTTATGTCTATTTTTCTATTTCACTTTGTTGACAGTCCTTTAAAAATATTTTGCAATTGAATCCAACTATGAAGAAATCATTCCAATTATCTTGAATGTATTATTATTGTGACAAATCAAATTTAGGATAATAAAAAAAGAGTTCTTTAGTGTTATTGTCACAATAGTATTTAACCCAATTGTTTTGTATTCCACTAACGGGTGTGTATGGAAGGGGCTGCCACGTATTATGCCATGTGTCAATTTTTTGTTTGTCTCAACACCACTATCAATGTAGTGTGCATCTATTCTTCTCCTATTTTGTCTAATACAAATATAAAGCTCATATTTTTGGAGAAATTGGCTTTGTTTTTATAAAAGTGATTTTTTCTTTTCAATTTAGTTCATTTTATCTGAACTATAGCAAAAAAAGAATTAGTCTGACAAATGAGTATCGGAAAAATGATGAAATAATTATTCTTTCGTTGTGGTATTCTCATCCATCCAACTTCCTTATGGTTTTCTTCCAGAACGAAGTCAATTCTTCTTGGACGAGGATCTATCGTTCTACATTCTATTCATGCACTCTTTTGTTATTTTTACTATAGTACTAAAAGAGGACCGACTTCCACCCAACCCATCATGATACATTTTCTGCTGTGCCAGACTTGGAGAGTTAAAAAAACTTATATAAGGCAATTCATGAGGAGAAATTCAAATTGACCTGGCTCTTGTTATGGAAGAATGGATAGCAGCAGGGCAATGCTAATTTTTTCATTATTGAATCACCTCTTCTTGTAGATTTTCAGCAACTACCAAAATAGAATAGGGTGAGACCTTAAGCCATAGGATCTATCTCATTGTAGAAGTTAGTTCCCTTCACCAAATTAGTTCATTTTATTTTTTCTTATGGAATTATACAAATGTCTTTCTATATGAGTATATCTTCTTTGTTTGTATGAATAAATCTTTTATCGTAATAATATAAAAATATAGGTAAATCATTTTTGTTATTACATCTGTTACAAGACGGAAAAGAATTACTTTTTTTTAATAGAAGTACCGGGATTAAATAATCAAGTTTCTCAAAAAAATTAAAACTTTTTTTTTGTAATATACAAAATTAAAATTATAGTGTGCTATATCGACATATAATCTAATAAGAACAGGTAGCATGAGAGGACATGTTTTCTTAGTAAGTGGCATGTGTTACATTTTTACTTTTGATCTTATTAGATCTCAACAACCTCATGCAATATTAAAGAACAATAATGAGGTTTAAATAATCTTTTTACTAAAAAAGTAATTAATTTTCTCTCATGCATGTCGTGGGTGCGTTCTAGTTTGTTTTTTAATCATAAAATGCTCTATACTCTCATCCTTCAGTTTGATGAAAAATCCTCCTTTTACGATACTGTTGGAAAATTCGTTTGATGTGGATCAGACGGCACTTCATCTAGGACTTTATTGTTTCTCCCCTGCTATGTTATTAAAATTCTTAAGTGGAACAGGTCATAATTTTTCTAACTACTCTTTGAATTAGAGTGCTTTGGCTCACTTGGGCGATCCTTTAATTTAAGATGATAGTTTCCCTTGTTTGGGCTGCTGACGGTATACTACTACTCCATATGATTTATGGCGAGGAAGCGGTGAATGAACTAACTTTGGCTTTGCTTCCAAACTGGTTTGGAAGCAAAGCAACATTTCCGAGTTTCTTTGAGTAATGGTACATGTAATTCACGAGATGTAGATGCTCTTTAGAATTTTTTTGGAGCTTGACAGAATTGCAAATTGGTCAAGTATTTCAAAAATCAAATACTTCAAGCATGCAATATTGATACTTCTATTAGGCAGGACGTCTTTGCATAATTTTCTGCTGTCGAGATGAAAATCTGTAACACGCATGATTTACTAGATATATTGAGAAATCAAATTTTTGTCCCAAACTAAGAGACGGTCTGTTTTTATGTCATAGATACGACCTTTATCAAAGTTCTGGATCTTAATTTTAAGAAAGATAGTGTGGTTCTATGCAGTAGGGACGTCCTTCTCTGTGATGCAAGTAATTTATCAATTCAAGCTGCAGGAACAAAATGTATTTCAAGCATGGAGTACAAGGTCAAATAGCATATTTTGACTAGGACCATGTTGAAACTGTCTGAAAGAAGAAAGTTCATATACACGTCCTTGTGAATGTTATAGATGATGCTTGATATGAATTGTGAGCATATTGGCAACTAGTTTAGGCTTTTAGTAAGTTTAACATGGTATTACAGGCAAAGAGTATGAATCCTGATATGCCCTCTTTTATGTATCTCTCAGCGTCTGTTATTGTCCTCCCAATTCCTGATTGCATAGCCAGTGTGGCTATGTGCATGTTGTCAATTCTACATGGAAGGCAAAGCTTATAGCAGAGGATAGTGATAATGAAAATGCTTGAGATACATCATTGTTAGAATAATTTAATATTAAACCACGCCTTCAGCTAACAACTTAAGCCTTTAGAACAATTGGCAGTGGTCTTACAAAATCTCACATGGTATTAGAGCTGGGGTCCTGAGTTCAAATCTTTCCGAGCCTCATTTGCCTCCCCAATTAAATATGTCCACGCTTAGTACTAGGCAAAAACGATCAGACTGAGTGAGAGGGGGAGTGTTAGAATAATTAAATATTAAACTACGCCTTCATCCAACACTTAAGCTTTTAGAACAGTTGGCAGTGGTCCGACAAATCTGTTGGTGGATAGTGATAACAATGCAAGTTAATTTAGGGAAGAGCTGGAATTTGGAACACCATGTCACAAGCTAATCTGGTCCTTATTTTATTGAAATATTGCCCACTTCTGTATGTACTTACCATAATTCCGTGATTGATCATTCCTATGTTGAGTTGACCATCCTCTATATCAGTGGAACATATCTCTCCGTGCCTTTTTGTTTTTATATGAAGCTGCTTATTTGTTTATGTCAATTTGCAGAGAAATTGATGAGCTCAGGAAGGATGCTGTAGATGCACTCTGTTGTCTAGCTTATGCCCTCGGGGAGGGTTTCACCATCTTCATACCATCTATACAGAAACTTCTTTTAAAACATCAACTGAGGGTGCTCTGTCTAACTAATGTTTTTCTTGAAGATTGCATTCTGCTTGATACTTTTTATGGATCATGATTGTGGCTCAACCTGTTTTCAGCATAAGGAATTTAAGGAGATTGAAGAGTGTGTTCAGAGACGTGAACCACTGATCTCAGGGAGCAAAACTGCTCAGAAACTAAGCCATCACCTTGCTACAGAGGTGATGAGTGACCCATTGAGTGATTCAGAGAATGATCCGTATGAAGATGCTTCTGATGTGCAAAATGAGCATGGGGTTTATCAGGTATACTTTCTCTTGCTATTAGCTAAAATGTAATGTTGGATTGTGTTTGCCCTTATCATAAGATGCGCCGGAAGCAAGTATGGTTTCTTAAGAATAGTCTTACATCATTTATGCAAGATGCGAAGTCTATTTAACTTTATGGAGCCTGTCATCTGTGACAGTGTGTAAAATTAAGTACAATGTATATCGAGTGAAATGTTTTTTATCTTGTGAATGGTGTGGTGGTAAATTGTTGCACACTGGCAATGAGTGTTTCATACTTTGAGAATACTTTCACTGAGGTAATTAAACTTCTATAGATTTATTTTCAATCGATGCACTTTACTGATGTTCTGGTCAATTTTCTGGACGTCACACCCTCGATGCAAGTTGAGTGCATTAACCTGTCAGCTTAAGTTTCAGTTTGACATTATAACAAGTTGAATCTACTTTGCACAATGAAGGTCAATGATGGTCGTCTACTAACTGCTGGGGAGGCTTCTCAATGCAGTACTAAAGAAGATTGGGCTGAATGGATGAGGCACTTTAGCATTGAGCTCTTGAAACAATCTCCATTTCCAGCTCTACGAACCTGTGCAAGGTTGGCACAATCGCAGGTGAGGCTAGGAATACTCTCCATACGCTTTTCGGTTTTTGCATGTGGATCTAACCATATGAGCCTACAGCCCCTTGTAGGAAAAGAATTATTCGCAGCTGGATTTTGGAGCTGTTGGTTGCATTTGAGTAAATCTAGTCAGGAACATTTGATTCAGAATTTAGAGCTGGCATTTTCGGCGCCAAATATTTCTGCTGAAATTCTTGCGGCACTTCTAAACTTGGTACACCTTTTCAGTTCATTCTTTAATACTAGTTTACAATCAATAACACTGAAGCTTTGGACCTGAAGTTAATAGTGATAGAAGGAAATGAAATGAGATGACTTGGCAGGAGCTCATAAGGCGATGGAGAAATGGTTATATCTCTGTTAGTGGATTTGGTCAATTATTGGATGATTCAGGAGTTGATAATGTTTTGTTTCAAGCAAAAAGGAAAGTTTTGCCTGCTTCACACTTCAATGTCATTTACTATGAGTACTGGCACTTAGTTATGTGAATGAGAAATTTGAAGGATTTGGTTAATCGAATTGTAAAGAAGTGCCCCTCTCCCATATCAGTGTGAATGGATTTCTGGAGTTAGCTAATATAAATAAATGCAAATTTGTGTATGTAGTTTAACATTAATGGAAGCTGACATAGTTCTGCAATTTTGTCTTTTTCTTTTTTGTGCATTTTAATTGATTTGAGTTAAAGAGCAATAACTGCAGGCTGAGTTCTTTGAACACTATGAGAAGCCTCTTCCTATTGACATCCGACTCCTTGGTGCTCTTGCACAAAAGGTATGGTTTTAACTTAAGCAGTATCTAAGACCCTGGTTTTGGGTTTTGGAATTGGGTAGTTAGTGAGCCACAGGCCCATATACCATCTTATGGATGGCTGATTTGTAAACCTTTTAGACATTACAAGCAGGCAGATTCTGCAATCCTAATATTCTCTGTTCTGATTACTTCTGACTCCTTGTCAAACGAATTACATCATCATTTTCTTTTTGTAACATTTCTTTACTCGACTTTACTCCATTTGTACAAGTTTTTATTATTCTTTTCTTGTTCATAAATTGCAGTTTCATGCATTTGCAAAGGCACTTCACTACAAAGAAATGGAATTTGAAAGTGCACTCTCCAAGAAGAAGATGGATGCTAATTCTGTTCCTGTAGTTGAAGATCTAATACACATAAACCATCGGCTTGACCAACATGAGGTCAGCCTTGCGTTTTAGTTTGTTGACAATCTTGATACCGCTTCCTGGAATTGTTTAGGTACATTCCCCATTTTTCAGAACGCAATGTGATTGTTGTTCTAATGATAAGTGGTTCCTGTTGTTAGGCTGCAGTTGGAATACTAACCTTTGCCCAGCAACGTCTGGATTTTCAACTGGAGTCATGGTAATGTTAAGCATGTGAATAGACCATTGATTAGGGTCTGATTTTAGTTTCACAATTTCTGACATACCGCTAATAATGTTAAATGTTCAACAGCTAGAGTTTTAAAAAAGTACATATTTTTGTTTATAGCCATTTCTATTTCTGTAAATACCAAAATGACGGAACCCAACTTTGGGCTTTTATGCAAGAATCCATAACATGGAGAAAATATTATACGAACTCATACACGACGTCAAAGTTGATGTGGTGTATATCAGTCACCATCTCATTGGTTATCACGCACCGTATGAGTTGATGACTGATATAAACTACTTATATTATTTCCCCTATAAAATCGAGGCGAGAGTGCCCCCCCACCCCCCACCCCCCGGCCACAATGAACACACTAAAAAAAGCATACTTGAAGTATTTTCTATGTTAATGGGACATGGCCATATATCTAACCATGGATGTGACTGCTTCATATTGGCTTGTCTTGTCTTGTCAGGTACGAGAAATTGCATCGATGGGATGATGCTCTGCAGGCATATAATCTCAGGGCATCTGAAGCATCAAGCTCACATCTGGTTTTGAATGCTATATTAGGTTAGCAATATTGTTTGTATGTACCCAACAATACATTGCATGCGTGTATTTGTTTGTGTATAGGTATCAAGCCCACCTCATTGTGTCCATCATCATTGCGATAATTGGTTGGAGATGGAATAGACTGGTTTTCACACTGTATTATGATGAATCTTTGTGAATGCTATGCCATACAAAATATATTCCTGTGCGATTTTTCAAAGAAGAAAAATGGTTTCTTCCATTTCTTATTTTTTATCATACTTATATAACACTTAAATAGGGCCTACAATAACTAGAAAATAGCAAGAAATAAAAAAGAGATTTCCTACTTCTTAATTCTAGCGATTTACTTCCTAATCCTGAGGATTCAGGAATAAAAATAAATGGAAACAAAATATTCCTATCTCGGGATTTTCTCCGAGATCTTCAAGATTTTCTTCTAATTCTTCAACACCCCCTCTCAAGTTGGTGCGTAAATGTCTATCATGCCCAACTTGCTGATGAGAGACTCAAAGTTAGGTCTGAACAATCCCTTTGTAAGAATGTCAGCTATTTGTTGTGTTGTTGGCACAAATGGCATACAAATAGCTCCTGCATCAATCTTCTCTTTGATAAAGTGTCTGTCAATCTCAACATGCTTGGTTTTATCATGTTGCACTGGATTATGTGCAATGTTAATTGCAGCCTTGTTGTCACAGTACAACTTCATGGGCATTTTCACTGATACTTTAAGTTCTTCTAGTACTCGTGTTAGCCACAACATCTCACAAACACCGTGGGCCATTGCTCGGTATTCCGCTTCTGCACTGCTTCGTGCCACAACATTCTGCTTCTTACTTCGCCAAGTAACCAAGTTCCCCCATACGTATGTACAATATCCTGAAGTCGACCTTCTGTCAGTAATTGACCCTGCCCAGTCTGCATCCGTGTATGCTTCAATCTCCCGTTGAGTAGATTTTTTGAATAGCAGACCTTTTCCGGGTGTGCTCTTTAGGTATCTTAGGATCCTATACACAGCCTCAAGATGTTTTTCATATGGAGAGTGCATAAATTGGCTTACCATACTCACAGCAAAGGCAATATCTGGCCGAGTATGTGACAAATAGATCAGTTTCCCTACTAGCTTCTGGTATCTCGATGTATCAACAGGAACCCCATCTTTGTCATCTCCAAGTTTCTGATTGGGATCTATAGGAGTTTCTGCTGGTCTACAACCACTCATTCCGGTTTCCTTTAGAAGATCTAGGACATATTTCCTTTGTGAGACTACAATTTCCTTTTTCGATCGAGCTACCTCCATTCCAAGGAAATACCTTAGAGTTCCCAAATCCTTGATCTCAAACTCAGAAGCGAGACATTCTTTCAACCTGTTCATCTCAACAATATCATTCCCAGTGAGAATGATGTCGTCCACATACACTATCAAAGTTGCAACCTTCCCGTCACAAGAATGCTTTACAAACATGGTATGATCAGCTTGTCCTTGAACATACCCTTGTTTCTTCACAAAATGAGTGAACTTCTCAAACCAGGCCCTCGGTGACTGTTTCAGTCCATATAATGACTTCTTCAATCTACATACCTTTGATCCAGAACTTCTATCAAAGCCCGGGGGAAAATCCATGTATACTTCTTCCTCCAAATCTCCATTCAAAAAAGCATTCTTCACATCTAGTTGTTGCAGGGGCCAGTCAAGATTGGCTGCAAGTGACAGGAGCACTCTTACAGTGTTTAGTTTTGCAACTGGAGCAAAGGTTTCAAAGTAATCGATCCCATAGGTCTGGGTGTATCCTTTTGCGACCAACCGAGCTTTATACCTTTCGAGAGATCCATCGGATCTATGCTTGGTTGTAAATACCCACTTGCATCCAACTGTGGTCTTTCCCTCGGGTAGATCCACTATATCCCACGTTCCATTTTTTTCTAGAGCTTTCATCTCCTCAAGAATTGCTTCCTTCCACTCAGGAACCTGTAGAGCATCCTGCACAGTTTTCGGAATCTCCACACAAGACAATGTTGAGGTAAAGGCACGGAAATTGGGTGAGAGGTTTTTGTAAGACACATAATGAGACATAGGATGTTTGGTACAAGACCTAACTCCTTTTCGGATAGCAATAGGTATGTCAAGTTCATCAGGTCGGACAGATTGAGTTGGAACATTACCTGGTGACTCTATGGAGTTCTGGTCATGCCCCGGTTCGGACTCATGGCACCTTAAGGGAGCAGGAGACTCATTTCTTTGAGTTTTGTCTCTTCTCGTGTAGACTTGAGAATAGGATGGAAGCTCTGTATTCTCGGTACTAGTTTTGCACCTGTTATGTTCACAAGTAGGATGCGATGACAATATATGTGGACCCGAATTTTCATTATTTAAAACACTTGGTTCAAAATCTGGTATAAGGGTTGCGGGAATATGATTTTTAGGAAGAGGTTTTTCAGGTTCTAGACAAAAAGAATCCATGATGGAGTTGTGCGAATCTGCACTTTCTTTCCCCCTCTGAAGATGAGCTCCAAAAAAAGGTGTTGATTAAAAAAAAGTGACATCCATGGTGATAAACATTTTTTTGGAAATCGGGTCAAAGCATTTATACCCTTTTTGATTAGGTGCATAACCAACAAACACACATCGTTTTGCTCTAGGATCAAGTTTCCCCCGATTTCTATCATGGATGTGGACAAATGAGGTACAACCGAATAGTTTTAAGGGTAAGGCTGAAGCAAGTCTAGAAGTTGGGTAGGTCTCCTGAAGAACTCTTAGGGGTGTTTGAAATCCTAACACTTTAGAAGGCATCCTATTGATGAGATATGTAGATGTAAGAAGAGCTTCACCTCAGAGGTATGTGGGAACTTTAGTTGTGAAGAGTAAAGCTCTAGTTACTTCTAAAAGGTGTTTATTCTTCCTCTCTGCCACCCCATTTTGTTGAGGGGTGTCAGGGCAAGAACTTTGATGCACAATCCCCTTTTCCAAGAAAAAATGTCCCAAATTTTTATTGAAATATTCTTTCCCATTGTCACTTCTAAAAATCTGGATTTGTCCTTGGAATTGTGTTTGTACCATGGTGTAAAAATTTTTGAAAACAGTCTCTACTTCGGATTTCTCTTTTAACAAGTATACCCAACTCACCATTGTATGATCGTCAATAAATGTGACAAACCATTTCTTTCCTGAGAATGTAGGAATTCTAGATGGGCCCCAAACATCACTATGAATTAAGGAGAATGGTTTCGATGGCTTGTAGATTTGTGAGGGAAAATTGGTTCGATGATGTTTGGCTAATTCACAGAATTCACACTGAAATGAAGATGGACTTTTATTCAAAAATAACTTTGGGAACAAGAACTTTAAATATTGAAAATTCGGATGACCTAGCTTATAATGCCATAACATAATGTCATCATCCTTACTAAGAGTAACAGATTCAAAACAACTACCTTGGACTTGTCTACTTGAGCTTGTTCCATCTTCAAAGAAATAGAGTCCTCCATTCTCTCTAGCATTGCCAATCGTCCTTCCCGAGGTCAAGTCCCGAAACTCACAATGAGATGAGAAAAAGTTAGCTTGACACTTTTGATCGGAGGTTATTTTACTAATGGACAGCAAGTTACAAGATAGCTTTGGGACATGAAGAACATTATGAAGTGTGAGGGCTGGTGAGAGCTTGATAGATCCTGTTCCAGCTATGGCTGAAAGAGAACCATCTGCAATTGTGATTTTTTTATTTCCTGCACACGGACTATAGGTGGAAAAGAGTTTTGAACAACCTGTCATATGATCGGTTGCTCCTGAATCGAGAATCCATGGAGCAATTTGGTGTGGATTTTCTATGAGGAAAGCAGTGGAAAAATAATTACCTTTCTGGGCTAAAGAACAAGATGGATTTGAAGAAGGTTGTGGAGATTGAAGGATTTTGTATAGGTGCTCTAATTTTTCCTTTGTGAATGGAACCAAATCAGACTTGATTTGCTCTTCATTTGTTGCTTGGAACGCACGACCATCGTTACTGCTCCTTCTCTTCCAACCTTCTTTCTTCCAATTCTGTGGTTTCCCGTGAATTTTCCAGCAAGTCTCTTTGGTATGCCATGGTTTCTTGCAATGTTCACACCATGGTTTCTTCCTCCTGTCTTCCTCAGAATCAGGCCCCCGCGATACAAGAGCAGAATTTTCGGATATAGAGCTGACACTTGTTTCCGAATCATGTAGCATGATTCGCCTCCGAGATTCCTCCCTTCTAACTTCAGAGAAAACCTCGCGGATGGATGGTAGAGGTTTTCGACCAAGGATCCTGCCTCTCACCTCATCCAGGCTTCGATTAAGGCCTGCGAGAAACATGTATACTCTATCATTCTCTTCTCTCTTCATTTGTCTCTTACAATCAGCTGGACTTTCCCATGTATCATCATAGCATTGATCTAATTCCTGCCACAAGGTCACCATTTCATTGTAGTAAATAGTGACCTCACGATCCCCTTGCTTCAATTGCCATAGCTTTGTCTTGAGTTCAAAGATCTGGGAAGAATTTTCCAAATCAGAATATGTTTCTCTCACAACATGCCACACATCTTTAGCGGTCGGAAGGAATAGGTGAGGTTTTCCAATTGTTGCCTCCATAGAATTGATCAGCCAGGCAATCACTAAGGAGTTCTCGGATCTCCAAATCTTCCAAGACGGATTGCTTTTTTCTGGTTCCTTCACCTCGCCTGTTAAGTGGCCTAGCTTCCCTCTGCCATCAATTGCTAGTTTCACCGATTGAGCCCACTCCAAATAATTTTGGCCATTCAATCGGTGAATTGTCAATAGCAGGTTGGAGTTCTGGGAGAATTGCTCTCCACCATTGCTCGATTGTGCAGAGAGATCAGCTGGGTTGTTCTCTAGCATGACACCTAAAGGAGTGGTGTTCCTACTAGCTCCGGTCATCGCCGTTTTCACCATAGTAAGAGCCGGATTTAAAACCAAGCTCTGATACCATGCGATTTTTCAAAGAAGAAAAATGGTTTCTTCCATTTCTTATTTTTTATCATACTTATATAACACTTAAATAGGGCCTACAATAACTAGAAAATAGCAAGAAATAAAAAAGAGATTTCCTACTTCTTAATTCTAGCGATTTACTTCCTAACCTTGAGGATTCAGGAATAAAAATAAATGGAAACAAAATATTCCTATCTCGGGATTTTCTCCGAGATCTTCAAGATTTTCTTCTAATTCTTCAACACCCCCTCTCAAGTTGGTGCGTAAATGTCTATCATGCCCAACTTGCTGATGAGAGACTCAAAGTTAGGTCTGAACAATCCCTTTGTAAGAATGTCAGCTATTTGTTGTGTTGTTGGCACAAATGGCATACAAATAGCTCCTGCATCAATCTTCTCTTTGATAAAGTGTCTGTCAATCTCAACATGCTTGGTTCTATCATGTTGCACTGGATTATGTGCAATGTTAATTGCAGCCTTGTTGTCACAGTACAACTTCATGGGCATTTTCACTGATATCCTGAAAGCAAACCATCAAAGAATCGGATGAATAATAAACTAAGCAAATAGTTGTCATGCTCACAAGATCAATTTCCTAGAGCTTGCACGAGACATGTATAATAGTCTTTTGATAATGTGGCTGGATTTTACTCACCGCGTTGAGGTCATAATGATCTTACCCTGTACAAGTTCGGTCTGGTTTCATAAAATTTATGCGGGAGGAATTGATAGATAAAGGGCACAAGTCAATTTTACTTGCAAACTTTGAACTTATAGCTCTACTTGATCAGTAGTGGATTAGGTCGAGAACACAGCTGTGAATACCCCTGCTCTTGTTAGAGAAGCTGTTCTTTCATCCTGTGCTATCAATGAGTCAATGCCCGAACCCATGAGACGGTAAGGCGTTCCAAGTTGGACCCCACACCTGCAGAGATTTTGCCTTGCTTGGCTGTGTACAAGAGTCAATTTTTTTTGTACTTAAATTATAATGACACAAGTTGCTTTATTTTCTTTTCATGTCACACTTTCAGTTTACCCTACTCACATCGGCTCTGACTAGTCATGGCTACCTTTATTGATAGTGTGATGCTTATCCAATTGACAATGCGGAGTGAATTTAATGGTCCTCTTTCTCACAAATTGGGTTCTGATGTTTGGTCGTGGTGCTTGGTTTACTAGATTGATAAATATTTTAAACACACGTTAGGCAGCACTTTTTTGTTTCTCATTCCTAACTCCATTCATGGGTGCTTGAGTTTGGATTCTTATGTTGTAGGCCTACTAGAATTTATAAATATTTTAAACAAGCATTAGGCAGAACTTTTTGTTTCTCATTCCTAGCTGGTATTCTCGTGTATATTTTGCAGGCCAAATGCGATGCCTTGCAGCACTAGCTCGATGGGAAGAACTCAACAACTTGTGTAAAGAATATTGGACCCCTGCTGAGCCAGCTGTCCGTCTAGAAATGGCACCAATGGTTGGGATGTTCTTCATGTCAATGGTCCCTCTTATCCTTTTTGCATCTGTTTAATTTTGGTTTGTTACTGATAGGCCGCTACTGCTGCTTGGAACATGGGAGAGTGGGATCAGATGGCAGAGTATGTCTCTAGATTGGACGATAGTGATGATACGAGGCTTGGAGGTTTTGTAAACTCTGCTGCTAGTGGTGATGGCAGTAGCAATGGCACGTTCTTTAGAGCTGTCATATCTGTGCGCAGAGGAAATGTAATAGACACTGCACTTCTGCTCTTATTTATGGTTGATTAGCTCTATTGAGCATTAATTTCTTGTTTTCCATGGCAGTATGACAAAGCACGTGAATATGTTGAGAGAGCCAGAAAGTGCTTGGCAACTGAGCTTGCTGCTTTGGTAAGTTCCTTAAATCTCGCAAGCTTGATCCTTTATGTTTAATCTTCTCAACCAAGATTTTTATATTTAATTGCTGCTGCGCTTCTCTTATGGGCATGGTCTGCCAATGTGACATTTACCTTTTTTCTTCTTGTTACTCTGGTTGACAGAGAAGTGACACTGTTTTCCTTTTTGTGATTTTGATCAATTTTATGATTATGTTGGGTTATTAGAATCTGAGTCATGGTGAAGATGTTTATTACAGACTTTCTATGGTGAAGTTGCTACTGGCTCATGAAAGTTCCCTTCCGTGGCTTCCATGAAGGCCTCTTTGCTTAGGATCGGTTTGTCAGTGGTCATTGCATTTGTATTGCATGATAAATGACATATTGACTTGGAAACATCTGAAGTTGGCATCTTGCATGACCTTCCTTTTTATTACTTGGATGCTCATTAGAAGATTTCTTTAGATCGATTAGATGGTGTAACGAAGTAGTGTCTGTTGTTATAGGAAGAGAGTGTTTTGAACACACTAGGCCTGTAACTTCCAGCTTCTTCCTAATTTTTCGTAGTCTCTTTAACTTGTTACATTCTTATTCTATCCAGATCATAGTATTTTTTCCCCTGATAGTTTGTTCATTTATTTGAAGCAGTTTAATTTTTATTTGTTGACACCTGCTTAGGTCTTGGAGAGCTATGATCGTGCTTACAGCCACATGATACGTGTTCAGCAGCTTCTGGAACTGGAAGAGGTTTGACCTGATCTATCGTTTATAACAGTAAAGCTTGTCTCATAAATCAAGCGTGATACTTCTTATTGTGACATGGCAAAAGATCTTAACAGGTCATTGATTATTGTACTCTTCCTGTGGGGAACTCCGTTGCTGAAGGACAACAAGCCCTCATACGAAATATGTGGACTGAGCGAATAAAAGGAGTGAAAAGAAACGTTGAGGTAGGGTCCTATATAACTCTCTAGGTGTAGGATTCTGTCCATCTAGCACACCTGCATTAATATGTGTAGCCATCGAGGCAATCACACCACACCGTCTTGCCTGGTGGGGAGTAAAAGAAAAGGCACAAATAGTGCATTTGTGGTGCAGAGAGTAGTCAAAATCGAACTGATTAAATGTTTCAGTATTCCAACATAATTGGATGATATAATCCAGTTCTCTGGGACTGGTTTGCTGGAACTTACATGATATCATTGGCAAGTTATGTCCAAAGTAATATTCTCCTTGCTAGAAGTTCCTATTACATGTATCTCCATTGATCCCGAGTTCTGTATTTTGTTATTTTACTGCTGTTATTGGTGGAGTATGTTCTCTCACCTCGTCATAATGCTTAAATTAACAGGTCTGGCAAGACCTCTTGGCAGTCAGAACTCTTGTCCTACCTCCAACAGAAGATGTGGATACATGGCTCGAATTTTCTTCTCTTTGTCGAAAAAATGGACGAATTAGTCAGGCTAGATCAACCTTAATAAAACTCTTGCAGGTTAGGCTATCTTTTACAGCAGTTAAAAGGCAGGCATGCCATATGGAGTTTTTTGTTATGATCTGACATATTTAGTGAAACTAAGCAGTTTGACCCTGAAACATGCCGCGACAATTTGGGTTTCCAAGTTCCTCCACAAGTAATGCTAGAATACTTGGAGCTCCAATGGTCTCTTGGCGAGGATCTGAAGCAAAAGGATGCATTTCTTAGGCTTCAGGTCTAACGAATCTCTTTTCACTGAAACATGTGCAATCGCTTAAACCAAGTACCATTCTGATTCCGTTACTGCTTGTTTCACTTAGCCAACAATTTTCCTTTACAGAATTTGGCCGTAGAGCTCTCAAGTGCGCCGAAGGTTGAGATAGTTTCTCCAACAAGTCTAATGAGGGATAAAAGTCCAAGTGTGCCACTCCTCGCACGTGTATATCTCAAACTTGGTACTTGGAATTGGGAACTTTCTCGTGGGTTAGATGATGAATCTATAAAAGGTAGTCGTTATTTGTTAGTTCATGCTGTTAAGATCCCTTGGGCCATTCTATAATAAGATCTTTGCTTGCAGAAATTCTCGGAGCATTTAAAAGTGCCACTCAGTGCGCATCAGAGTGGGCAGAAGCATGGCATACATGGGCATTGTTCAATACAGCTGTGAGCTCACATTACACTTTAAGAGGTTATCTCGATGTTGCAGTGCAATACGTTGTGGCAGCAATAACTGGATATTTTCATACAATTGCTTGTGCAGCTAATGCAAAAGGCGATAATTGTTTACAGGTAAATAATTTTTTTTTCTTGTTTCAAATATTTTCAGTTGCTGTCCTCAATAGAAACTTATATCCTTATATGATCTAGATGGCTTAGTTCTTCTATTAGATTTCAAGAGACATTTTCTAACCATCTGATGCGACTTTTTTCTCTTAGGCTCCATTTGATTCGCAGAAGATAAATGATTTGGAATATTGCTTGTATCGCTTTAAAGAGTTAGTCAATGAAAAATGTTTTCATTACCGATGACGATTTATGTCTAAACATTTTTGTGGATGATAAAAATATTTTTCGTTCATTTATTTTTGTAAGCAATTATTTTTAGAAAAATATTTTCCCAATCATTCATTTTTGTGAAATGAACGAAGCCTTAATGAGACTATAAAATTGTAAATCTAGATTTTTCAGCTCTTTGATGTTATGTTGGATTAATGAAATATGCATTTTGCACGTACTTGGACATGTTTGGTGTCCATTTATCGCTCACTTATTGTTTGTGACTTTCATTGACGATTCTTTGAAGAATTTAACTTTCTATACTTCTTTTAACCATGATTCGTGTGCCGTTGTGGTATTTGATAAATGATTAATAAAGTAAAACCTATCCGAGAGAGAGAGCCTGATCATGTACATATCATTGCAATTACTACAAGGGATTATTGGCACATGAAAGTTTAGCAACATCTGACAAAGTGAAAATAGTCAACTCCATAAACCCAAGTGTTGACACTTAAATTTTTGCTATTATAGTTAATCGTCAATCTCATAAGAAAATTAAGGGTCAACCACTACCCCTAAATAAAAACATCACGACATATTTCGTGTTTGCATAATAGGTACTAGGAACATTTTCATTTAGTAATAATATGTTCACATAAATTACATTTAAGTTGGTCCGGTCACAAATGCCTTGGAATTAGCCCAAAGTGTTGCATGGGTTTAAGGAGAGAGTCCTTAATCTTATTGGAGCCCATAAGATAAGGAATTCGGCCACATGGGGATGTTCTAAACTAAGAAAGTGGATTCCTCAATCAAATTTGAAAAGCAATAAGGCATATTCTATGCAAATTTTGGCCACATAGGGTATAAGAGAGGGAGATATCCTAATTTCCTAGTGGTATGTTTGCTTGAGCCAAAATAGGAAAGTGGGAGATTTGTTGTTCTTACTAGAAAGCCCTAGACCTAGGGCTATATAAGCATCTTATTCCATCAAAAAACAATATGAAACACAATAGACAGTCACAAAATACACAGAGAATGTTGAAGAATTATCCCACATCGATTGACAACGGGTCCTAAATGCTCTTTATATTCATGTGGTCTCCTTCCACCTAATAGCTTAAGCTTTTGGGTTTGACTTTCTAACATGGTATCAGAGCCAATGCTATTCCTTTCGCAAATATGCGTGGTAAAAATTTCATGTGAATGTGCAATGTCAAAATTTCATGTGTTGCTCATAATCCGGCTTGCACGTGAGTGGAGGTGTTGAAGAATTATCCCACATCGATTGACAACGGGTCCTAAATGCTCTTTATATTCATGTGGTCCCCCTCCACCTAATAGCTTAAGCTTTTGGGTTGGACTTTCTAACAAAGAACATCATACACACGACAAGCTCTCAGAAATTGACTAGGAATCTGATAACATGACTCAAAGTTAATCTTAAAATTACTATATGATTTCCAATATATGAAATTCTAAATTAAGAAATGTGCTTGGATGCGATTAAAGTCCTAGATGCAATGAATATAACATATGGTTCTCATACCACAACTATCAACTATCACATGTCGTCAATATTCATTATTGATACCCCTTTTTGTATGTTATTTAGAGAGTTACATATTTTTATGATTAACTTTTAATAATCATAACATGTACATAACATCGAATAGTTAGTGTGTCACGCACATGTAGTTTACTATAAAAAGAATATACCAAACAAGAATTAGCATTGCATCATTAAACCATTATTCTTTTAATAATAAGAGTCATTAGGTCATGCTTGGTGTCCTAGGATTTAGTTCCCTGTTTTTATGAAGAAAATATATAAAAGATAGCATTTCATGTAGTTTGCCTAACAGGATTAATCCAATGTTAATTCGATCTCATGTCATAGTATTCATGCCATCTTATTAGTATAGCATATAGGTTGCATTTAATTAATTATAGCATAGTATACATGTCATTTAGGACTTTATGCTAGTTCGTTAATGCATGTCAGTTTAGAATGTATATACTTATAGCATGTAAATTAAGTCATGTCCATTTTGACCCCCAAAAAAAAAGTCGTGTCCATGGTAAGTTCATTTTAAACAAGAAAATCCAAAAATAATAAGACATTGCATTTTATGTATGAATCTAAGTTAGCTCATATAGCTTAAGTTATACGTTAACTATGTTCATGTGGGTTTTAATTTACTCTCACCGTCATCTTGAAGTAAGAAGAGAAGGAATATTAGATTAGTATGCATATCAATTCTGCATCATTGCAATTCATTGTCCTTGCGTGATCATGTCCATTTTAGACACCATGTCTAGGCCATGCATACATGATATCATCACTTGTTTGCTTCCTAAGTCATAGCTCGTGGAAGTCTCATCATGATGGACAATGATGAGGCTTTGCTTTTGCTTGCTCACGCATTCCAGGTTCTCTAATCATTTCCGCTAATTATTTACTGCTTTGATTATTGAGAATTATTTTATTGTTTGCACACTCACATGATCAACCATTACATGTTAGTGGTTTAGTATTAAAACCGATGAAGATTTCATGCAAAACATTTTTGAAATAAAAAGAAAAGGTACCAAATGGGCATGAGATTAATCTAGTGTAACCAAGTCCCCGTATCCATGAATCTCTGGTTTGTAGAAGTAAAATGTACTCCCGCATTTTACTTGGGTGTTTAATTAACCCATAATCGATTAGTGGCGACTAGGTAAGTTTAATTGCATGTTGAAATTGAAACCCTAAGTTGCGATTGGTACGGGCTTGGGAGAGTCTGCACTAGGTGATGACATCATCTCTTTAATGAGTTACCGTTCATGCCCGCGTAGTAATCCGTTAGCTTTTCCTTCATGGTTCACCTTGAGGAAGGTCGTGACACCAAGCTTACCCCGGCCACTAGTGAGGTTTCATTTAAGCTAAGGATTCATGGTGATTAAGCTTTACAGAAAACACCCGTTTTTTCCCAGCAACATGTTGGAGGTGAGAAAACAAGGTTCAATATCTGATTATTGAAGAGCCTGCATCTTTTTCTTCTATTGCCCTTCAATAATCAGCATGACCCACCGCCTCACAAATGATCTTGGGAGTAGCATACGAATCCAAAGAGGACATAAAAGACTAAAGGATGAAGTTAGACTTTGATTTCAGCACAAAAGGAAAGAGAAATGGAGTACTCAGCCTTGTTTTCATTTAGAAAAAAAAAAACAGTCATGTGAATCATCCAAAGATGGAACAAAATAATCTAAAATTCAATTTTGATGTAGTAGGAAAAGTATCTGGGGCATCAGCACGAACCAAAGCAAAAGAAGCTGAAGCTTGTTTCCTAACTCTAGGACCATAGGAGACATGATGATGTCTGGGATGTTGACATGACTCGCAATCTAACACAGACAAGGTATCACATCAGAATGGAAAGAGATGAATAAACCAACCATAAATGAATCTCTAGAGAAGAAAGAGAAGTGCTGGAGCATGCATTAGGAATCACATCATCAAGTGATTGAGTCTTCAGATTCACCTCGTCTTCCAATAATCTTCTTGTCCTAAGATCTTGTAATTCAGGATATTAGGAAAAAATGAGATTTAACAATTGTAATTGCAAAAAAGTTTGCTAACCACCAGGTTATATGGAAAGTTTGGAAGATACAACACAGAAGACAGATCTAGAAATGACTGGTGAGCAAACCCAATGCACATAGGCCCCGTTTGGTTCAGCATTCCCAATGCTCATTTGGCCTCTAAAATCCCTTGGCCAAATGCAAATGGCGTTTGGCAATTTTTTTTACTCACTTTGGGGAAATGCAATTGCATTTGGAATGCTGGCCAAGGGACCTTTGGCCAATGCACCTCTGAAGGTGCTTTGGGAAGTTGCATTTTCGGAATGCAACTTGCACTATTCATCGATACTGTTCATCTTCCCTAAACCGACGTCCGGCGGCCGTCGGCCACCGCCTGAGGGCTAGCCCGACTCCGGCGACCACCGCCCGGGTCGCGCGACCCGGCGACCGCCGCCCGGGGTCGCCGGACCTCGGGCGTCTCGGGTCTCGCGACCCAGGCGAGCGTTCGGGTCGCGAGACCCAGTGCGACGCCCAGCTGGGACCCGGGCGGCGGTCGCCGGGTTGCGCAACCCGTGCGACCACCCCGCTGGGGTCGCGCACCCGGCGACCGCCTGGTCGCCGGGTCGCCGGGCGTCAGCCGGGTCTCGCGACCCAGTAACGCCCGCCCTGGGTCGTGCGACCCAGGCGACCGCCGAGGTCCGGCGACCCAGCGGCGTGCCGCCGGGGTCGCGCGACCTCAGTGGTCGCCGGCGACCGTATCTCAGCGGAGGCGGTGGCCGGCGGTGTAGCTCCACCGGAGCTTTTTTTTAAAAAAAAAAAAAATAGCAAAAGTCCTTTAGCCCAAGTTGATTTTATAAAACACTTACCAAACGCTACTTGCATTTTGAAAAACTCCTTTAGCCCAAAAGTATTTGCATTCCCCCAAAGCCGAACCAAACGGGCCCATAATGTGAAGGCTAAATGACAAATGGAGAGAAATTAGAGTACCTGTATTGCCCTGTTGTATGGTCAATGGCTACTGAGTCAAATGACCTATTTGTGGCCGGAGGAGGAAAGACAAGTGGCAGGTTTACATTTCTGTGTGTTGAAATATTGTCCCACATATTGGCTTAAGCTTTTGAGTTGGATTTCCTAACATGGTATCAGAGCCAGTTATCCCTTATGCGAAGGTGCGTGGTAAAAAATTTCTCATGAACGTGCGTAGTCAGAATTCCACGTGCAGCTCATAATCCGACTTGCATGTGAGAGGGGGTGACAATGGGTGCTAATTGATCTTTATATTCATGTGGTCTTCCTCCACCTATCAGCTTAAGCTTTGAGTTGGACTTTTTAATATTGTGCTAGAGTAGTAGTAAATGGAGAATTATCAAATTTCTGAACTATGAGAACTGCGCATGCCTCTCATCTTTCAGTGTATTAGTCTTTCCTGATGCTCCTAAGGGAAATTGCCTGTCCACATGCATCCCCACTAGAATCAAAATTCGCATTTTCTTAAATGGCTTGGCATGTAGTTTCAAGCAAGTTCCTTCCCGGTTCACCATAGTGAAAGCAACCTTCCCCTTTGGCTTGACCTCCATGTCTGCCACTTCTGCCTCTATTGTGTCCTGCAGATCTTCTGAGTTGTTTGACTCATCAAAGAAGAGGTGTCACTTCATCCCCCATCCAGTAGGCAGTTCTCTCGAAACCCATATCACACATTGATATGCTCCTGTAATTGAACCAATATGAGAGTCAGTCGAGATTTGTGATCTGAACAAGGAGAAACCATTTCCTGATCCAGATTAAAAATGCCATGACTACCAACTGTTCTGTTTATATTTCACCTACTGCTTGCCGCTAAAACCCTTTCTCCTTTTTTGGGAGACTCAACATGTTCTTGTGGATGAATTTTAAGTATGGGAAAATGAATATTACAGAAGAAACCTCTATTTAGATTTAGGAAAAGCATCTGTTATTAAGTTTCTTTGTTTAAACAAGTCTCCTAGTTTGGGGGTTCTCTAAATTATGTGTGCTTCACTGCAGGTTTTCCCACCTACGCAGTGTATGTGGTAACCTTATAGTATGGTACCTCTGCAATACTTCGTGAAATTAACAAGAGCTATTAAATCACTACACCTCATAAAATGTTCCATAATATAGTAACTCTTTTATAGAACTCAGCAAAACAATTGATTTTCTCATTGTATCACCACTGATAGCCAGCTCATTCCATCATTTGTTTCAGGATATACTGCGCCTTCTCACACTGTGGTTTAACCACGGGGCTACCATAGATGTTCAAATGGCCATGGAGAAAGGATTTGCTCTTGTAAATATCACCACATGGCTGGGCGTGCTGCCACAAGTAATTGCCAGGATCCATTCAAATTACCATGCTGTGCTCATCCGGTCGCTTTTAGTTCGCATAGGACACAGTCATCCCCAGGTTTGGATAATGCTTCTGAAGTGCAGCCTATTACTACTGATGCCCCTATTATTGAATGTATGAGGTTCTATTGTATTTTCTCTTTTAATATCACTCAGACGCATATATGTGTAAGAGTGAGGCTGGAGGACATGTGTACACTTCAAATGCATATTGGCTTCAGCATGGTGTTATTGATTCTATCTGGATCATCTGTTTTTTTTCTTCACTACCCATGTGAGATATATGTACTTAAGTATTTTAATTTTCTTCTTAGGCCCTCATGTACCCTCTTCTGGTGGCATTCAAAGCAGCAAGCAAGTTGCGGAGAGCTGCAGCTCAGGAAGTTGTTGACAAAGTACGGCAGCACAGTGGTGTGCTCGTAGATCAGGTGACAAGTGCTTTAATACTGTCGATTACTTATGTGCATGGTGGTGATCTTGAAGGAAAATTTTGGTGGCAGGCGCAACTTGTGTCAGAGGAGCTCGTCAGGGTTGCACTTCCAATACTCTGGCATGAAAAGTGGAACGAAGCATTGGAAGAGGCTAGGAAACAGTATCAACAGGTATATAACATTGAAGCAATGCTGAAGGTGCTGGAGCCATTACACGAGTCCCTCATGGAAGGAGCCGAGAGAAGCAATACGACCATCCACGAGAGGGCATTTATAAAGGTTGTGGCATGAATTGTTAATTGACAGATAGATATTTCTTATCTCTACTAGAATGTTTAGTCTTTTTATGTAGTCAGGGTGCTCGCTTATGAACAGTTTGAACTCCTAATCTTCTTCATTCCTGTCTTGCTTTTATTTATTTCCGTGAACCTGAATATTCTTGATTTTAACTTCTTCTTGGATACCGGTTAATATGGAATATCGTGTTTATTTAGATATTCATCCTCTTCCAATTCAGGATTACTATGTGGAGTTGATGGAGGCATATGATTGTTGCATGAGATATAAGAGAACGGGTAAAGATGCCGAGCTTAGACAGGTAAAATATCCCTCATGCTTAAAATTGGGCATTCTTCTTTGTAGAAAATACTGTCTTTCTTCGATTACATATTTTCTCGATTTTTTTAGTTAATTTAACTTGTTTGGTATGGGGCTTTGATAAGGCATGTAATTACAGCGTTTGCTGAAGTGACATGCTATTTATGTAATATCCTGAGATTATATCACTGCACTCCTTACAAAATTATTCGGCTCTTTTTGTTGTTTCTGGTTTGATCCTTCACTTTTGAGCTCTTTTTGTGGACATCTAACTTTGAATTATTCAAATGGAGAGTTTATTGTTTGGATGGGAATGCAATATTCTGATATTATTGAGTTGTATTTGCATCGAGTAGTTAGATGGTAAAGGAGGAATGTGTTTGTTTAGTGCTTTCTGCATGAAGACAGCTTTCATCAATTTCTTTGGGAAAATACCACCATAAACCCCAAACTATGCCACTTGTGATAAATTTACCCTGAACTTTTTTTTGTGACACGAAAAACCCCAAACTATGCCACTTGTAACACATTTACCCCATAATACTTTGACCCATGGGCATTTTCGTCTTTTTCCTGTTTCTGTTTTTTTTTCTTTCTTTTCTTCTCTCTTCCCTCTGCCAGCCATGGCGGAGGGAAGCCGGCGAGGGCGGCCCTCACCGGCGCTGGGGTTGGGCGAGGGTTGCCCTCGCCTGGGCGGGCGAGAGTCGCCCTCGCCCACCTAGGCGAGGGCAACCCTCGCCCGACCCCAGCGCCGGTGAGGGCCGCCCTCGCCGGCTTCCCTCCGCCATGGCCGGCGGAGGGAAGAGAGAAGAAAAGAAAAAAAAAAAGGAAAGAAAACAGAAAAAGGAAAAAGACGAAAATGCCCATGGGCCAAAGTATTGTGAGGTAAATGTGTCACAAGTGGCATAGTTTGGGGTTTTTCGTGTCACAAAAAAAAGTTCAGGGTAAATTTGTCACAAGTGGTATAGTTTGGAGTTTTTCGTGTCACAAAAAAAAGTTCAGGGTAAATTTGTCACAAGTGACATAGTTTGGGATTTTTGGTAGTATTTTCCCATTTCTTTTTTACAGTTTTGTTACCTTTTTTGGGCCAAATACTACTTTGTTACCTGAAGATGATTCTTTTGCATATTGAATGGTCAAAATGACGGTGACAAAAATATCTATCTTATTTCTAGGGTCCTACTTAAAAAATATAACACCAATGCTCCCAGTTGCCAAATAGTAGGTTTGAATGTAGCTTTATTTGCCAACAGACGTAATATTCAAGCGGATTTGATTCCAGTTGTATATTAATGTGGCCTTGCTAGTTGCTATGCCTTTGAAAAAATTCACATAGGGAAGAGTTCTTAGCCAAGTTCAGGAATGAGTAATTGAGTGAATATAAGCCACTTCCCTATCTCCTCTCACTCATGGTTTGTCCTGGTAGATGACAGATTTTACAGATATCAGTGTGTTCTCATGTTATGTGACAAAAGAGTTATGTTTCTTACATTTTGTGCTATATTGTGGTCAGGCATGGGATCTTTATAAATATGTATACATGCGTATCAATGAGCAGCTTCCAAGTCTTACCGATCTGGACCTCCAGGCAAGAAGAATATTGGTTTGTCACTAATATTTTTGCTGAACATCATTATTTTAAAGACGCTAACTACTTTTATGTGGATTTTTAGTCTGTCTCTCCTAAGCTGTTAGAATGCTGCAACTTGGAACTTGCAGTGCCTGGGACATACCATGCAGGTGAAGCAGAAAGCTAATCACGAATTTCTTGTTGAAGGGGAGATTAGTTGCTCATGATGATACCCAACGCGATCTTTTTTTTTCCAGATGCGCCAGTGGTGACTATTGCATCATTTAGTCCCAAGCTGCTTGTCTTTACTTCTAAGCAGAGGCCCAGAAAATTAACTATTCATGGGAGCGATGGTGAGGAATATACTTTTTTGCTGAAGGGTCATGAAGATTTACGTCTGGATGAACGAGTCATGCAGGTTCATCTGCATTTTTCCTTTCAGTAATCTCTTCTCGTGCCAGTTGTCAGACATTAGTCACAGCCTTGTATTTTTTTTCTTTTATTGGTTTTTCTGACACTGTTTCTCTATGTCGAGTGGGAATCTGTGTGTCCTAATGAAGTATATTCCTGTCAGCTTTTTGGTCTAGTGAACACTTTGATGGAAAATTCTAGCAAAACATCTGAAAAAGATTTGCCTATCCAAAGATATTCTGTTATTCCATTGGATCCCAATAGTGGATTAATTGGATGGGTTCCCAATTGTGATACTCTGCACCAACTGATACGCAAGTATAGACATTCCAGAGAGGTCAGTTCAATTCTCCAAGATACTTTCTTTTGTCAGTGAAATCTGCGCTTTTTAATTTCCTTTTTCTCTGCCTGAGTGGTTTTGTGGTCAAAGCTGCATTCTTCCCATGTGTGTTCTCTTCTTGTTACCAGATCCCCCTTGATCAGGAGTATAAATACTTGGAGAGTTTTGGCCCGGAAAACTATAATCTTTTGCCCCTCTTAGCTAAAGTTGAAGCTCTTGAGCATGTGCTACAGAAGACAGAAGGAGAAGACCTCAAAAAAGTAATGATTCTGTTTTATCAGGCTTTGAAAAGACGAACAGAACAAGGGTGTTATTTGAACTTTTTGTTGTCTAAACTGGTGGTTTTGAGCTCATGAGGTCCTCCTTAATTTTTGCTAGGTTCTTTGGTTAAAGAGCCGCACTTCTGAGGTTTGGCTGGAGATGCGGACAAATTTTACTCGGAGCTTGGCTGTCATGAGCATGGTACGTGCTTTCCCCTGTTAAGGGAGATTTTGTTGCTTTTTGAGAAAAGAAGGAAGAGAGGATGTCTTCTCTCTTTTTTCGCTCTTAAGCAGTGTTAGAAGTGTTACCACACATCATATGTTTACGGGATTTATCACGCCTTATAGATATGTGGTCGTCTTTCACCTAACAATTTAAACTTTTGCGACGGAAATTTTTAACGTACAGGAAAAGCCATAACTAGTTCAGAAAAAATGAAATATGACACTATGTCTAGGCTGTCGGTCCCAAGAACTTTGCTATGATGTGTAACATATTGTCAGTGTGTTATGTAGAATATTTCCGCCATTTGTCCTAGGGCTTTTCTTATTTAATTTCCTATTTCTTTATAGTTCAGCCTCATATATGATCCGAATCACTAGCTTCTCACATGTAGGAATATGTAGACTGATTTTGAATGCTGGGTACAGGAAACCTTCACAGTTAGCCCATCATTGGAGAACCCACTCGTCAGTTATGTCTTAACTATATTTTTTTTTCATAGGCAAAGAAAATATGACTAAAAGGCACCAAGGAGGTGCAAACCCATGTGCAAAAAGAGCTCAGTTACAAGACAAACCATCTACAATGTCAATTAAAGCATTTACATCCACATAATTTTCCCCTATATCAAAAGGGTAAGATTTTGAGCTAACTTTGAATGATTACAAAAACGGGGGTTTCCTCTCCAATTAAAAGCTCTCTTATCCCACTCTTTCCAAATTAACCAAAAAAAAAAAGCATGAGGGATTGAAGAAATCCTCCTTTTCTTAGCACAGGCAAAAGAAGACCTTGCATGCCCATGATTCTTGTTCAATAGATCCTCCTATAACCTAAGATGACCTAGTGGATCCATAAGTGGCTGCCCAAATCATTCTTGTCCACGGACAGTGAACAAGGAGATGTCTCAATGCCTCGCTTATAAAAATAACATCCATTTAATTAGCACAATCCCTCTTTCTGCAAATTGTCTGATGTAAGAATACGTTCCCAAGATGTTTTTCAAACAGAGAATGAAACTCAAATCAGTACTCTCACTTCCCAAATAGCTCTCCAAAGAAAAGCCTCCCTGCCACCAACATCCTTCTTTTCGAGTAAACTATAATAAGACTTCACAGAAGTTCCATCTCTACCACTACTCCAAGGCAAAGTAACCACACTATTGAGGGAACTCTTCGAAATATGCAACAAATAAAAAAAAAACTACAAAAGATTCAAGTTCCCAATTTTGGGCTTGTCTTGTAAAATCGATCTCCCAAGGGAACTCTTAGAGGAGCGATAACAATCCGCACTCCTCATTCAGAGTGATGTCAAAAGGTCAGGAAAATGATCCTTCAAAGACGTATACCCAACACCAAGTGTCAAGCCAAAAGCGTATACGCTTAGCATTTTCCATAATAGGAATTTAGTAACAAATGCAGTCCACTCAGCTCTAATCCACCTCGAAGCACCACACCCATGAGCTATTCTTCTACTTTTGGAAATCCCACCAGTTCTTGCAAGGACAGACTTAGCAACAACAAATTGCCTGCAAAGATACCCATTTTCAGCATTGAACCATCATAATCATTTGCCTTAGACAAGCATTGTTAAGCAATAAAAGAGACTTTATGCCAAGACCACTGTTACAAAAAGGTTGCTTTATTGCTTTCGAATTAAGCAGATGAAACTTACGTGCCTCATTGCAATCCCCTCACAAAAATCTATTCCAAGTGTTCTCCAGCCTTTTGGCAACCAAACGAGGGACAGGAAAGAGAGGTGGAATAGATTGGGAGATTGGAGATAGTGCTTTTGATGAAGGTCAATTTTTGCCTTTTGAAAGGATATGTCTTTTCTAACCTGGCAACTGCTTCTCAAATTTCTGAATAATAGGCTCCCAAATTCACTTATCCTTGCTTTCCTCGACACTCTTTGCTTCTAAAGCTTCTCGAAAAGACTTGTAGCTTTATGTTTGAACCCTTGGAAAGAGTTTGCATGGGCCTGGCGACGGCCTTAATGTTGTTAACTACCCAAAAGGAGACAGGGAACTGATGAAGAGGAACTTGCCTTGTGAACCCCATTCACAGCAACGCTAATGACTCTTGATCAACGTCCAGTTCAAACTCCTCCAAAATCTGCCCATTCCTTTCATTGTTTTCGCCCTTTGAGAAGATTTCAACAGAAGCACCTTCCATGGGACCGCAACCACCATCTACAACTCTGGGGGAATCCACAGCCGTCACAACCGAAATAGATCCTCTCACATTTTCAAACGAAAGATTTCCACCAAAGGAGGGAAGAGGCAAGGATGTCAAGAAAGAGTCAGCAGGACAGTCACAACATAAGGTTCTATAGTTATACAGTTCACTCTACTGCCGGGACCCCCTTATTGAACCCCAAAATCATACACCGGACCACCTTTGGGAAAAATTCGTCATTAGGACTAGTTCAGGACAGTTGAAATTCACTACAAGGAAAGCTCATGAGTCAGGCTCACAAAAAGAAGGGCAAAAAACTTCGACCCCACAAAAGGAACGAGGATGAGGGCACTGGTGACGGTTGGGATGGGCGAGCAGACCCAAATAGGGGCAAAGCCATGGGAAACCCTGGCAGAGCTTTTTTACTTAAAAATTGATTCTTGTTAGTATGAGTTTGACAAGAACTCAGCCCTCTCCTCAGTTATGTCTCAACTTGTCAAGATTGAATTTACAGAAGGATATGCTGAGGTTTACATATTTTGGGTTGCATTTCAGGTAGGCTACCTTCTTGGCTTAGGTGATCGACATCCAGGCAACATTATGTTGCACCGTTACAGGTATAACTCAAATGAAGCATGGAAAAGTATTGAACTTCAATTTCAAAGTATGACGTAAGTTTCTTGCTTTTTGCAGTGGAAAGATCGTACACATTGATTTTGGGGACTGTTTTGAAGTTTCGATGAACCGAGAAGAGTTCCCTGAAAAGGTATATCCAGTATGCTCTATACCATGTCACACTGCAAGCTTGCAAACAAAGCTTGGTGATTGTTTTTTGTGCATAAACTAAATCAGATAAGCTCTTTAATACGGTGAATTTTGTCAACAGGTCCCATTCCGCTTGACTAGAATGCTTGTGAAAGCAATGGAGGTTAGTGGTGTAGAGGGGAACTTCCGTTTGACATGTGAAAATGTGATGCAAGTGCTTCGAACAAACAAGGATAGTGTAATGGCAATGATGGAGGTATAACTTTTAGATTCTTTCTCTGGTTTCTGGGTGATTTATACCATGTATAGTTGCTTATATATATGGTAAACTAAATATATCGTATGTATATATAGGGAGGGACAGATGACTAATGGTTTGAAATGTTTGCCGGTAGTCTACAAGGAAGAGAAGATTTGTTTCCCTAGAATGTCGAATCTTGTCTTTTTTATTTTCCTTCTGGCTCTCTTTTTTCTATTTTCGAAAGTTTCAATATGCATATCTAAAGTTTTAAGCTGTAGTCATGTCAAGAAGTTGCTAATTGTGCTCATGCAGCACTATTCAACGCAATTGATTATCTCCCTAATCTTCTTTCAGGCATTTGTACATGATCCACTTATAAATTGGCGTCTTTTTCCCAAACTATCAGTGCTTGCTAGTGCTCATGTCCCCTCTGTTATGAATTCTGAAGAATCTTCTCAAAGTAGAGAGCTTGCTTTGCCACAGCGTGGTGCCTGGGAAAGGGAACTTCTTCAGGTAGGCAGAAGTTGAGTAGAGTAAGAATTTTGAAACTGCCAGAATCTATTTGATGCTCACATTAGGTTAATTTTGTCTAGGCCATTGATCAACTCGGTAATGCAAATGAGGTGCTAAACAAACAAGCTGTGGCAGTCATGGCTCGGATGAGTGACAAACTTACTGGCCGTGACTTCTCCGACTCTTCATTTTCCAGCATCTCTGATCAACATTCCTTGAACCACTGCAACTTAACTTCAGGGGATTCTCACAAAGTTGATCATGGGTTATCTGTTAAGCTTCAAGTTCAAAAGTTAATTGTTCAGGCTACATCTCAGGAAAATTTGTGCCAGAATTATCTCGGGTATGGTGCTGTCAATTTCACTTTATTGATTTTTGCTGATACTTTATTTCATTTTTTAAATGCGTATGGTTTATGATGTGAATGTTCTGGGGCTTGACTTGATCGGTATTAGTAGTTGTGAAGGTTGGGCTTGGACTAGGATTTTGGTTTGATTTGTCCCATTGTACCTGGAGCTTATGGAAGCTACGTGTGTCAGGAACCCAATTTTCTTGTGTTTGAATAGCATGATCATAGTCTACTGGTGGAGAAGGATACCCTCCAATGCCTTGAATTTGAAAACTAAACATAGCAACATCTTTAAGTAAGCGTTTGGTAACGCACAAAATTTCTTTTTATTAATAATATTTTTAAATATTTAAATATTTCTTTCTTTTTTCTTTTCTTTTTTTTCTTTTCCTCCTTCTTGGTCATAGCATGCTCGCAGGCTATGACCGGAAAAATATTTTTTATTAATAATATTTTTATTAAAAGTATTTTTTTTTTTGTTGCAGTATTATTTTTATTAATAATATTTTTTATTAAAATATTTTTATTAAAAATATATATTTTTATTTTTTTTGCCATGGCACAGTTGCTCTACCATGGCTGGTAAAATATTTTTTTATTAAAAATATACATTTTTATTTTTTGGAAGCTATGTGTGTCAGGAACCCAAATTTTTTTATTAATAATTTTTTTATTAAAATTTTTTATTAAAAAATATATTTTTATTTTTTTGCCATGGCCTGGTCAGGACATGGCTGGTAAAATATTTTTATTAAAAATATATTTTTCTTTTTTGGCCATGGCACGATCGCGAGCCATGGCACGTAAAATAATTTTTTATTAATAATTTTTATTAAAAATATACATTTTTATTTTTTTAGCTATGGCTGGTCTAGTGCCATGGCCTGAAAATATTTTTTTATTAATAATATTTTTTATTAAAAATATATATATTTTCTTTTTGCCATGGCTCTGGTACCATGCTGGCTAAAATATTTTTTATTAATAATATTTTTATTAAAAATATACATTTTTATTTTTTAGCTATGGCTGTCGTGTTAGTGACCGTAAAATATTTTTTATTAATAATATTTTTATTAAAAATATATATTTTTTTTTTTGCCATGGCACGTCACACTGGCAGTAAATATTTTTTTATTAATAATATTTTTATTAAAATATTTTTATTAAAAATATATATTTTTCTTTTTATGGCCCATGGTAAAATATTTTTATTAATAATATTTTATTAAAATATTTTATTCGTAGATGGGGTCCTTATTAAGCTAAATTAAAAACCAAGAAAAGGAAGAGAAAAAAAATGTTCTCAAAATGTTAACGTACTTTTTTCGTTAACGACTTTTCAGATTAACAAAAATCAACGTTTGCAAGTTGTACACCTAGGATGTCATACTAGCCTACGATGCCATAACTTTTTTTCGCTCATTTAATTGCTACATTGGAGTAAAATAGATCATTTGAGTGCCACTTCCGGCGAAAATAGATCATTTGAGTGTCATTTCTGGCAAATGAGCTGACGTGGATTTTTTAATTAATTTTTCATCCGACGTGGATTTTTTTAATGTTATTTTATTTTATTGATTTTTTTAATTTTTCTTTTTCTTTATCTTTTTATTTTTATTTTCTTTCTTATTTTATTTATTTTTTTTTCAAGGTTGGCGAGGGTCGCCGGTGACCTTCGCCAAAGGCCTTGCCCTTGGCCAAACTGGGCCATGGCCACCTCGCCATCGGCCGGTATGGCCACGAAGGCCCTTGGCGAGGCCATCGCGGCCTTGCCGTCGCGAGCAAGGCGGTGAAGGCTCTCGCTAGATCCGGCGAGGCCGCCTTGCCCGCGGCAGCGAACGCCCTTGGCGAGGCCAAGGCCTCTTGCTGGATCCGGTGAGGCCGCCTTGCCCGCGGCGGCGAAGGCTCTTGCTAGATCCGGCGAGGCCGCCTTGCCCGCGGCCGCGAAAGCCCTTGGCAAGGCCATCGCGGCCTCGCCGGCACAAGCGATGTGGCGAAGGCTCTCGCCAAATCTGGCAAGGCTGCCTCGCCCGCGGTGGTGAAAGCTCTCGCTAGATCTGGCGAGGCCGCCTCGCCTGCGGCCGTCGAGACGGCCTTCACGGCCTCGCCCAAGGCCTTCGGGGGCAAGGACAAGGCAGCCATCGCCCAAACTGGGCGAGGCCTTCACAGCTAGCGAGGGTCGCCGGTGACCCTTGTCAGCATTGAAATTTTTTTTTGCAAAAATAAAAAAATTCAAAAAAATATTAAAATATTATCCACGTCAGCTCCGGTGAAGCCACGTCGGCTCCAGCGAAGCCACGTCGGATTTTCCGGCTGTTAAATGGCATTTGGCATTCAAGTGATCACTTTTTCAAATTTTGGCACTCAAGTAAGCGAAAAAAAAGTTATGGCACTCAAGTGAGTGCCGTATGAAAGTTATGGCAGTCTTAGTGTCCTTATCCCGTCAGAATTATGAGCTTGTTTATTGTATTTGTAGGATTGTTTCTATTTGAGCAACTGCGTCATATATTTTTACTTTCTCGTCTAATATCTCATTCTAAAACCTAAGCAATACTTCGCGTAACTGATCTTAATAAGCAAAACTATTCCAATGTGTACTGTTCAATAAGGAATGCTTGGGTGGTCTACTATTAGTCTTGTTTCACATACGAAGTGTTCGTAATGTGAAAGCCCGTGTTTTTCGCCTCGATAACACCCTGCACAACTTCTTTTCGCATGTGATGCCGGAGATCATGAATCTTTTCTTGTCAGACCATGTAATCGATTGTCCCTTGTTGCTTGATCCCATTATCATTGAATTACGGGTCTGTTGGACGTATCACTTTCTTTGTTCTAATTATCTGAACAATTTCCTTTTTGCAGGTGGTGTCCTTTCTGGTGAGTTGAAGAAAATCAAACGAATGAGTGTCTTGTACAAACCTGGATTTGAGAGTATAATGTGGATTTGAGAGTATAATGTACATAGCTACATACATTTGTCTTGTAAATATGTACAGAAATGTATGATGTATAGATGGAGTCTAAATTAATAGAAAGATGGGTAGTGAGAATATCAAGAAGCAACTTTTAAAGCATTTTGTGTCTATGACGACTACCGACGAAGGCGGTGGAGTCGATGTATCTCGGCCAACAACACATTAATTGATAGGATACAAGCTGGCTAAAATTGGCTGGATGGACTGAATTGTTATAAATGCAAAATGTTTAGAACTTAATTGACATAATTGAAAGGTTTAGGATTGAATTGACACAATCATAATTGGCTTAGGACTTTTTTGGTGTTCTCCCGGGAATAATAGTCCTCTTGAGTCTAGATATGAGATATTGGAAGGGCCAAGAGGAAATAGATCTTAAATTGTCTACATAGTTCTTCTCGCAAAACACCGATATTGGCTGCCTGAGTAAAAGGAAAAGAGAGGCTGAGTGATTGGGTGCAAGTGCTAAGTGTGGCCAATCCAAAATCTCTGCAAAGTTACATGAGTATAAGCAAAATGGGTTGACACTGATGTGGTAATTTTTAAATATATTTTTATTTTTTTCCCTTTCCTTTTTCCCCTGGTCGGTCAGAGGTTGGAGCTAGCGCGACCTCAGCAGCCATTGGTGAGGCACGCCCTCGCCAGCACTAGTACCTAGCCTGGCCGGTGGCGATTGGCCAGGGGAAGAAGGAAAGGAAAAAAAAGGAAAAAATATTAAAAAAAATTATCACGTCAGTGTCGGTTAGATGGCCAGCGTCGGCCAACATCTTTGTCAGTGTCGGTCGATCAAAATTGGCTGGATTGAATTAGTACATATGTAAAAAGTTTACTGAATCGGTAAAAAAAATGATTTATGACTAAATTAGTATAATTACAATAGGTTTAAGACTATTTTCGTAATTTTCCCACTTTGATGAGCACTATATGCTGACCAGGGTCGTGCCATGATTCCTACAGCAATAGTCAATTAAAAAGACCAAATTATACATCATTCATAAAGGAAGTGACTCATCATTAGCCATGCTTTGCTGCTATAAATCTCGATCCCACGTTTGGTCGAGGACAATGTTCATGTCTTGGCCCCCACGAGACGGACGCATCGGTCCACCCAACGACCTCTCATCATCTGGATAAGCACAAGAACTTTGGAATAAGGACTCAGATGTAAGTCCGCGTGATGCATGAACTCTGCATACCTTATGGTTTGAAAATTATTGGAACTTGTTTTACTATTTCCTTGGAAGACTAGCTACAAGAAAACTCTCGTTTTTTTTCCACTAGCCGCCGTTCAGACCGTTCAGAAAGACGAGTCGGCGGTGAATATTATTATAATGAACAACAATAATTTATAACACGTTCCAACTTCTTGAGAATCTAAATTCATATGTTAGAATTTCGCTTGGCATATGCTGCTATTGGCTAGGATCTTCCCCCAGTCGTCTAGACCCTAGGCACCCGGGGCCTGACCGGCGACCTCGGCCGTCGCACTCAACGCCCCAATCATCGGACTCGAGTCCTCAAGGCCGGACCCATGACCCTCGATCCCCTAGCCCTGCCAATTGGACTACCTAGGATCTCGCCGGTCGAATCCCGAACCTCGGCCTCTAAATCTGCGACCTTGCGAACCGGACTCGGGACCCTTCTTCAGTTTTGCTTTCTTCTCCAAGAGGGGGCTAAACCAGCGCGCAATTCATTCAAGCTTCAAGAGGGGCTAGGATTACCTCTCAACAAAACACCAACTACAGCAAATGACACCCCTCCTACCCAAAGAGAAAAAAAACAGTAAAAGACAACAATAGGAAGTCTTGAAAACAAAGACCACCCAATTCTTTATTGTTTTTTTCTAAACAAAGAAGTCGGAGAATCATGAGTTTCGCTCGTTAGGAAGATCCGAATCTACCAATCCGAACATTCCCACCCAAAATGCGCATCTGGCGGCTAAATACCTGAAAATTAAATTCCAGCATCTTCCCAAGGCATCCCCCCCATAGTCCCTCCCCATTATAACAAGACCGCCCTTCCATCAATTCCGCCAACTTCACTCGCAAGAACAACCTCAAACGACACCACCGGACACACGTTTTCTCTTGGTCCCCAAAAATTTCTCTCCCCTCCTCTCTCTCTCTCTCTCCTTTCATCAACCAAAGAAACCAAGAAAAGAACAAAGCAAGAGACTACCCTCCTCGCCCTCTCTCTGCCTCCGCCGGAAAACTCCCGTTTTCCGAATTTTCCGGCGGCCAGAAGGGGACGGAGCTGGGCCGTTTCTTGCATCCGGGTGTCCTGACATTACACTCTTTGTGAAACGTGATCAAGAAGTGCAAGAAAGAACATAAAAAGAAGAAATAGTTCTTTCTTGCATTGTATTCTCTCTGTCGTGCGGGTTCGGACGGGGTGAGACTAATAGATGGTGATGGCCGTCGCGTCGCCGAGGAAGTCTTTCACGGAGAAGCTGTTCCATAGCTTCGCCAGCACCAGCAACTACGGCGGCGGCGGCGGCGGCGGCCATGTCCATAGGATCAGGGCCGTCCACGAGTGTCAAGACGACGACGACGATTTCGTGGAATGCGACGGCAGCGACGGGATGGAGCTGGCACAGATTGGCGCCGAGAGGACGAAGAACGTGCTGATCCTGATGAGCGACACGGGCGGTGGTCACCGAGCATCGGCTGAGGCCATCAGGGACGCGTTTCAGATTGAATTCGGCGACGAATACAGGGTAAGATCATTAAGATTATTTGGTGGGGCGGTTGGGATTTCATACTTTTTCTTTTCCATGTTTGATCTCGTGATTCTTTGTTGATGAACATCTATCTTTGCAGAACTTTTGGTGATGGCTCTGAAAGTTTCTGTCGTTTTGGTTCGTTTTGCTTTGCATGATCCCGAGACATTGTCATGTTCTTTTGATGAACAGATTTCCGGTTGATTCCATGTTGGAATTCTTCTAGCTTCTGCCTTTTGGTCATCATCATTTTTCAGCACTATGGCTTCCTCTTCTCCAAATGTTGATCATTCTTTGATCATTTAGCTCTGTACTTAATTCAAACAAATCCATCTCATTACCTCTTTTAGAACATAACTCCTATTGATAAAATAAAGTTTTCTGTCTTGCCATTTTGTTTTGTTTTGGGTCTATCAACCTCGGTTCACCTTTCTCCCTGGCTTGTCGATCGCAAATTATTGTCCTTTTGTGAGGAGGGCTCTGTTTTGGTGCGAGTCAAGGTCTCTTGGCTTTTTCCTAGACACTGAAGCTTCCTCTAAGCAAGTAACGATACGAAACTTGTAACAGGCGTGAAAGTAAATGTGGTCACATGGGGCTTTTGCAGATATTTGTGAAGGACGTGTGGAAAGAGTACACGGGATGGCCACTGAACAACATGGAGAATCAGTACAAGTTCATGGTGAAGCATGTACAGTTGTGGAAGGTGGCTTTTCACAGCACCTCTCCAAGGTGGATCCACTCCTTTTATCTCGCTGCCATCGCTGCCTACTATGCCAAGTATGTAATCAGTAATATGTTTTTCTTCTTTCCTTTTCTGCTGCAATCTTCTTCTTTTCTAAATTTCTCTATTTTTTTGCCGTCTCACCCGTGAACTCACACTTCTGGAAAAGATGGTAGTCTTGCATAAAAAGACGGGTAATCGACCGGTTGGGAAATACCACCTAAATACTCAACGCTCAATCATAATCCGTATTTAAGCAACGTGGGATATGATTCAAACAAATAGTTTTTTTTTTTGGATGATCAATAATTTGACAAATTGCTTACAGCTCGAAAATTGATTAGTTTCTTTTGTTTATGCTTCTATTCAAGAAAAATCTCTGTATAAATTGTTTGGTCCACCAACATCCAGGGGAAGGTTTAATCATAGCATTATTGTTTCCAAAGTCAGACATGATTCTTCAACCACGTTCCTGTTTATTAGTTTGCTTTCTGCGGTGATTTTCCATCTTCCGTAGCTTCTGAACTGCCATCAGTTGAAGTGATCTCCGAGACTAATCACATTGATTTCTTTCGTAACCTGGATAGTGATGTGGTTGTTCTGTGGGAACTTGTAAATAAAATTGCACTGGATTCATAAACAACTCAAAAGACCAGTATAATTTTTCTGCTCTGCAGATATACACAGTTTCCCGCATAACTTTCTGACGCTGGTAAAATCTTCTGCTTGAAGGGAGGTGGAGGCAGGTCTAATGGAGTACAAACCAGACATTATCATCAGTGTCCACCCTTTGATGCAGCACATTCCTCTGTGGGTTCTAAAATGGCAGGGCCTTCACAAGAAAGTGGTCTTCGTAACTGTCATCACCGATCTAAACTCATGCCATCCCACATGGTTGGTTATTAAACTCGGTCGTGGAAAAATTCTTTGGCCTTTAGTTATGCCCCGAAATCAATTTCAACTGACTAAGCTATTGCTCTGTAATTTTAGGTTTCACCCTGGAGTCAACAGATGCTATTGCCCCTCACAGGCGGTAGCCAAAAGGGCTTTAGAAGATGGTCTAGAGGACTCGCAGATTCGCGTTTACGGCTTGCCCATTCGTCCATCATTTGCCCGCGCAGTTCTTTCCAAGGTAAATGCCAGTGCACGTGCACGGACAACCCACATCCTTTTGATCGAACACGGTTTAACAGATCACATACTTATGTTTATTTTGTTTTAACTTGTGATTATCCAGGATGACTTGAGGGAAGAACTTGGAATGGACCCGGAGTTGCCTGCAGTTTTGCTGATGGGAGGTGGTGAAGGGATGGGTCCCGTGAAGAAGACCGCTCTCGCACTTGGTGAAACACTGTTTGATGAAGTACACGGGAAACCAATAGGGCAATTGATAATCATCTGTGGCCGAAACAGAGGTTTAGTGTCTACATTAGAGACCGTGGAGTGGAAAATCCCAGTTAAAGTAATTTCCTATATCTCGCACCAAAGACATTCGTTTCATTTTGTTATTCATGGCATAATTTTCCAATTTCTGTGCTTCTATAGGTGAGAGGATTTGAGACCCAGATGCAGAAATGGATGGGAGCTTGCGACTGCATAATAACAAAAGTAGGTTTCGATTGTACTTGGCCTCCTTGCCTTTCATTCTGTCTGTTTCCGCTGTTATAGATCCGTAAAGCTTGTAACCTCGCAGGCAGGACCGGGGACAATTGCAGAGGCATTGATCAGAGGACTTCCCATCATCCTGAATGACTACATTCCTGGACAGGTGACTAGGCATTTCCTCGAGATCCTGCAATTACATGTGACATCAGTAGCATATTTCACAACTAAGCTTAATTGATTTCTTTTTCGCTGATTCTCGACTGACAAAACACAGGAAAAGGGCAATGTCCCATATGTAGTAGACAACGGAGCTGGTGTCTTCACCAGGAGTTCTAAAGAAACAGCTAGGATCGTGGCCGAGTGGTTCAGCACCAAAACTGATGAGCTGAAAAGAATGTCGGAGAACTCACTTAAGCTGGCCCAACCCGAGGCCGTTTTCGACATCGTGAAGGACATCCACGAGCTTGCTTGCCAACGAGGGCCGCTTGCCAACATCCCCTACATATTCACATCTTCATTCACAAGCCTCATCTGAGTTGAACTGGCCAACATGCACAATTCACACCGGAACGCCAAGGAAAAGAATGCCATGTACAGCTAGGAAATACTACAGGTAGCACCATTGTTTCTCCTCAGGGCTTTGTGAAACGAAGGGAATCAAGAAAATGAAAGTTCTGCTTTTCAAGCTTATTAGCTTGAGAAGGGTCTGGGAGGGATTTGATTTTTTTCTCTTCTAATAGTATGAATCTAGGTTTTCATATGAACATGTAGATGGATATTGTCCTTGTGTCTTGATTATTTTGCAATTCTCTTTTAAACCTTAATCAAATAGCCTAGTAAGTTTTTATATCTTTGAAAGGCAATCCAAGATGAGGCTGCTTAGTGCTTAGGAGTTTAGCCATAGTCAGTGGCTTGGAAGGTCATAATCCACAACAGAATTCAGATGCGTGAAGTTTATGTGGATTAGAATCAAGCTGGCCCCCAGAATGTCCCTATCCTACTACTTGCAATCAGGTGATCTGGTGATGTTCGTCGCTCACGGTCTGCCGAGAAAGAGATAGTCTGCGACGTCGTCTTCAACTTTTAGCCTAATTTTGCTGGTAATGGATGGGATTGGGAACAATCAGCATTTCCTGTGGGGGCACAACCTGAAAATGAAACATCTGTGAAAGGACTGGTTGAGCCTCTGTCATAGTTGTGGGGCTTTGAGGTTCTTTTGAGAAAAGCAACGTTTAACATAAGAGGAAAGGGTTTAACCAAAAAAAAAAAAAACATAAGAGGAAAGGGCAACGACATGAGCATACTCGCTATATACATCTCACTAACTAATCAGAAAACACAAAAGACATCCTATCCTATACATCTCCAATGACCAACAAAACTAAACACGACAAAAGGAATTGTACATACATATATACAACTATCTCATAACTATCCCAAAAAATCAAACTCCCAAAAAGTTCTCTCACCGCTCTCGTCCTACTCATCAGTGAAAATGAATTATATAAGCAAACCACCGTTGAGTTATATTAATCTCTTTTAAACGGATCAAACATTCACTATGCATTATTATGAAGCGATAACATAAACACATTTATTCAAACTTAGTGTATAATATACATAAGATCAGGTATATTACTTAAACTCAGCTTTACACGTATCAAAAAAATATATTTAACCAACAATAGTAAAGTCCAATCATTCATAAAACCCATTCAAAATCCATTTCATAAAAAGGTTCACAAGCAAAAACATATAATCTTTCACAATACCATCCACTAAGGAAAATACATTTTGTATAGCATTTCTCAAACAATTTCACATGTAATTAACTCACAAACTAATTGAATAGATACTGATTTCGAATAACCAAAATGGTAGTAAACGTCCAATCCAGCTTTAAGAAATAATTATGCTCTAAACATCATTTCCTTTTTAAAGAACATCATGCCATGTGATGCCTCTTTTATAACTTGTAAAATATCTAATTTCTATAATACACAAGACATGGATTTCCAAATCATAGAAGAGATAAACACCACTTAGTTGACAATATAAAATGAAACTACAAAAACTACCTTAAGGAAAATAACTCGAAATCCTATATAAGTTAAGTAAAAAAATGAATATCAAAATCAAATACCTAATTACCTTAACTAAGACTTGACTAAACTTAGCTTTATTCGGGAATAAAACGACTATGATTTTTTTGGTCTAAAAAACGACTATGATGAACCGACAAAAAATCTCGCTCAAAATAGAGGAAGGCTTGTTGTCCACTTGCAATGATAGCTTACGCATCGAAGCTAAAATAGATCGTTTAAACTCTATTGAGCCCATTTCAAGTAAGTCTTGAGTCATTGAAAAACTAACTCAATATACAAAAAAAAAATCTTAAATCTATTACAATTATGTCAATTCAGTCCTAAATCGTTTTTTTATGCCAACTCAATCATACACATTTTGCATTTGTGTCAATTCAGTCCATCCGGTCAATTTTGGCTTGATACTGATGTGGACGCTGACCGTCCGGCCAACAATGACGTAGCAATTTTTAAATATTTTTTTTGAATTTTATATTATTTATTTATTTTTTCTTTTCTTTTTTTGTTTCCTTTTTCTTCCTTCTTTTCATTTTTTTCCCATAGTGGCCAGCAAGGCTCGATAGTCGTGGGTGAAGTTGGCCTTACTCACGGTTGGTAAGGCCATGGCTGCCTTCACCCCCAATCGTCGAGGCCCTGACAACGCAGGCGAAGGTGGTCATGGCCTCACTAGCTGTGAGCGAGGCTGACCTCGCACGTGATCCCTAGGCCTCGCGCCAATATCGCGAGGCTAGCCTCATGCGGCCTCGCCAGCTGCGGGCGAGGTTGACCTTGCACATGATCCCTAGGCCTCGCGCCAATATCGCGAGGCTAGCCTCATGCGGCCACGCTTCGCCAGCCGCGGCCGAGGCCGACTTCGCCTGTGGCCGGCGAGGCCATGGTGAGGCTGGCCTCGCCCAAATCTGGGCGAGGGTCGTGACCCTCGCTGACCACTGTGGGAAAAAAAAGAAAAGAAGGAAGAAAAGGAAAAATAAAAAGAAAAGAAAAAAATTAGTTAAAATATATATTTAAAAATTATCATGTTAGCGTCGACCGACGTCCGCGTCAGGGCCAGTTGGCCAAAATTGGCTTGATGAACTAAATTGGCATAATCACATTTTTTGATAATTTTCAAGATTATTGACAAATATTTTTGCACTATAAGAGAAGACGGTATAACATCAAAGATACATAAAGTAATTCGTAAACTTGGGTTGTAAAATGATATGATAGATCTTATTATAAGATAAGATTACAATAATGTAGATACGCTCCATTATTGAGACAATAGAACATGTCAAGTCAGTTCAGAAAAACTTTTAAAATTAGATTTAGGCTTTTAAAGTCTTTTGAGTAAAATTTTTAATGTTTGGTAAAATTATTCTGAAACAGTTTGAATCTATATTCTATCTTTTCGAAATAAAAAATCCAAAATTTTCCATGTTTGGTAAGAAATCTGCTTTGCCAAGTTTTCCCTAAGTGGGAATAGGATAGGACAGAACAAGAGTGGGGCTATTCATTAAATACAAAAACTTTCAGGGGCCCATCTGCAAACAAATTTATCTATACCGGATTGCTAAAGTCCAGATCTTTCGGGGGGTCGAACGAAATTTCTTGGAAAAGGAGAAGTCGTCTTTTGAAAAAAAAAGATCGAAGCTTTGGAATTCGCCGAGGACGAAGGCGCCTGCTGCTGCTGCTCCAGCAACGCCGGTTTCGCTCAGGCCAGCGTCGACGATCGCCCATGATTCTTGCGGCGCGCTAGAAGCGATGCTGCGAAATTGATTGGAAAAGAGAAGAGATTTTCCTTTGTTCTTCACACAATTTCAAGGGCGAGCAGAAAATTGGAGGTAATCATCAAGCATATGGTTATTAATTGAATTTCGTTTCAAAATCCCATCTTTAATGGTGTTTTGGATTCGTTTGCGTCTGGAATTAAATGGGTAGGTTTTTTTTTCCGGGTTTTGATGGAGAAAGTTGAGGAAATCAAGAATCGTTGGAGAGCGGTGGACGCTGTAGTAGTTCTTGCTGCTTTAAAGGTGGAGTTTTGAAGCTGAAGGAGCTTGGGTTTTGTCTTAGCTATTCTTTTTTACCTTTTTTTTTTGGGGCAATATGGTTGAACGAAGATTGAGTGTGTCTTCTTGTAATTTGACCAAAGAGTGTCTTGAGTGAAGCCTGTGCCATTGTGTATCATGACTTTCTGATGAATTGATGATGATCCACATGCAGCAACAGATAATGACATAACTCAGTGTGAACTGTGAATCTTTGAACCTTTAATTTGTTGTTTATCGTGACTTGAATACGTTTACAAGGCCAGCCAACTTGTGTTTTGTACTATTAATTTCGAGGATGATCTAAGTCGATTACTTTGTTCGATTGGTAGTGGGAATAGAGGATCAGGACAAAGTCCGGAGAATCTAGCTTGCCACAGAATTCATCAACGGTGTGTGGGGGAAAAGCTCTTTGTGGTACTGCTATGGACCCGTATTATTTGTTAAAATCTGCTATTAGAGCTTTTGTCTGTAATCTCTTTGTTTATGTGAATTGTGAATGAGAAATTTAGGCGGATTTTGGTGTAAATATTGAGACAGTTTAACGGTTTTAATGGGCTTTCTCCGATTTAAATATAGTGAGCTCTAACTCTCCCTTGCTTGAAAATATAGGCTGATGGCCAAGCCATGTAAATTGGAATCTGATGTTTCGTCGACTCTCGGCTTTCAATTTTTACTCTTGGTTCTTTATGCATTTATGCCTAAAACTATTTTAACTATAGAGGCTCACGTATTAGTTTATTGAGTTCATTTATGTTTTTGTCACCCATCTTCACTCATGTATTTTTACTATTGTGTATATTCAGGATGTTCATAAAATGGCAAAGGGGAAGCTTATCCTCATTTGTCAATATGGTGGTCAGTTCATCACTAACAGTGATGGCTCAATGTCATATACTGGAGGAGAGGCAAATGCTCTCGAGATCAATCATGAAACTCTTTTTGATGATCTCAAGTTAAAACTAGCCGAAATGTGGAATCTTGATTACAGGTCTTTGTCAATCAAATACTTCCTGCCTCTGAACAAGCGGACTCTCATCAATTTAACAAACGACAAGGACCTAAAAAGGATGTATGACTTTCATGGAGCTTCAGTGACTGCTGATGTTTATGTTATGGGAAGAGAAGGTTTTGATCCTCAAAGCTTGAGGGATCATGCCAACAGGTGCTGATTTCCTTTTACTTTACATGCAAGACTTTTCCCTTGAACTTGTATGTCTTAGTATCATACAAAAATCACGTTACTGTGAGTTTCTAATCAATATGGTTCATGTTGTGTCAGATTGTATTTCTCTCGGTGATTCCTTTAAAAACAGTTTTTGAATTTTTGATAGCGTTTATTTCATGTACATGTACCCAGCCAGGCTTGATTGAGAGGAACATTGCCTTCGTTCCATCAATAAAATAAGATGCTAGTGTCCTTGTGCTTATTGATTAGTTCTAGTGTATAGTGCCTGATATGATCTGAGAGAATGAGGAATTATATTGTGTGTTTATAGCAATTCTAATGATCATTTGCAGGACAAACGGCATAAAACTTGCTGAAACTTTGGCAACTGATACTGCTGCAGCCACCACGGCCTTTGTTGTTGCTGGAGCACCTGTGGATTCATTAATTGACATTGCTGTGATTGATCATAATCCCCCAGCAGTGTCCACCCAGTCAAAAGCTGCTCCACACAACGCCAGTCGTAAAATTACTCGATCTGCATCTGCTAATTCTACTCTTCCTGATCTTGTCACTGATGCTGTTGATTCAAAAGCTCTCTTACCAACACAAGTTGACATGAGTTCTACACCGGCTGATACTGTTAAGAAGAGAAGGCGAACAACAGCATTAAAGAGTATTGACAGTGCTCCTGACATTGGATCAAAAATTGATGTAGTTGGAGGGACAGGAAAAGGCACATCCAGGAAGAAGAAAATTCAGAAGCACCTTATTCCTTCAGTAGCTGTTGATGAGGAGCAACGGGAAATAGCTGCGCCTTGGAGTGACAATTTGGTTGATTGTCCTGTTGTTGCTGGCTCCGATCTGTCTCTGGAAGCACTTGTTGCGGCATGGAGAGAAGGTATTACTGGTGAAGGCCAGGAATTCAAAAGCGTACGTGAATTTCGTGATGCACTACAAAAGTATGCTATTGCAAACCGCTTCGCATACAAGTTAAAGAAGAATGACTCAAACCGTGCTAGTGGTATCTGTGTGATAGAAGGGTGTTCCTGGAGAATTCATGCTTCTTGGGTCCCATCTTCACAATCATTTGTGGTGAAAAGGATGAATAAGTCTCATACTTGCGGTGGGGAGTCTTGGAAGGCTGCTCATCCTGCAAAAAATTGGTTAGTAAATATCATAAAGGATAGGTTACGAGATAGTCCACATCACAAGCCAAAGGAGATTGCTCAGGGGATTGCTCGAGATTTTGGGATTGAGTTGAACTATAGTCAAGTGTGGCGTGGAATTGAGGATGCTAGGGAGCAACTTCAGGGTTCATATAAAGACGCGTACGGCCAATTGCCTTTGTTCTGTGAGAAAGTAGTAGAGGCAAATCCTGGAAGTTTGGCAAATCTTTTCACCGATGACGATGGAAGATTTCAGCATCTTTTTGTATCTTTCCGAGCCTTGATACAGGGTTTCAATGATGGCTGTCATCCGCTTGTTTTCCTTGACTCTATATCGTTTAAATCAAAGTACCATGAAGTGTTCTTGACGGCTAGTGCAGTGGATGGAGATGATGGTCCTTTCCCTCTTGCATTTGCTATTGTTGACGTTGAAGATGATAGTAATTGGTGCCGGTTTCTAGAGCAGTTGAGATCTGCCTTTTCTACTTCAACTCCCATAACTTTTATCTCTGACCATGAAAAGGGGTTAGAAACATCTGTGCATCAGGTATTTGAGAATGGTCATCATGGTTACTCCATCTTTCATCTTGTAGAGAATTTCAAGAAGAATGTGAAGGGTCCATTCACTGGGGATGGCAAGGGTTTCTTAATCAGCAGCTTATTGGCTGCTGCCCGTGCACAGCGGCTTGATACTTTTACATCATACGTTGAACAAATGAAGAAAGTTTCTTCAAAAGCTTACGATTGGATAATGCAGATTGAGCCAGACAAATGGGCACATGCATCATTCAAGGGTGAGCCATTTCATTTTATCACAGTAGATATCGCAGACCCATATGCTCAATGGATAGAGGAAGTGAAGGAACTACCGATTGTACAGAAGGTAGAGGCACTCATATCGAAATTGGTGGAGTTGTTTAATGCTCGCCGAACAAATTCAAGCAATTGGTTTACAACACTAACCCCATCCAGGGAGGAAAAACTACGAGAAGAATCTCGGAGAGCAACCAGCTTAAAAGTGCTGTTCTCATCAGATACGATATTTGAGGTTCATGACAATTCTATCAATGTGGTGGTGGATCTTCAAAAAAGGGTTTGTAGTTGCTTGGAATGGAAACCTAGTGGTCTTCCTTGCTGCCATGCCATTGCTGTCTTTTATTGCACAGGGAAGAATAGTTACGACTATTGTCCTAAGTGCTTCACAGTTGATTGCTACCTTGCCACCTATTTCGACTCCATAAACCCTGTTTGGGGTCCCTATGAGAAGTCGACCAAGGGAAAAGATCCTTCTCAAACCATGCATGTACTTCCACCAAGCACCCCAAAGCCATCAACCGAGCAAAACAAGAAACAACACACAAAAACAGAGGGAGTAACCAAAAGGGGAGTTTGCTGCAGTAGGTGTGGCGGAGTAGGCCATAACAAATCTACATGCAAGGAAACATTGCAAACTTTAATTTAAATTCAGATTCATGCCAAAGGTTGTGCAGATTTCATGTAGTTAATCATCTGCTTTGGACAGAGAGATATACTATCATGTTTAATGGCCTATCATTATTATGTCAATAATCTACGATTGAAGCGTCGGTGAAACTTTTTGCAGGTATTGTTTGAAGTTCTTTTGATTAATTAGAGGTTTCCTAATGTAGAATCTTTATTTTATTCTATTTTATTTTTCTGTCAATTGCTTCGTCTATGTGACTCCCGAGTGACGGGTATCATCTAGAAGGCATCCTGAATGCCGAGGAGTCTTGACCTTCCCTTTTGGACGAGCAGAAATATCAGTGCTAGCATGTGGAAAAGGCTTGTAGGAGAAGCACATTTCTGTCATTTTTGTGGCAGTAACAAGGGCGTATCGCCAAAAGAAATTCAATAAATTAAGTTTCGTGAATTTTAGTAGTAAAGCTCTCATTTTGTGGTCCCATAGAAACGGTTCTAATCCTAAAGGAGGTCGGTATATTGAGAAGTAGAATCCAACGTGAAGCACTTTCATTCTATAAACATTGAACTAGTTTAATGCTGTCTCCATATTTCAATCTATATCTCTCCTTTCCTATCTACAGATTCCGATTGTGATTTCAAATGGAGGATTAAAATTCCTTGTTATCGCGTGCTCGGTGTTAGTCAAGGTAGTGATGGCTGTTCACAGAAGCACATTGCACATGGCAAGGACATTTGTGGGGGTGATCAAGTTGGCACGTTACTTGGGTTCTCGTCCTTCCGCTACAGCACATGATCACTGTTCACCGAGTATTGTATTCCCTGATGACGAGGCTAAAGTACATCTGATTTAACTCCCGAGAAGTGAGTAGTATGGACTATGCTGGAAACCTTTTTGGAACTTTATCCCTCGTTCGTGCATCATCCTAACATTCAGACGGTTTAAGCCAAGAAAGCCAAAACCCTTCTCCCAGAAAGAGAAGGATCAAATCTGTCTAAAAATGTCGTCTGAAGTTGCTGCAATCCAAGTCGTTGCTTACAACACCTTCAGTAGAATAGCCATGAAAAATTATGTAGAGAAACGTTTATGCAGTGAACAAACAGGACTCCCAAAATACAAGAAACTTTTCAACAGGATACTTTGCAATTAACTTTCGCAGTCCCACTTCTACGCTCTCCCTCATTCCGCAGTATTCGCGCATAATTTTTCATGACAAACTAAGTAGAAGCTGCTTTTATTCAAATCAAATTACATAGTGGGAACATTTTCCGCAAAATAATGCAGGCACGCTGATGATGTTTCTCCATCCCGAAAATAACATTCCTGCACTTCCACCTCGCTCAATAATGCAATCGCAGTCAGCAATCAGTCCATCAAGGAGGTCTGAGTTTGCATTTTAGGCACAGAAGTCGATACTGTAAAATGTGTTTTCGCACAAAATGGGCTAAGTTAACACAAAGCCGCAATGTGTCTGATAAATACAGACCGACAATATACACTGCATTCATAGTCTAAAATTCTATATCCTATAAGGCTATAACAAAACAATGCGCTTCCTCTAATAAGCCCATCGAGATATTGGGTGCATATATATCACCTATCATATTTACGACAGCATTCTAGCATGCCCAGCATAAGCATCTAGCCTTCTTTGTTAGAAAGAGCCTGTACAATCATTTCCCTCCCTCCTCCTTTAAAGGCGTCAGCAGGTGAGAGTAAATTGAGACAAACGGGACATAGAGGGTCAGATTTGTCTTCAAGAGACGTCTTCTGTTCTAAACAATCCGCATGATAGACGTGTCCACATACTAGAACTGCCGCAACAGAGTTTTCCGAGGACGAGTGAGAGCCAGAAAGAAGATAAGGCTTCCTCCTTAAAAGTTTCTGGCAGACCCCGCATTGCAGCTTTGCCGTTTCAAGTGAGGCAGAATCTAATGTGGCGGAATCTGACCTAATCCTCTCCGGCCTGCTAAAGGCTCTGTCTCTATAATCTGCAAGAAATATATGATACCTCGTGATGAAGAGTATCATAACAGATGGCTGATTTTAAATTTCCATCAACACTTATATGACATTGGGACTCCCATATAAACATTGAATTTTAAAAAATCACCATGTCCAAAAGTGGGTGCACGACTTCCTCATTTGTGGCTAGAAAATGCTTTAAAACAACGAGTAAGTTGATGTGTAAGAGAAATAGTTAACCTGCATAGTGCCAGTTGTCTGAGTTGTAGCGACTAGCCAACTTGAAGTTAAGCCTCTCTTCCCAAGAGGGCGGGGTCTTCCCATGAGAAGTGGTTGCACTCATATGGGCACCTGAGTTACGCCATGAGTTCTGGTGTCCATACCAGTGACGTGAGCGTTTCAAAAACATTGAACGCCCAAGATTTTGCCGAAGAAGTACAGGAGAAGAGTGATTAGAAGAAGTATCCATTTCCATGCTTGATGTGAAAGGCTTCATCTCATTAGAGTCCACAAAGTGAGAAGACTTCTGCCCAGGGTTTCAATATGTCAGCAATTGAAAATACATAAAGTCAAAGAGAACTATCGACGTAGGATAATCAAACAACCGGAAAAAAATCGGAGGAACAACCCTAAGATGAAGGGGGCTAAGAGGCAGCTCACCTTTCTAGAGGACAATTCCACTCCAGAAGAGCACGGCATGCTTTCTGCTGCAAATCAAAATATTATCGTCAGTAACTTCTGTCTCATATAGAGCAAAACTATCACCCATGGTCTTTCACACGATATGCAAAGCTCAAAGACTTGAAAGCGAGCTACAAGTACACGTGAAGGTCTCATTTGATCATAGTAAATCTTTGCAGAAATAGTGCAGCCTATACACCTCAGGGTGAAGAGAGAAATTGGGTGGTGTCATGCATCAATAGACTTAACCCACTCAATGACCTCATTTGAATATAAAAGTATTCAGATGGAAAGAAGACCTCTGAGATTAAAGCAAGCCGAAATCCGAAATCAAAGAACACACAAAACAAGATCTGCAGATCAACAGTCAATAGCAAACGTGGATCTCACGCACGTTATGCAGCCATGAAGGCAAGAAAACCCTTAAAACATCAACGCAAAGGAAAAATTAAAAAGAAAAGATCATTTAGGGAGTTACAAGATAAGTATATCTATAAGCTGCACCAAAGTAATTTGTTTGATAAACATGTATCCAAGAAATGATATGCATTCTACAAACTAAAACACACCAAACATTAGTCAATCCAATCAGAAGACAAAAAGGCCAAGAAAAGCACAAAACAATTATCGAATCGGATACCTTGGATCTAAAAATAAATAAAATTAAACTTTGATAACATTTCATGGATAATCGATAGTTGGTAAGCAGTAAACCGTAGATCCAGAATCAGCCGCCATTCATCATGGAAGAGAATCATTAGCCCCCATGAGCTCTCCAACATTGCTAAAGTTACAAACCCACTCACTCATCCATCCATTAGATCTACAAATCCTCTAAATGAATGTTTTGTATCATACTATACTCTGAATTTCTGAAGTCTGACTGAGTAAGATGAGTGTTCAACATACAAGGCTTCTACGCGGTCTATTTTGAGCATCATCATATAATACGAAGCACACACCCATGGTCTTACATATTCCGATTTTGCTAATTTTGAGCATATTACGGCCTTCTTTCTTATTCTCAACGGGCATTCTCTCTAGCAGGTCGATGTAACAATTGATTCCAGTACATCTAAACAGCTTCTCGAGTTCATCCACAATCCACCTCAATCTGCCAATATGTTCTGCAATGCCAATGGGATAAGAAGCCATCTGTCTCATCAAACTACTTCCCATGATTTAACCATTCACCACCTCTTCTAGCAGATAAACGTGCAGTATTCTCAAGGCACACTCACAGATTTTCGACAATCTAAACCTTGATCAAACCCAAAAAAAAAAAGCAACAAAGGGAATTGCAATGGCATTCATGAGAGACAGACAGACAGAAAGAGCATCCAAATTATCAAAACTAAGGAGAAGAGAAGGCAAGCCAGACTAAAAGAAGAACAAACCCTAGCTCAGATCGCTCTACTTAGATCAAAATTTGAAAAGAACCCAATCCCAACTTCTTCCCATCAAATCATTCTAGCTCAACAGAACCGTCCATAAAATGCTGAACTCTGAATCTGACCACCCAGATTTTGATTTCTCCTTTTTAACTCCAACCTCACCCAAACCCCACCCATCAGAACCATCAAAACCCGATCTTTCTCCTATTCCGCTCATACCCACATTTTCCCAGGAATCAAAATGGCCATCAAAATGCAAAAGGGGGAACACCCAACAAAAACGTACCGGGTGAAGAAGACGAAAGAGAAGGGTCGGCGTTGAGACGATCGTCGGTTCTCTTCCTTTTACCCATAATTAACATCGATCGAGAAACAGTAAATGCCTAAAAAAAAACCGACCCCCTAAATTCTGGAGCCACCGTAGAAGCGAATTAAACGCTCACAGTCAAAGGGGCTGCAGATTAGCCAAAAGGGTTCTTGGATTTGAGGCGAGCTAAGTCTCTCTCCCTCTCTTTCTCTCTCTGTGACTGTGTGGCATCGCGGTGTGAAAGCGTTTTCGGGTTCTTGCGATGTATAAATAGTGTTGGGACTTGGGAGGAGGCGGAGGAGGAGGAGGAGAGAGAGCAGTTTCCAGGTGAATAACAACGAGCGAGAGAGTCGGCGACGAGGGGGGTTTTGCGCCCGTCCACGTCGCGCTCTCCGAGGTGGCGGTGGCGGTGGCGAGTGCGCGAGTGCAAGTGTAAGAAAGCAAACACAGCGCCCTAAAACATGAGTATCGAAAACGCTTGTGATTTATTATGATTCGAGGATTTGAATTTTGATGATGTTTGCTTTACGAAAAAGCATACCATGTTAGTATCGCCTCAATGATAAATCATGTTGTCCGTTAAAATATTGTAATTTATGACATGCTCGCTTCTCCGGATGTTATTGTCGCGCAATGTATCCGATCCACCAAATATTTTCTTTATTTGCCATTATGCAAGCAATAAGGGCGCTCGTTGTCATCCTCGATTAAGTTCTAGGATTTGAATCGCTATATTTGCGCATTCTCTGAAAGCCAGTTGGAAAAGCGTAAATGAATTTATCTAATATGTACTCATAAAAAAGATTGGGATCATTGTCCAAAAAGTTTTAAATCTATCGTACGACGGTTAATTCAGTCCAATTTAATTATTAGCCATCAACTTATCAATTTAGTCCTAAACCTTTTAAAAATTTACCAACTCCTTCATAAACCTTTTATTTTAATAATTGGCCGGAACGACTACATGAGCAAATCGTCAAAAGATTTAAAACTAAATTTGCATAATTAAAAATTTAGAATTAAATTGGCACGAATTGAAACCTGAAGGTTTAGACTGAATCGGTCATCTTTTAGGACTCCGCAGCCAATTTTCCCGAAAAGAAGTGTCGACAACAACCCAAGCCTCACCACAAAAGCAAATTGAACCCCTTGCTAATGTAGCAATCTTACTCTCCCCAATTACTCAAAAGTGGGCCACATTGAGGCAATCAAAGGTCTTTGGCTAATCAATGGTATCATGGTGTCAAATCCCCATCCCTCAAAAATGGGTTCAGCAGCCACAAACATCTTTCACTTGTAACTGCAGCAAGACAAAGATCATCTCTTTCCCGGTCTCTCCAACTTCACTGTCTACACATGATTATTGTAGCCGTAAACAAACCTGATGCTTCATGTATAGAAGCAATAAAGCCCCATCTCTTTTACATCATCAACTGAACAAACGCAAACAACTCTGAAGATGTTCCTGAAGTTCCTATCCAACAAGATTTTCTCCAGCACACTAAGACGATACAGCATTCTCTTCCGTCAACTCCATTCCAAACACCGACTCTCGAACACAAAACTTGGGAGGTAGACTTACCCTTAATTGGGAATCTGATACTTGTCAAAGCGCTCCTTTCGACAAGGCCAACTAACATTCTAAGTCTACCAAACAATCAATTTGGAAACAAGATGTCCTAAGTACTACTATCTCCGCTTTCTCTGATTGGTCAAAAAATACATCGAGATACCAACTAAAAGAACCGACGGCCAAGTTTTCTGAAAGAACAGATATCGAAGTAATCATTGATTTCCACAATGTAAAAGTCAGATCAGGTAACAACAGCTCTAAGTTGGAAAGGCATACCAAGTTAAGAAGTGCCGCAAGAATTTCAGGAGGAATATTTTGGAGCAGACAATGCCCTCTAAATTCCGAATCACATGTTCCTGACTATAAACGTCACTCATACACATCCATCCAACAGATCAAAGACCCAGCTGCAAAGAATCTTAAGCGCCCCTAAGTACAAAAAGGATCCAACAAATGTCATAAAATGATGGCCATTTACAAAACGGATCCATGAACTATAACTCAATGCTGCTGCGTACAACGAAGACGGATTTCGGCCCCTAAAAGACATGAACCCCGAAGGCAATTCATGACATTGATCAATCCATTTCTATTGTTGGACATGCGTTAGTCAATCTATTTCTATAACTTGACATGGATCGTCTTTGGCCCTTTTTTGACTTGACCGAGCGAATGATCTGATTCTTGCACTTCTTCTGAGGACCGCAGAACTCGCATAAGTCTTCAAACACCTCCTTCCCCTCGATGGGAATCTTGAGATGTGTTTAGACGGTAACGACAGCGAAGAAGGTCCGAGCTGTCCAGAAGGCGGAGACTCTGAATTTGGTTCTGGCTGTGAAGTAGGCTGAACAGAGCAAGCAGTTGAGAAGTCGGCACAATACAGTGAAATAAAATGAAGTTCAAGGGCAAACTTGTAACTAGGAACAATACTATGGGACTGAAATTATTGCCCGATGGAAATATAATTGCTACGATAATTTAAATATTTGGTCCATTAACTAGCATGGCTTTTCAACAGGATCCCTGAACTTGTGATTGGTACAATCAAGTCCTTGAAGTCGCAAAAGTCTGCCAGTCAAGTCCCTTGTCTCCGATTCCAGCAAATTAAAGCCAATGTCTCTGATCAGTGCTAGCCAAAAGTTTGATGTGGGAAAGAAGACAACTAATCAACTGTCCTTTGCTTCTTCCCACCCATTCAATTGTCCCCAGCCCTTAACTTAATTGTCCACAGTGAAACTGATTTATTTGCTGCATTAGACTCCTGGCTAGCACTGACCATTCATTTCGCCAAAAGTGCAGAAGAAAGGACTTGAATAAAAAAAATCTGATAGTTTAAAAACTTCGTTGTGCAAATTATAGATTTCATTACCGCATTAAAAAAACCTTTTCTGCAAAAAAAAACTCTAAGAATAAGAGAGTACAAGTTCAGGGACCAAATGTGTACATTTTTGTGTTATGGCTAATTTTATCTCACAAAATATAAAATAAAGGTCAAAATAGTGTGGCCTTCAAGTTTTCTTGGGCATGTGAATTCCTACCATAATCAAAACTAGGTGTTAAGACTGAAAGCAATATAAAATATTTGAATTGCAATAACTCAAAAGACAAAAACATGATACTTCGGAGTTTAAATGGAAGATAAGTACCTCTGGAGAATGTTCCTCCTCCCCCATCAAGGGAGCTTCATCTTGCATAAACAGAGCATTTGCAGAGGCTTCCCTACAATTTCAAATACAATAAATTAATCCAGCAACGAAAATTGGGGCTGTAGTTCTTATAAGCTCAAAAGTAGCATGCCACAATTAACCATTGGAAGGTTCAGTATACAAGAAACCCTTACTCCTGACTTCTTCGCCCTCGGAAACTGATTCTGTAATTGGATGTTTCATTATCATCATCTTCGGAAGATTCCTTTGCAGTAATATTAGCACAAGCACCGCCATCTGGTGTATCAGTGGCATCCTTACTGAGAACATCTTGCTCATCTCTGACTTCATCTCTCTGATTCACAGGGACAATATGAGTGTTATTATAAGCAACAGTCCCATTAACGAACAGGTTGTTTTCCAATAATTGGTCCTGTTCTCTTTCGAGAACTTGCCCCGATGGCCATGCTTGCACCATGTTCTCATCTATCTGTTTTTCCAGAGTAGGAGTCCTCTCAACCATGTTGGATTTGTTTTCCCTGTTCCATTTCCCTTCCAAGAATTCCGCAGCATCAGTAGAAGCTCTGCCATGGACCATTTCTTCCTCTTCCCCACTTGGTAAATCGGCGTTGCCACCATTACATCGTTGAGAAGGATAATCTTGTACTCCATCACTTTCGTTCCCTCGAAACTGATGGCCATTCACGTCCATTTCATTATGTCCATTTACTCTATCAATCTCACTAGTTCCATTTCCTGACAGACTCTGTTCCATCCGATCCAAATTCTCTTGCTGGTGCTTGAGTCCAGCACGAATAAAAGTAGATAAGGCTTTTCTTGTTGAAGAGGCCTCTTTCTTGGCATCATGATATTCAGAAATGGCAATAGAATATGCACAAAATGGACAGTAATACATACCGTTGTCGTCAAACATAGCTGATAAGCCCACACAATTCTCATGAACCATCAAAGGGCAACTGCTGGTGTTACAAACTAACAATTGACCACCTTCATTACACTTCATACAAACATTTTGCTCCCTACAATCAACTGTTGCAAACGCATAGCGAGGTGACGGGCACTGAGACTGAGAGTATAAAAATTCATGCTTTTTCATCGTAACATCCATCTCCTCCTTTCTATATTCATCACTATCACTAGATGTTTCCTCCCCAGCAACATGGACCATGTAATCTTCCACATTACTGGTAAAAGTCTGCCCCCACTGCGATGCCCGAGCTGATTCGCTGTTATTTGTTTTCTCTATGGAGTCATGGATGCGTGTCGAATCATCAACAGAAAACCCCCGCTCTATTCCATCGGAAATCACATCACAAGTCCTCGGCTGAACATAATGCCTCCCATCTCCCACTAACAACTGGTCTTCATCCACAGCCCCCACATGATCCTTGACCAGGTTAGCCATCTCTCTTTCAGAACATCCATCAATCCTCTGGAAACCTAATCTTCCAGTTAGAACAACTGGTGATTCTTCTCTGTCCTTTATTTCATCAGTATCTCGCTGTTTAGCCCTTTTAGCATCTGAATGAGCATCATGATGTTGATTCTCATTACAATTCTTTTCAATATTTTCAGCATGAACATCAGGATGGTTCCTCTTTGTGGGAAGACATATCCTAACATCATTATCTTCTTCCAAAAGCTCCATGTGATTAGTGGGTCGAGAAACCAAGTTTGTTTCATCAACTGTATTAGGAGCACATGCGTCTCCCGCATCAGGCACACGTGTAAGTCCAGTATGTCCACCATTGTGAATTACAGTCCTATCTAAATGACTAACAGGTGCCAATCTACCCAATTTCTTTAAAAAATCAGCATGCGGATGAGTACCTCCAAGTACCGAATCTTTTAGCTGCCCAAAGAACAAGACAAAACCAATTTAAACCTGAATGAAAGAGGACATCATGAAGATAAACAGCAGTGGGTATGAAAACCGGCTCACCTCCTCTAGAGCAGTTTTTGGTACATAGGCTCTCTTGTGGATTAAAAATGAGCGAAGGTCGCATTTCAACAACTCATTTGCAGTCACTCCAAGATCAGATGCAGAGCCCTAAGATATAATAAACTCATAAACAGGGGAACAGATGCTGAACTTCAGCAATCATTAGAGCAGAACCAGTGGAAAGATGTCATAGAGAAAAATAAAACAGTTGCTTCAAGTTCTCTCTTTTAAGGCACATAGTCACTATAACATTCATTAGAACTTACATTATGGAACAAATACTGTAGGACATTTTTGCAGCTCTTTGAAGTATCAATTTTCGGCTTTGATTCCAATGAGGACAAAGTACCATTCATGTTTCCATTTGTAGGGCCACATAGCTCCTCCAGGAATCTCAAAGAAACAACTTCCTCCATATTCTCTCTTAAGTGAGCAGTTATTTCTGGAGCCGCTTTAATGATACCTGAAAAGCATAAACCATATGAAACAGTTGCCCAACCAAAATAATGAGAAAGACAGACCAAAACTTGCAGAATACTACTGTAGAAGGTGAATACCATGTAAAAGGGATGGCTTAAGTTGCTCGAATTTTGCCAAATACTCAATAATCCAGAACCAGGGAAGGCTCAACTCAGCTGAGCTTTTGCCATCCATGGAAGCACGGCTGAGCAGTTGGGACAACAAGGATGTCTTTAACTCATGCCTTCATCAATCAATTAAAAAGATTGCTTTCTACAAAGAAAAAAAATAACAACATAAAACTGATCATGCATTTCACAAATTATGCACCAGGTATCTGATGGGAAAACACTTACAGTATCAGCCTAAAAGCTGCAGATCCAACATTACTACAGCACGAATGAAATTTTCCCGGTCATGCACCATATGAAAGATTCATTTGGCAAGGAACCCTAGAGTAGTGATCGTCTTTGTCAAAAGAAACAAATATGCCATAACATCCTAAATCAAGTACTTCCACAGTGGAATCAAATAAAAGCCAATTATTGCCATGCTCATTAAATTCTCACATAAGTGACCCAACTAACAATTTAATCCAAGCAATTTTTAAGAACTAAACATGCTAGTTTTTAATTTTTTGCTTGTAATTAGAAAGTTATACAAGCAAAACAGAACCAAAGTCAAAAAAACAAATTGTGCAGCATATGGAAAGGAGTAACAAAAAGTACTGAATCAAAAAGGTGCAGTCAGGGAACAATCCCCATACAAATAAACCTTTTAAGCATTCTGGCATGGCCTTCTCTGATGAAATTGCACAACACATGAACCCATATGAACAAACAACATAACAAAATTAAAAGATCAAAATCTCTAAACCACCAAGTCCCATGAACTCAGTAAGACTGACAGAATAGAAAGACAAACCAACTGAAAACAGAGTGTGAGCAAACACAAGGTCAAAAGGTTAACAGCTTTTTTTGATGTCAAGCAATTTGACTAATTCCATTTTGACATATACGTATAACTTTTACTGCAAAACCAAAAAAGAGAATGAGAAAACAGGAAAAATGGATAACGAGTCAGACGCGATGCGTGAATCCTTGAGCAGAAAATGCTCATCAATGGAAGAAATGCAACCAGTTAATTCAATTCGAGGGTGTGTTGACAAAATTGCGTCATGAGAATCTAGATACACCCACCAACTATTCCGAGAAATCTCGAGCAAGATCAGCTTCCTGATGTGTTCAATTCATCGAAAGAATCACATCAGCTCAGTGTCTACTCTACCGGTAATTTTTCTTAAGAAAACAACATCCAAGATTAACTACCCTTCAACAAACAGAAATGCCGTGACTCCCAACACCCATGTACTGAGACGTAGTCAGAAATCGAGATAGATAGATACCCGCGCATGAAGTCGTTTCTTACCAATTTTCCCTTGTTAATCATCTACCTACGCCAACGTAATCTAGGAATCTACTACGCATGGCAAAATTGGGTCCACAGTTCAGCTTGCGGAAGGACATATAATCAAAGTCCAGTCACAATTTCCAAAAGGGAAAAGAATGGATCAACACAAGTATTTTTACTCATAAGATTGTCCACGCGCGACCGCGAGAGAGAGGGAGAGAGTCCAAAATCAAGAAAAGCCCTTGCCCAAAATCAACTCCAACAAGAACAACATTTTCAGCAAAACCCAAATTCTAGCTTGCTCCCACCAACTCTTACAGCTCAAATCGCATCGTTCGCTGAATACGGGACGTGGGGTCGACTACTCCCACGTTAATCTCTCACAATTCAAGCAAAGACTCGTCCTTTCTTCGGAATTTTTTACACCCCACACTTCCTGAAACCAAACAACGAGAGGAAAATTTGCAGAGAAGAGACGACAACATACCTAGAGAGTTAAAGGGGGCGGTTGGCTGTTGGTATGATCATTTCATGGGCACGTTTCTTCTCCCCTGAAGTCTACAATGGCGGGACAGCCAATTGCCCCCAAGATAATCTTGAAACCCACACGGGCGATCAGACAGCCCAGTGAAGCGAAGCAGCAAGATACATCAGGCTTCAACTCGACGGGTCGACCCAAGATCCACTCTCCAGAACTGGGCTTGTCTTCGAATTCGCCAAGACCAGAACAACCGAAGGGGGGTCGATCGATCGAGAGAGAGAGAGAGAGAGAAGGGGAGAGGGCAGTTTCAGGTGTTGGCGGAGGAGGGAATATCGTACGAGAACGACGGAGAGCGAAAGGGAAGAAGTGTTTAAAAACAGGACCGTGTCGGATTAATCACTTCCGGTTGCGATAACGGCGGAAATCGTCATGAATTTTGGCTCAATATATATTATAATTTTTAAATTTTTAATTTATTCAATATTATCAATATAATCGCTAGATTTTTTATGCATTGTTAATATAGTCCATGAACTATAAATGTAATCAATATTATCCTTCCATTAATTCAAGATTATGGACGATATTGAACATTTTCATATAGTCCGAGAACTAAATTGAATATGTACTAAAAGTTCAGGAGTCTCATTAAATAAATTAAAAATTCAAGAACTACATTATATATTAGGTTAAAGTTTAGGGATCATATTGATCAAGTTAAAAGTTTAAGGACCACATTATGTATTGGGCCAAAGTTCACAGATCATTTGTGTCATCTTCCCAATTACTATTATTATATTTTTATTATCCTAAATTATGTCTATCGCGACACATTTATCACGAACTTTATTATTTTAAAAATCTCCAACTTGATACCTATATGACACATTTACCCTAAGTCAATATTCTGTCAATAAGCACAAATCTGCCTTCATAAATGGCGAAAGGCATATAGTGTTGACAATGGCAACTACATGGCTTAAGTAAAACATAAACAACATCGTTTTGGCTGAAAAATCATCTAATTGAACTTTAATGAAAGGTAAATATATCACGTAGATACAAATTATGGATTTTTTATGTCAAAAGAATAAGTTTAGAGTAAATGTGTCACGGTAAACATTATTTGGGTTTTTTATTGTTTTTTTCTTATTATTAAGGACAAATATTAATTTATTACCTTAATTAATTTTCCCTCCCTTAATTTTGGGATAAACGCTCGTTAAGCTCCGAAATTCAAAAGAATATATTGTTTACTCTTTTGTTTTATGTCATAATATTATTTACTCTAGAAGGGGTAAAGTACAGCATTTTATTCAATTTTATATCAAATGTGTTAGTTGCCCTCAATTACATAAAACAATATCTAAAATATAAAATATATGATAAGAAAATTGGCACTTTTAATCCTAATCTTTCTTGTCAATCTATTTCATTAAGAAAAACTATGAAAAAGTAGAAGAAAATAGAAAACACCGGTTCGATAAGAAAATTAAGACAAAATGACTCAAAATGAAAATCTAGAAGAACAACCTCAATGATATTTTTAAATATAAGATTGGTTTTAAATAATGTGGTTTTGACGATCTAATATTTTCTAATTGTGTTAAATTGCATAACTTTCATTGACAACACAACAATCTAGACTTAACCTAGACGACACATGATAACATTGTATGGTGACATTGTAAGGCCACGTGATAATCCATAGGGTAAATACTAAGAAAAACCCCAAATTGATTTTGGCATATGTCATCCACGTCAGAAAATTTAACAAGAAAATTTGACGGAAGCTAACGGAAGATAAATTTGTTACATGTGTATTAATTTAGGATTTTTCGCTGTCAAAAAATTAATTTTGGGAAATTTATCACATATGTACCGATTTAAGGTTTTTCGTGGTATTAACGCTTAGTAAAATACCTCACCCATCGTAACTTTTCTTTGATATTTGTGTTTATCCTTACCAATTTAATATCACTTCATAATTTTTCTTTGGATGACGTAATTTCCCTTTCATCTAGGAAGTTTTTTTAATTCCATGGGTCATAATTTTCCACCAGGAAATTTGTTCGATCTTTGAGTTAGCAACATTTCTTAATCTTTGTAATTTTCCTTAATCAAATGTGATTACCTTCGAGTTCATAATTTCCCTTTAATATCTGTAATTCCTTAATTATTGATTTTTCGTGAAACAAACGGAACCTCAATGCATACCAACTCCAAAGTCGGGGAATAAAAGGGAACTTGTCTAATAAATTATTAAATGTATGATGTTACCTTGAGCTTGAAATACGAGTGATCAACCCATCTTACTTCTTCTAAAATGATATGGTTTAGAAAGCGAACTAAACTAAATAAGGGTTTGAATCGAATAATTTTGAAATTTATTTTTTCAGTTTAATTTGGTTTGAAACCGAACCGAACCGAATTAATCACGAGCTTAAAGAATTCACTAAAATCAGGAAGAAAGCAACATGATTTCTCTCCTCTCTTCTTCCTTCCTTCTCCTTCTCTGCTCACCTATTCGCCTCTCTTTCTTTGAGTTCTCTTCTTCTCCTTTTGACTTCTTTCCCGCTCTCCTCCTTTTTATTTTTCTCACCTTGTCTGATCTCTCCTACTATATAAAATACAAAAATGAATCGAGCTATTCATGAGTAGCTCGGGCTTAGCTTAATAATTACTCGCCTAATCTCGACTCAAGCTTGAGCTAAAATATATTGCATATTGCGCCAAACTCTCTTTCAAGCTTAATCAATTTTCTATCATTTCTTTCAAAAATATTTATCAATCGTGACAATAGACGAAAGAAACACCTTAATATTACCTAGCACGCATTCTTGGGAAAATGTTCGAGCTAATTAAGCTCACGCTCAGGTCGGTTTCATTGCTTTATTGCAATTGAATTGAATTCGAGTATCTCGATTTCTATAATAGCTTTTAAGAAAGCTATTTCACTCGGTTTTAATCAGATACCGCAGCTCTAAAATATTAATTACCAACCACGATGAATATATATTTGATTATTTAATTGTAATAATAAGGAAAGAGTCGAAACCGTGAAGAAATTCTACCAAAGAGAAGTTTTTATTTGCAATGAAGTGGCACAAATAAATGATGGTTTTGTAAATTTGCACTTCCAAAAGTGCTTTGCAAGCAAAGAATGTCATCTGCTTTTGGCAAAGCAATTGGCTACCGAAGTTTGGCACAGGTCTCCCAGAACCAATGCACAAAGCAACACATTCTTATCATGACCAAGCTCATATCTCAAAAAATATGACGCTAAGAAGAATCAATTCACGCTCCAAGATGACACGAAAGGCAACCAAGAAGAAAACAAAGAAACCCCGGGGCAAACTAACTCGATGTAAAAGGTATCTTTCACTAGCGAAAAACGAAAAGGCAATCCCAACTTACAATAAAGATCGTCGTTATCGTCGTTGTCCTCCTCCTTGTCAGCCTCTTCAGGACTGTTAGATACTGCAGAGACACTGCCTCGAGCAGATACATCATCAAAAATCGAACATTCTCTAAGAAAGATAGTTATTGTAGCAGATACAGTGGTGAGACAAGGTTGGTGAACAGATGGATTAGGAGAAAAATTGGAGGCATGGTGCCTTCTATGTCTCTTCCTTCCAGCTATCCAAAGATCTTGAAGAGTAAACCTCCATGGGTTGCGAAGAAAGGCGCGAAGACAAGCGACTCGACCGCCATCAGCTTGATGAGGATGTTCAGCGAGGGTCCAGATGTGTCCTTGAGAGGGTCTCCGATGGTGTCGCCGATGACAGCAGCCTTGTGCGGGTCTGATCCCTTGGGACCGAGGGTCCTCGCATGATCCGAGGCACCGGCCTAAGTAAAGAAAGCATAAGACACGGTCCAGAAGAAAATCCTAAGCACACAAGTTGGAAAGTGTCATCACTCATCACTCTTTTACCTCGATGTACTTCTTGGCATTGTCCCAAGCACCGCCAGTGTTGGAAGCAGAGATAGCAATCTGGAAAAAAAGGAGAAGAAAATCAATTCACCTACCAAGCATTTATAAAAGATATGTCACCGTGACTTATATAGTTTAAGAAAAACTAGAATGCAAACCATTGGGATTTTTATTTTTCTTTTGGGCAAAATCCTGGCTTTGTCAAAAAGATCACACTTTGTCCGGAAAAGTTTCTAAATCACTCCATCATCGTTCTTTTTAAGTGAGAAATGATGTGCACGTTACAAGCTGTCGTCATTCATTCCGTTTGTTATATAGCTTGAGCACGCCCTTTAAAAGGATTAAGAAGTCATCAATCACAACAGGATTACCTGAACACCAGAGACCAAGGATCCGGCAAGAACACCAGACAGAGTCTCGACACCGAAAAAGATCCCAACAACAAGGGGAGTCAGCATCACAAGTGCACCTGGTGGGATCATCTCTTTGATGGAAGCATCGGTGGAGATCTTGACACATGTTGCGTAGTCAGGCTTGGCAGTGCCTTCCATGAGACCTGGGATGGTGTTAAATTGCCGACGGACCTCCTCCACCATCTTCAAGGCTGCACTTCCCACGCTCTTCATGGTCATTGCAGAGAACCAGTAAGGAAGCATAGCACCCACAATCAAACCGATGAACACTTTCGGAGTCAAAACATCGACAGTCACAATATGTGCACGGCTCACAAAGGCGCCAAAGAGGGCGAGGGACACAAGCGCCGCAGACCCAATGGCGAAACCCTAAACAGAGAAGCAGCAAACATTCAGGAAATTTTGCATTTATCATGCCTTATATCAGCATCTAAATTTGCTCAATGTCACACGAGTTAACAAAGGGAAAAAAGAGAGAAATCAAACTGCTGCTAAGCCAAATGCCACCTATAATAATATGAACAAATTTTAAGAAGGGAAAGATCTACTTTCAGGCATTATAGTCAAATTATCGAAGGCAAAAAAGGCCAGCAAAACAGCTCATTTTTCTATGTCAACACAAAGC